TTCAGCGCCTTAAATATAACAAAAATTAGTTCTAAAATCCTAGACACCAAAAAAAAATTTTTTTTTTGTAGGCCTGTGTTATCAGTGACTAAAAGCAAATTAAATGAAAATAAGTAACCAAATAAGGAGACAGCATTACGAAGATATACTGACATACACGCAAAAATTCTATTCTGGTTACAATGGACTTTACTTTGGCTAATTTATGCCCCATCATTTATAATTTACTGAACATAGTAACTTCACCTCATCTGACATCACAAAATTTGCTAGTGATACAACATTATTAACTCTACAAGCAGCAGGATGAATTCCTCAGAAATTAGATGCCTCAGCTCAAAATGCCAACTGAAAAATACAATGGCCTCAGCTGCTGAAAATTATCAGCTGTCATCTGCTCTAAGGTTTCACAATTTTTTCTCCTCAGAACTTACTGTGAAAAAACATGGATATTTGAAATCTGGAAGGCTCAGCTGCCCAGAACTTTTAGCAGCCAATCATGGAGGGGGACACCAAATTTCAAATCCACAGTTCCCAAAGAAAAATGAAATGGGGATATCTCTAATACTACCTCATTACTCCAGATGTATGGATAGTTGTTCAGGACCGCTCATAGCAAAATGACTCACCATATTCATTGATAGCATGCTTCAGAGCACTTCTTGTTACATTTCCATCATACTGCAACATGATTTCAAAGAAGTTTTTAATATATACTTGTGTCTCATGGTCCAGACTATACATATGATCCATTATCCTTTTATTCTCACTCTTTAGAACACAGTGCAACAGTAATAAAGATGTAATGTATGTAATTTCAATTTCTTCAACTTCACGAGACTCTGTTTCTAAGCAATAATTTGGGTATTCACCTGTGAAAGAAAAGATACATTTTAAGTTGTCATTTTATAGTAGCAATGATGAAGCTGGAAAGGGTGGATATGGAAAATGGAGTATGAGTATAAGGGGTGAGCCATAAAACTGGCCCTAGCACTGCGACCTTCAATGGTCTATTGTGCTTCCCCTTTGGATTAACCCTTTATTAATCTTACACTTCAAATGAAATGTAGGACTTCGGTTGGGGGGGCATCATAAAAGTCACTTGGTTCCATGAAGAATTGACCCAGGTGGCGATATCTTAAATAAGCTATAGCCTCACAATCACATAAGATGTGTGTGGCTGATTCATCTTCTTGTGGGCACCTCTTACAAGCTGGGTCCTCTGTCAGTCCCAGTTTGGAGTGGTGTCCTTTTAGGTGGCAGTGTCCAGTAAGTAATCCTACCACCCACCTGAGTTGATCTCTGTTTAATTTTAACAGGTCCCTCATTCTTTTGGCAGAGGGTCCTGATATAAATCCTTTTGCCTCTTTGAGTCCAGTTATGGATTCCAAGTGTTTTTTGTGATTTCTGTTAGTCCAGTCCCTGATCGCTTTCTTGGCAACTTCAACTGAGATGCCACAAACTGGTTCAGGTCCTGTGAACGGCTGTTCATATCCTGTTCTTGCCAGCTGATCTGCCATTTTATTCCCAGCAATACCCTCATGACCTGGCACCCACATCAGCTGAACTCTGTTATGTCTGGCCAGTTGTGTGAGGGATTGGTGGCCATCCCAAACCAATTTTGAAGCGATCTGGTCTGTACCAAGTGCTTTAATTGCAGCTTGACTGTCTGATAGAATATAGATGTTCCTATCTAAATTCTCAACTGTGCATACCTTAATGGCATACACCTCTGCCTGGAATACCGTTGTGTACTGACCTAGGCTGAAGGTATGCTTAAGCCTCATTCCATCACAATACACCCCAGATGCAGTGCCTTTATTTGTCTTGGTATGGAAAATGGAAGTAAAGCTCCATATATTAACCTCAGCACCAGATACTGGGCTCTGGGCACACTCAATCTTCTGTTCAGTGGTTAATGGGGCCTGAATACTCATGTCCATCTGGCATTTGGGTCAAGAATGTGTGGAGCTATACCTCCATTTCTTCATATATTTTCATGGCATTGACAACTTTACCTATTTTACCTTTATCTGTTAAAAATATCAGTCATCTCAAACATATACTGCCAGCATTTCCAGCCACAGAAACATAATAGGGAGTGGAAGATTTGTACCCATCCCAGAGCCAATTAAATGTCAGAAAGGAAAGACTGGCATTTAAGATTAAAAAAATAAATAAAGCAAGGGGATTGATGATCAAAATAAACTGTGCTTTAACATGTGCAGATTTTAAAATATATCAGGTTTACATTCATACTGTTCCTTCCCTTTGGTGCTTCCCATGCCACATGTTAGCTGCAGTGACAACATTCATTCACTCTCACTCACTCACTCACTCACTCATGGTGCAGAGCCCTTCTTGAGAAGCCATCAACTGTGCAGATACTCAAGGACTTCCCAGCATTTTATGGAACCCGAAAGTTCATTCCCATGTTCACAGGAGCCTTCCACTGGTCCCTATCCTGAGCCAGATCAATCCAGTCCATACAATCTCATCCTATCTCTCTGAGATCCATTTTAATATCATCCACACACCTACATCTTGGCCTTCCTAGTGATCTCTTTCCTTCTGGCTTTCCCACCAACATCCTACATGCATTCCTCTCCACCCCCATTCATGCTACATGCCCTGCCCATCACAACCTCCTTGGCTTGATCATTCTAATTATACTTGGCAAAGAGCATAATGCATAGCCACATTCTGCCAGCTACTTACATTTTAAAAAGCTTGTAATAGCCTCCTCTGCCTGATCTGTGTTGATGCCATGCTTAGCCCTGTGAGATCTATAAAGACAGAATGAATACCAAATTACATCAACATTTAATTGGAATGCTGAACAAAATACAGATTCTTTGTAAGTTACTATGTAATTGTCATAACTTTGACATATAACAGAGGCCTGAATCTTTAACCATTTTAAACTTCATGGATAAAAATTCAGAACATATAATTGGAAATATATTCACCTCCATAATGTAAACACATTACAGTGCAACTTATGTATCCTGCCTTGCAATGTCAGTACAGACATGGTGGAGTCAGAAGCATGAGCTAATGTCACCACTGTCGGAACCTCCCACAGTCAAACAGACAACTCGGCTCCCACAGCGCAGCAAGAGCAGGTGATATTTATACAGTACAGCTTGCAACCTGGCTGTCTGTACTGCCATACAAGTGCTACCCATTCACTGATCTCTACAGCAGTTCCAATGTCCATTTGTTAGTGCGCCACCTAGCAACAAAAGTATAAAGATGCTGGCCTCCAACATGGTATCATCAGTCACGGATACATTTGCATCTAGAGACCACCACGGCAGTGACTCTACTAGTACCAACACCACAGCTGACTCTACCAGTGACCATCAGTGCATGCACCATAACCCCACCAGTCTCATCACTATCCTGCCAGCTCACAATCACCAGGCTGCAGCAAAGAAGAACAATGGGCTGCTACAAGGAAGCATGGCATGCTGGCTAGCTCACTGCAATGAAAGCTTCAGATAAAAGGCCCTTTTCAGGGTCTCCAAAAGCTCCGCCATCACTAGCCCAGGCTAGCCTGCCACAAAGGGAGTCTCCACCAGTATTATTCTGACACACTCCCTGCTCATCTGTAATACCTGCTCTAAGAGCAATAAACATTTGTTGTTATAGTGCTATGTGGTTGTCTCTTCCAGCATCGACATCCCACACTATGCTGAATCACAAGGTATAACAGAAACAGTGGCTGAAATCTCTCTATAGTAAGAAAACATGTGAGGGAGAACACAATACTACAAATGTAAATAAATAATCATACAATAGTCATTAACACATATCCACCATTCCTATTCACATATTCTCTTGAACTGGCAAAAACATCTGTGTGTTTGTGTTAGTGGAAATGGTAGACATATTGAGTATATTCTGTAACAGCTGTGTCAAAAGAAAAATAATATTGCCAGTGGTTCCAGACTTACGGAACAACCTGTGTAATTAATACCAAGACAAATAAGTCTCAGGAACCTTGTTTTAGAACAGCTTTATAATACAATATATCTGAGTCCTTTAGTATACAGCCATATGATGTTATCTATTTCCTGACTTGTCACTGACTAACATAAGTACACTAATATATTCCACCTTTCCTTCTTCAATTTCAGTTTACTGGGAAAATATAAATGAGCATCTGGATACAAGCATTCCATCTACTCCAACCACATGACGTTACACAGTCTAGATACTTGGAGTGTCATAAAATACCTTCACCCCAAACCAACCTTGAATATGCGCTGTGTCAAAACATCATGCGAGCATAAAAGATATGTGTTCGTTATTGTATTGTGGAGCTACAGAATTTTGTCCTGCAACTTATTATTGGTGAATTGGACACAATAAAAAATTTGTACAATGTGAAATGCTTAAGGAAGACGCTAGACCAGTGTCCTAACCTGCACAAAGATTCAGGATAAAAAAAAACTGAAATCCAAAATGAGCCACCTATATACTAAAAATGAGCTGCACACAATCCTTTAAGTTGAAGAGCCTTTATTCAGGATTTCAAGTTCTCACAGTTGTGGTTGTGAAGAGTACCATATTCTGGGATATAACGCCATGTTGACTTTCAATGGACTATAGTGTTATATCCCAGATAATAGTAGTCGTCAGCCTTTATTAAATTTATATACATACTGTAACACGTACAAGGTGCAGCAATAAAGAAGCCGGATTACTTTTATGACTCATTTCTGGCCACGTCGATGACGAAGAGGAGGGTAGGGCATTGACCCGTGGACTTCCCTCTACCGTCACACAAAGTTTCATTCACGCGCATCGGTTAGTCTGGCCACGACCATTGTTAGAAGCGGATCGTGTGTCTGAGCTCCGTCGGAATAATGCTGAGTGCTAATGTAGAACAACGTGTTAACATCAAATTCCTCACAAAACTTGGAAAATCTGCCACTGAAACTTACAATTTGTTGATAGAAGTATAGGGTGATCAGTGTCTATCTCGCACATAAGTTTTCGAGTGGTTTAAGAAGTTTATGGAGGGTAGGAAAAACGTCAGGAACGATCCAAAATCGGGCCGTCCTTCCACTGCGAAAACTCCAAAGAATGTGGAGAAGGTCGCTAGAATTGTTCGAAGAGATCGTCGACTGAGCATTCGAGCAATTTCTGAACTTACCAACATCAATAAGGAAAGTGTTAGACAGATTTTGCACGACGATCTGGGCATGAAAAAGGTGTGTGCTAAAGTGGTGCCAAAAATCCTTACCCCCCAGCAAAAGGAACATCGAGTGAATTGCTGTGTTGACACTCTTGAAAACATTGAAAATGATCCTGATTTCTTCCAAAACGTAATTACGTGTGACGAAACTTGGATTCTTCAATATGATCCAGAGACTAAGCGACAATCCATGCATTGGAAGAGCCCCAAATCCCCTAGGAAGAAGAAAGCGCGCATGAGCAAGTCCAAATTCAAAGCAATGATGATTGTTTTTTTCGATATCCGGGGGGTAATCTACATTGATTGGGTGCCTGAAGGTCAGACTGTCAATCAGGTTTATTATAAAAATGTTTTGACGTACCTCCGTGAACGTGTGCGACGAAGGAGACCAGACATGTGGAAGAATGCCTCATGGGTTCTTCATCACGACAACGCGCTATCTGTGAAGAGGTATTTGGCAAAAAACAACATTCCAGTGATGGAACATCCACCGTATTCTCCGGACCTAGCATCGTGCGACTTTCATCTCTTCCCGCAAATCAAGTCTGTGCTCAAAGGGACCAGGTTCGAGTCCGTGGATGCAGTGAAAGCAAAAGCGACGCAACTCTTGAAGAGCATAACACAAGATGACCTGCAGCACTGCTTCCAACAGTGGAAAATTCACATGGAGCGGTGTAGGGATTGGGGAGGGGACTACATTGAAGGGGATAACATTTCGATTTCAATAAAGGGTTAGAGCATGAATCCGGTTTCTTTATTGCCGCCCCTTGTATAGCTAGGCAATGACGCAATAAACACCCAACACTTAAGTGCTTGACAACAATACACGATCACTGCTAGGCAACAACTCAGTAAACACACTAAAACATGCAACAATAGGTGTATCTTTGTGAAAGAATGTTTATTGCTCATTGCTAGGCAACAGCCAGTGTACCAATGAAGTCACTGGCTAGGAACCACATGATTTGTTTTCTGTAGGTGTGCACAGAAGGTTTATAGGGGACAACAAAGATTGTTTGCAGTCATAAGCTGGAAGAGTGAAATAGAGCTAGGAGTGGAGAGTCCAGGAGGGTTCAGCAGTTGAGATTATAAGGACGAGAATGGAGTGTGAATTGTAAAGATTGAGTACAGATTAGGACAGAGGTGAATTGTAAAGTGTGTAAATCAGCAATAGTGCTGTACTGCCTGTATTTAAGTGTAATTAACAGAGGTTGTAACCAAGATGGTAATAAATCCAATCATCCAAACTAGAACCCATCATTCTGTCACCACGCGTACATGACAATACGTACACATGCATAAATGACTATATATAAATGAGAACATGTACTGTCACTTAAAAATCTATGCGTTGCCTTCTCAGTTTTTAAATATTTTATCTACAGATATAAGTTAAATATACAGCTTAAAGTATTTGCTAAAAGGTGGTTAACTGGGTGGGTGAATGGTGTGTATGTGGAATTGGCATCACACCAAATGTAAACAACCTCAGCACAAGTTAAAAAATGCCTCAGAATAAATGTATATAAAATTCTGTCTAGAAAAACATGTAAAAAGGATGATTGTGATAAACATATATGAATATTAAAATGAATCTTGGAAAAATAGATTCTCAAGATATAAACTGCAGTGAACAGTGCCTGGGTTTGACCCAATTGTGAACTTGAACAGTGACAGTAATAAACATTTGGGTGCAACAACAAAGAAATAAACAAGCAGCTGTATAACTAGAAGGTTAACAGTATTTGCCTCAATATAACACATACTTTTTTCATTCAAATTACATCACACATATTCAAGTTTGAACAGAAGTGACTATAATGGGAAGTCAACTATTCAGAATCTATTTGAACGGGAGGAGGGGGAAAATAAATGCCTTACAATCAAGCAAACATTGTAGCCTACTTACATGAAACTCAAAAGACTGTGGAAAAATCTGCAATCACCTAATTCCGTAACTTGCTGAATTGGTTTCTCTTCGAGTGCTAGACAATTGACCTGTAAAATGTAATATAAACAATGGCTGAATAAGAGACAAAGATATAATGGAAGTCTCTGGAACATGAGGAAATGGTATAGTTAAAAGGAATTTAAGAGGAAGTCTATTTCATCATCTGTTCCGTCATTCTCCCCGAAGAACTTTGGGGGAAAAAACAAAAATATTCATCTGGTTAGCTATCCCAAGTAAAATAAACCAAGGCCTCCTGAAAGTACAATAAGTAACATATAATCATCTGACACAAAAGAGGATTCTCTGCCTCATCACTGTCTGCATGGACTAGTTCTTGTTTATGACAAGTGAGGGTAAAAAGATATAGTGACCAGTGGAGGGCTCTTGTGAACACGGTAATAAACCTTCGGGTTCCATAAAATGCTGGGAAATTCTTGAGTAGCTGCAAAAATGGCGGCTCCTCCAGAAGGGCTCAGCTCCATAAGTAAGTAAGTAAGAGGGTAAAAAATAAAGTTGTCCCTGTACTTAACTAGTTAAGCACTACACCTGGAAGGCATATGGGGGAGTGGGTGTATAGATCCACATTCTCTTGACCTCGGCACTAGTTAGAGGTGAGTGGTCAGATTCACGCCCTGGATGCTTTACCCCTGGGGAGACAGCTTCCAGTACCCATTGGATAGGAGGCTGGATGAACTCCATAGCCGGCCTGGGCAATGTGGAGAAGAGAAAATTCTTGACCCTACCAGGACTCGAACCTCTTGGTCATCCGGCCCATAGCTAGTCACTACACTGACTACCCTATCCCCGCTCACAGGTGAGGGTAAGATCATTAAAATTTAGGAGTCAGTCAAAATGTTATGGACCAGGCTTAAAACAGTTACCAAACTTGGGTACTCCTACAGATGCAGTAAAGATTATCCTCATCTGTGTAATATTCATGATGCCTGCCTAAATTTGATATTCTGTTGGTGACAATGCATATGGCTGCATCTTTTACACAAAGTTACCAGCATTCCAATGGTATTAGATCAAAAGTTTCCATATTTGGACCATTCCTATTTATAATTGCATCACTCATGATATCAGCAATTACATTCTACATTTGCTATGTAGAATATTAATTGCAATCAAGCCTCTCTTAAATGAGGCAGTTGATGTAGGGGATACTTGATTTTACTGAGCAAATAAAACCTGTTGTGCACCTTATGCATTCAGAGAACATTTTATTACCTGAATTAAACATGTATTTAAATATTAAAAGGGGGCACGCAGTACCATAGTTGGTTCAGGCACTATGCTACAAGCCAGAAGGTCGTGGTTTGAGTCCTGATGAGGTCATTGGATTTTTTAATTTACCTAATCTTTCCAGTGGGTCAACTCGGCTTCTAACAGAAATGAGTACCAGGAATCTTCCTGGGGGTTAAAGAGCAGCTGGTGCATAAGCCTGACAACATCACTGCCTTCTGTGAGCCGACTGTCTAGAAAATGTGGGCGGCTCGACATCTCACAACCCTATCGGCCTCTGCAGCCTATTGCAGGGACAGCTTTACCTTTAGTTTAAATATTAAAAATAGATTTTGTGTGTGTGCACAATTCTTGTGACTAACACTAAATTCTAAAACTCTGCAAAAAATAGTATTATTAAATTCTATTATTCGAAAATAATGTTTCTGGTGCCAGCACAAAATTGTTCCTTGAACAGGCAAAATTTATCCTCTGGAAATTTTAAAGCGCAAGACCGATTATAAGGCTGTATGTTAGATGTAGTGACCATAAGAGTAAACTGAATCAATCACAGGTTAGGAGACTAAGAATGTAAGTAGGATTTTTGTAATATCTAGTTCTTCCTTCTTCATTAAAAATCCTTTATAAATATATTGAAATGGGTCTGCCATCCGATTCTTAAGCAACTTTTCTTAAGTCAAGTTACATTACTTCATGATTACAGTCTTCTAGGATGTGATACCATGTAGTTTGCTGCATGTTTCCTTCTAAATACATTTATTTCTGGTATTACTTAATTATGTGTAAATTTTGACACTTATTAATATTAAAATATAGCATCCATCATTTCAAATGCCTAAATTCTACATTCTTCACCAGCATTTTGCATGAAGTTTACTTTTTCCAGGAATTTCTTAGGAACTACCACCGCCATAAAGAATCTGAAATTTGAGAAATTCCTCATTATATTCTATCTAATATCCTAAATTTAAAATGCCAAATTTCAGTATTCAGATCCAGGCAATACCAAACATCAAATGTTTTCTCTTATAGCTTCACTATTTTTAAGATGCCCAGACACTTCAGTTAAACAATATGGTGTTATAAGCCTCAAAAGATTTAACAGCTGAGCAATGTTTTGTTCTATTCTCCAAATTAATAAATTAACCCTTGTATACGTGATTTGTTTTCACATATAAAACTTTTCATTCTTTTAACAGGTGTATTGAAACTGTATTCCAACCGCTACCAATTTAATTACTTAACAAGGTACTAGCGAAAAAATTAAGAAGTAGTTGTCACATGTCTTAATACATGTGGAATGTAATGCTGTTTAGAATTCAGTGCAATGTCAGCCTGCCAAGGAAGCGACCAGCAGGAACCAAGTGGCAAGCAGACGCTTGATTCTTGCTACTTTGTTTTCTTTTCGATCCTGAAGTTGGAGGTAGTACGTTTTTCACAAACATCAGTGAACTTCCACCTGACCATACCGCCCAACTTCCCAGATGATAGTATAATGTTCTGATTTTATACATACCCATTGTACCAAAACGTTTTGCCAAGTCTTAAAATAGTCACACATTGCTGCTCTAAAATTATAATCTGTACTCGTATACACAATTAAAAGTTTCCGAATCTTCTACTCAAACTACAGCAAGAACCAACAGTTTCAAACATTGTACTAAATTCAAATAAGTTTCCGAATCTTCTACTCAAACTACAGCTAAGAACCAACAGTTTCAAACATTGTACTAAATTCAAATCAGAACTCATTACCTGATTGGCCAAATAGCATATCCGGAGTGAGTGCTGTTAGAAATATATAAACCGTCTACTAACGTTGCTTGAGAACTGCAGTGTATTCAAATCCTCTGCTTCACACGTGGTACAAAAGTGATCCGTGGTTCCTTTGCGTTCCCTAGATAGCGGAAGAAACGGATTGGCATGCCTGCTTCTGCCTCATTTCGAAGCTGTGGAAGGTCTGCTGTGATTGGACGTGGTAGAGTGAGGGGGAATTTCAATGAATTATATTGTAATTGGTGATAATGTATTTATTACATGTTCCGTTGAAACAATTGCTGTAAAAATCGAATACATTTATAAAGTTTTCTCTTTTACAACATGTTTCGAACATTCACATCGTTAAGTCACTTCACATTAACACTACTACTTTTATTCCCCTACATCGACCAGTGTTTACAATTTTAAGTGGAAGGTATCATGTTATTTATAGCATTATGCTAGCTGTATCATATGCAAGCTTAACATATTATGTTACGATTAAGTTCAATTTTAAATTAAGTTAAAATAAAAAACAACATTATTATTGTTATTGATTAAAATGCCATTTGTAGCTTTTAAATGACCTATCTGATCTATCACAAGCAGTCCATATTTCATATCGCAGTGTAGTTTTGTATGCCAGCATATTATCTATTGAACTTTTGGTAGCTGCTATTGGCGTTGGATGACTGTACTGGAACAATGTGTGTGATATGAGTTTCCTCGTATAATAAAATGTGTAGATGATGTGCATTTGGTGTGACTGTGAGTCGTGATGTTCATCTGTGGTTATGTCAATGGACAGGTGTTTCCATAGATGTGTCTTAATGAAACTTACTATTTGATACATCAACCATTAACAGCTGTAAAAAAATATATTATATGTAATATCACAGTATTCTGTTTATCCCATTGTTACCCTTTATGGCCAAATTACTGCAAGGAAGTATGTGGACAGGTAGGGTAATCAAGTGCATTACATGAGCCAGATGTTATTTCTAAATAATGATGCAGTTCAGTCATATTTTGAAGAGCATGAAGGTAAATTTAAGCATCTTCCCTGGCCAGCACAATCAGCAGGATCACCAGGGTTCAACATCATTGAACAACTCTGTCCATATTGAAGACTAGAGTGAGGAACAGATTCCCACCCACAACATCCCTGAAGCAACTTGAAGATGTTCTTCAAGAAGAATGCTGTAAAATTCAATTATACTTATACAAGTCCATTCCAAAAAGGATTACAGCTCCATTGAAGACAAAGGATGGTCTAATACCACAGTGATAAAGAAATGTGTACAGTATCTGTAGTGTTTCCTTTATTTTGTCCAACCCTTGCAGACATATATCTTGCACAGTAAATCATGTGGAAGACAGCATAATTGGATGGTCCAACAGTAATCAGACTGGATACCGGAGATGTGTTCAAAGTGTACATTTCTTCCTGATCTCTGTCTTTGGTAGCTTACATGAGTGACAGATTTTTAGTCATAGCTATGGTGGTAGCGGCATGGTGATCCTAGTATTTTCAAAACTGTATATAGGCCCAGCTGTTAGTTATGGTGCACTTTCAGCAAATTCTGATTTTGCCACTAACGTGACTATTGACACCCAATATTATAGAATCAATCTGTGGTTGTAACATGCTTTTTGTCCATGGATTATTCTGCAGAAGTCTTTGTATAACCTTAAAGTTTCTTGTTACTGAAGCCCATTTTATCAAACCTATCACAAAAGAGCATTTGCTTTTAAGTGAGAAAATTTAAGTTTTGGTGTACAACTTTTCATGTAACAGCAGTTTCAGTGAAATATAACACCATGTTAGGAACGTAATATGGGTGGGTTCCCAGACTACACCTTATGGGTATCATGTTTAGATTCATTCATTTGCTCAGAACTACTAGGCCAAGGGACCAGATGTCTGGTTAACTGTTTCCCAGTAGGTAACTAACCTGTGGTTGAAATAAAATTCCTAAGGTTTGAATACATGTGGCCCTGCAACTCTACTTCAAATGATGTATATGAAGATTACTCTCCCTAGGTTGTGACACCATAGTGTTTGGTACCTATCTACCAAACTACATGATGTTTCATCCAAAAAGACAGTAATTTGCATATCAAAAACATTCTTCCCTCCAAGCTCACAAATTGATCATTCCAGTTAAGCTCGCACATTCCCATGTGCACAGTCTCCACACCAATTCTTAGTATTTAACCCATGTACACTACACTGTGGTCCACCCCAATCCAAGGTTCACTGTTAACTGGCAACACCTCACAAAATTATACATCATTCCTTTTTGCATGGTCCACAAAACAAAGATGTAATGTCAGCAACGTACATGGAACTCTGTAAGCTGTGAGGAAAGAAAATGAAGTCTAATTCACTGAAAAATTAAATATATATGTATACACACACACACACACACACATATATATATGTAGGTCATACCGAAAGTCATTAGCAACTTTTTTTGCATACAACCTCGGAACAGCAGATGAAAGAGAGTATGGTGGCAGGTGGAACCAGCTGTTGTGTTAACCTTGAGTGTCTTGTGACGTCAATAGCTTGCATTACATGACCAGTATCACTCCTAACAAAATGGCCAATGATATGTCGTTTCGCCAGCATGCTGTCAATGAATTTCTTGTGAAAGAGGAAATCCCTGCTGCAGAAATTCACCAGACTTCAGCGTGCTTATGGAAGTGTGTGCATGGGTGCGAGCAGTGTTTGAAGATGGGCGAAACATTTTAAAGATGAGAACACCAGCATCGAAGATGAGCCTCGGAGTGGTCGTTCTTGAACAGCCTCAACTGAATGCAACAAGGAAAGAGTGGATGAGATCATTCAAGATGACAGGCGTGTGACTGTGGACACAAGAGCCCGAAAACTTGGAATAGGGCACAGTGCAGTACAGGAGATGAATGAAAGCTTGCGCTATAGGAAAGTTTGTGCTCATTGGGTCCCGCGGTTATTGACCGAAGACCACAAAGGTCAGTGAAAAGCCATCACCTCAGAACTGCTGCAGAGATATCGACACGAAGGCGATCATTGTTTGCCCTGTATTGTGACAGGTGACGAAAGCTGGTTTCACCATTTCAAGCCTGAAACGAAACGGCAGAGTTTGGAATAGCACCATTTGCATTCTCCATCAAAAAAGAAGGCAAAGACAGTGCCATCAGCTGTGAAGGTGATGGGCACAGTCTTCTGGGATGCAGAGGGGTTTATTCTGGCCGAATTCCTGGGACCTGGGCAAACCATCAATGCTGCTCGTTATGTCCAGACACTGCACAAGCTCCGTCGTGCATTGCGCGATAACCGTCCAGGATGAAACATCCTGCATGTCAACGCTCGCCCCCACGCCACTTGCCTCACATTGGAAGCAATTGCAAAGATGGGGTGGGAAGTTCTTCCACACCCCTCCTATAGCCCTGATCTGGCAACCTCTGACTACCATCTTTTCGGATTTGTGAAGGATCAGCTGCGTGGACAACGTTTTGAGACAAGGGAGGCAATTCAGAAAGCACTGCATCAGTTTCTTCGGATGGCTTGAATGGAATTTTCAAACTTCCAGAACGCTGGAAGAAATGTGTACAAAGAAGTGGCGATTATGTGGAAAAATAAAGAAAGATCTGTAGATTGAGGTGGTGTATTTGGTTTGTCAATAATAAAGCATGTTACTTTACAAAAAATTGTTGCTCATGACTTTCAGTACGACCCTCGTATATACAGGGTGTCCCAGGAGGAATGTGCCAGACTTGGGGAGGGTGTTCCTTATGTTAAAGTATGCCGATATAACCCAAAACACCTATGTCCAAAGTTGAATGGTTACAGAGATAATGGCCCGAGAGAAAAGTGTGATCTTCTGGTGGGTCCGTGCACTGTACCTGTCAGCTGACAAGTCGTATCGATGTTTGTCCTTGAGTGTGGTGATGACGCTTCACACTAGCCGCATACACTCGCATACCAGAATGCACAGTGCTTGGAACCCTAACAACAACTATGACATGGTGTGCGAGTTTTTTTGTAGTTCAATTTAATGGCTTCATGTCACTCACAAGTTAGTTTGATGTTACGTACATTATTAACATTACAGAAACCACATATTCCTGCCAGTTAATATATATTTGGTAATGAACAAGTGTGTAACACCTGTCAAAGTTCCACACTTCTCTGGCCATTATCTCTATAACCGTTCAACTTTGGACATAGGTGGTTTGGGTTATATCGCCATACTTTAACATAAGGAACACCCTCCCGAAGTCTGGCATATTCCTCCTGGGACACCCTGTATATATCAGATTTGATGACCCTTTTACCATTCACCATCACTTCAGGAAGGCATCCGTCATGAGATCAGAGACATTACTGTATTTTCATTACAATTTTTAAGCAATTTTACATTGAATCTTCTTTCAAAAATATGATTTCAGGGCAACAAAGAACCTCCTTTTATCTGTGGAATAAGGATTCATTACATTACAATCCACGGGCATTTTGTAAATGGAAAGGTTCAATCTGTACCTGGATAGAGTTACACAAGCATTATTTGCACCTTGGTTCTCTCGCATGTTCTGCAGTTTTGACTTTAACAGAATTCAGTACAACTGTGTTCACTGTGATTTTTAAATTTTCAAAGTGCCACTATGTTGCTCATAAAGCAAATATAGCAAATTCTCTTACAACTTTTGACAAGCTCTTAGGACTTATTTATATTTATTCACCTTAGGATTAAACTTCTAACTAGTACCACTACTAGAACTTAACAAAATACCATACAAAACTAAAACAATACTTCAATTTTAAAACACAATACAATTAAATGCTGCATAAATAATTTGTCAGTTGCTTAGAGTAATTGCCACACATTCTTCATGCTTTCCTAAGTATATAGTCACCATATTTATACAATATACATAATGTAGTATTCTTTCTGAATAAATAATTTGCTTTATTCAAATCACAGCCATTAAAATCATGTCACATACTTTACCCTTCCTGCTCCCATGGAACATGCAAATTATCACATTAGCACTCCTTGAAAGTTAAATAAAGATTACTGTTTAGTCATGTGAACACATCAGTTGTATTCATACCATCTGCAGAATTAGATACATCCTCTTATGGGGATACTATGTCATCAGATGTATCATTGCCAAAAGCTTCGTATTTATCTCTACGGATGTTATCTGGCACAACTTCCCCAGAACCAGTACTGGTATCCTGTGATTTAACTGAGTTTTTCTCTGATCCATCACCACTGGAGATACTAGGTGATGTGTAATGTTTCTGTCAGTATTCTGTATGCCATGAGTCTTCATCAGCTGTACTTTCAACATCCATTTCCACAGGACTTGTGTTTTTCAAATCATCATTGATGTACATAACATCTATATTGTCATCTTCATTGTTATCATATTCATCTTCATCGTTATTTAAACTGTCATCTTCATTCTTATAATATTCATCTTCTAAACTGCCATCTGGGTCTGTTTCTAATTCAGTATCAGAAAACACATCATTAACATCTTCATCTGAACTCATGAATTCTGCAAACATATCACTTTCATCGTCCTCATAGCTGTCGTCATCAAGATACACATTATCTACAAAATCACTAGAGGACCCTTCATCAGACTGACCATCACAACCCTGAATGCAGTCAATACTCTTAAAATTATAAAGACATGCTCCGAGTTGCAGACGAGCGGCTTCTATTTCAAACCTTGACAATAATGATGGTGGAAGATTTAGTACCTCTTTAACTAACTTGTGGATGGTCATCTTATTGAATTCAATTAATACATCCCATTGCGTAACATTATCCATATCTTCTACTACTATGTTATCTGAAGACTCAACTCCTTCAGTGCCATCCTCGTCTTCATTTTCATCCCAGTTCTCAGGTTTCTCTTTTTCTTTACGGGCGACTAACATCTTGCCTTGAAGTTTTGCTACGAGTTCCAATGATTTACCTAGAACAAACATCAGATGCCCTATTTATTACTTCACCAAACTCCATGGAGCAGAGTCTTTCTTAAGAAGCAAATATCACTTAGCGCCTCACCATCTATAGAACCCAAAGGCTCATTAATGTGTTCAAAAGTGAAGGTCTTTCAATACTGTCCTGAACCAGATGAATCAGTCCACATACAGTAAATAATTAGTTACAGTGTTTGTTTAGCTTTGTATTATCTTTCCGCTTTGTTTGTGTTATGCTTGTGACCAGTTTCACGTCCATTGCATTTTGGACTTGTGAAATATATGTATGTATACTTACATTTGACTTCTTTAAGATCCACTATTATATTACCCTCCTGTCTATGCCTAGTTCTCTTATCATCAGGCTGTCCAACTACAATTTTATATACACATTTGTATATCCCCCATGCATACTGCATGCCCAACCCATTCACCCTCCTTAATATGATTGCCCTAATAGCATCTATGACGAGCACAATATATAAAAGATCCTCAGCATGCAGTTGTTTCCAGCCTTCTGTTACTCCCTTCCTCTTACGTCAAAATATTTTTCTCAGTGCCCTATCCTCGGATATCTTCAATCCATATTCTCCTCTTTGGGTAAGAGAACAAGTTTCATACCCATGTAAAACAACATGTAACATTACAGTTTTGGGTATTTTAATGTTTAGTTTATTAAATATGAGACACAAACATTCTTAATTGAATTGTAGCATGTATCCCCAGAATTTAATCTCCTCCTTACTTCTGCATGAATGTAATTGTGATTTGTTAGTTTTGTTCCCAAATACTTTTCTGCCATATTTGAAGGATCTTCATAGTACAATTTTGTATCAATTCCGATGACAAGACATGAACCTGTACTTACTTTTCTATTATATTCTCAAAAATAATAAAATATTCATGTGAAGAAATACATAACCTATCCTTCATACTAACAAAATCATTACTTACGTGGATCTTGTGTGAAAAATATATGGCCTATTATCTGCCGGACACAAAGCTGTTGGAGTCCTGCACTTAACTTTCCAAACATAAATATCACTGCATCCTGGGGTTTAATGCCTGGTGATGAAAATGAATCAAATGGAAACTGCGTTTCTTCATTGAGTATCTTTTTAACTTCATCCAGTACTGGTTCTGGGAAGCACTTATATACAGCTGTACTGTCTACAACAGGTGAGATGGCATTTGAAAACACTTTATCCAGTAAATCAACATTAAATGAATATGGTGCCTGATCAATGCGAAACTTGGAGCTCACATAAGCAGCTGTATGTCGCACATAGGATGATGAGTCCTGCAGCAGAGGTGCTAAGACAGCAGAGATTCCATTGACAGTAATCTCCTGAGTATATGGAAGCCCTCCAATTTTAGATACCTTATGCCATTCTGCAATACTAATAATGGCACGAGGAGTGAGGCTTGCGCCCTGATGTAACAACTCTGTTGCTACTCTGGGTGAACCAGCTAACATGGCTCGCCATAAAGCCGTTTCATTAGAGCAATTCTGGGCTTCTAATGAAGACATCTGAAAGAAATAGAGAAAACAAATTTTTATACCGGTATGACTACTGAATATAAATTATGTTTCCCTAATACTTTAAGAGTACAATAAACCCTTGTTATAATGGACGAATTGGGGGACAAGGTGTCAGTCATCGCTGATTTCCACTACAACCAAGTGAAGCAGTAATCATGCTTGTACAACAGGATACATAGTCGATATGCACAATAAACATACAAACACAATGTAATTGCATAATGGTTTTTATATTGAGTTTCTTTTTTATTTTAAATAGTTTTATAACTACAAAATATTCTCACTGCCTCAACATCTTTTAAAATTCACAACTGTACACAGCCAGATCTTGTCTGTTACATCCAAAATTCATTAGAATGACGGTTTACTGCATAACAGGATCCCATTTAATAGTTAGCAGATCCACCTTGAACTATGAAATTTGGTTATTGGATCAGTGCATGTGAAAGGGCCTCATTATAAAATACTGTAACGTGTTTGGAGTAGATACTTCCGTGGTAATGCAATAACAGTGGGCCGTTGCGTAGACAATGCTGAAACTACGAACGCATTTCCCCAGAGATGAACAACAGAAGGCCGTTGAGTAACAATGGATGAGATGAAACTCATTACCAGCGTATAAAGAGTGTTCCTGAAGCAACGGATTGCCGAACACGTGAGATCGAACCTTGGCGAGAGGTGTCCTCTACTGAGTCCGCAGAACACCTACATAAGCCGAGAGCTACAGACAGCAAAAACACAGTTGGAACCTAGTCGCCATACAACACAGTTGGAAGATAGACGCCGCAGAATATAGTTGAAGTGTTAACAATTGTACAGTGTGTAAGAGTGAATGTCCAATAAAGATTCTCTGAATCCGAGACCCACATGAATTTATTTGTCGCGTGACATACCCCGACACGTGACAATACTGTCTTGAATGGTCATGCCACAGCTTAAGACTGCAATGGCCTTGGTTCAGTCACAAGTCAGTTCATGTGGGACCTATGGTGGACCAAATGGCATTGGGCCACATTTTCTTTGGTTTCACCTGCCAATTCTCCTTTCACCAAATGCTCCATTTCTCTCATTTATCATCTGGGGCTGATACAATGTGGCATTTATGGCCTGAATACCAAGGGACTCAATGTTGCCCCACCCTAGAAATTAAAAAAAATAATAATAAACTAACATCTTGTTTTGTCCTCCAAATGCTGTTCAAGATGTCCATAGCAAGATCTCCATCTGCATACATAATAAGATCCATCAATGGTGTTGTTCCATGAACATTAGCATGATTCAAGTCTCCACCTGCAATAAATATAAATAATAAGAAAAGGTTCAAATGTAAAATTACATAAATGCTGCTAAGAAAAAGAGGCACAGTAAGCATACTGTGCCAGTCTGTACTTATAATGCCACAAGGTATCCATGTGGTTACTGCTATTTTATGAAAATCCTGCATCAACCAAATATTGATCTACAGGATGAATAATAACATATTTCACACTGCCCTCTTATAAAATTTAATTAATAGGTCATAGATATTTAATATTATGTCCACTAAAACCTACATTTTGTTAAACCTTGCTTTAGTCTTTTATTTAACTGTGTATAATGAATTATCAGAAGATATATTAATGGTAATGTTCTAGGAGTGATATCCCTCAAAACCTGAACATTTAAGCAGTGACAGTGAACAAAACTGAATTTCTCATTACCACTGGTATGTAAACTAGGTGTTATCAGATTTTGCTCTATAATATCTAGTGATACATCAGCATAAATTTTCACAACAATTTTTCTTTATCCAAAATAGTAACACTGGCCACTTTCGTGCTGCCATTTTCACAAACAGTAGATCAAAAATGTTGTAATCATAAGCATTTACGTTTGAGCAGACGAAGTCAAGTCGCTGTTTAGTCTGAAAGCCTTATCACAGGACGTTAATGCTTCTAATTCATCAGCTGATCTTCCCAAACTAAGCTGAGGCTGTACATGATTGGGTATGATCAGGAAAGCAAGTGCACAGGACCTAAACAACAATGACATACAAGGAAGGAGTTCTTCCTACCCACACACTATTTTCAGACAGGCAATCACAGTAACCACCACGGCCCACATGCTCTTATGGCTACAAATTTAAAAGAATAAAACGAGGAAAAAACATTGTAAAAAGTTGTTAATCATTCTCAAGTATGTGCAACTTCTGTTACTTATCTGCGAAATATTTAAAAACACCGTCAGTAACTCAGATTATACAGCATCAAATGACTGGATGATAAGTGACTAATGAACTGAAAACAAAATGGAAGGAAGTATAGTGTATTTGAGGTACTACACCATAATTTGTCTGGAGGAACTGATGGAAACCATAGAAGCATTTAGTGGGGATAATTGGTGCCCTGGCTGAAATTTAAACTGGGAATCTTCCAAACACAAGCTGGCTGTGGTTCTGCTTGAGGCAAACTGGTTGAAGCCATAGTTTGTTCTGTCATGGCCAACCTTACATTATACATGCAACACAACATGTTCCTACATTGATATACTTGCATCCAGGATTCTACAAATACAAGATGGAAAGAGTTAGCTGATTTTGGAAATGGTTGAGCATAGTGTCCACAGAACATGGCGGCTAACATGAAGCCATTATATGCATGTAATCCAGCAGTATGTAAGAAAGAATATCTTAACAAATAGGCCATGAAACATTCTATATGACAGGTTAAACATAGATTACCAACACCACATACTATGAACAATGCTTATCATGCCTGGCAAACCAGAATGTGATGATAACAGGTACCTGCTTCACACAGCTTCATAACCAGCTCCATGTCAGGATCAGAATTTGCCAACACAACATGGTACAAAGTGGAGTTGGATTTACTAGTAACTATATTTGGGTTACCACCACAGGCTGAAATCAGAATCCATTATTTAGCGAACAGCAAGTTATACATCTCCATAAAATATAAAATTTGTTCCTATACCTAATGACAGTACCACAGAGCAGCAATTTCATGGCATGGAAGTTAAGATCCACAAATTTTAGATCTCAAATTAGGTGGAAGCGAGTAATCAGCTTGTGCTCTTATCCAGTAGCAAAATAAGTGTGTAAAAAGCAAAGTTTCTTGTGTTCTTAAACACAACACACTAAAAATCTCATATATGATGGATGGAGGGAAGGCTCCATATTTTCTAGATTTCAACACTCAATGAAGATGAATCTCAGCTTCCTATGTCAGTTACATGTCTATTCACATACCTATGAAGACATCTAGAAGTTCCAGAAGTTGTTCCTTCAACTGAATAAGAGTTAATTCTGTTTCATCATGTAGCCCAATTGTAAACAAAGGATCGACAAAATTTTCGGTGTACGACCTACAACATGGGGATGTAAAAAATTATAATTCTAATCAACACTGATTTAAATTCACTCAAAACACAGTAATTAATAGAGACACATACCCTCTTTGTAAAAACATATGAACAAACTCTCAGTCTATCATGAAACATAGTTCCCAAGGAAACTCAAATGATCAATTTATTTTTACATACCTTTACAATTCGGTGACAAATTGCACTTCAATAATTAAAATGATACATTTCAGAGGTAAATAAAGGTCAAATTCATTGACAAACTGGACATCAGAATAATTCATTTTAAACTAGTAACTGTAAATAAATCCCCAAATCATGGGCTGGTATACCTGGGTCCTTTACTGTGAAGGTGTTTGTATTGTTCACCATTGGTTATAACATTTACAATGAAATATCAAATACTTTATCTAACTGTCTTAACTTGGGGAAAATTTATTCTATTTCAGTAGTTCCCTATTTAGAGTGTGCATAACTCAGGCAGTTAGTTGCTGGCTTCCCACTGCAGTAGCCCGGGTTAGGTTATGTGGGATCTGTGGTGGAAAAAGTGACACTGGGCAGGTTTTCTCTGAGTACTTTAGTTTCCACTGCCAATTCACATTCCACCAACTGCTCCACAATCATCATCATCTATTACCTGTGGCTAGTACAACAGGCCAAACGGTGGCCGCAATACCAAGCGCACTCAGTCTCACTGTAATATTTAAGCTGAAGTAATGGGGATATAAAGGGTACGTTATGTCTCTTACTCTCTTACTTTATTGCTGTGGTGGAAGAAATGCTGCTCTCCAATTCTAGAAATTGTGAGTTGTCATGATGTAACTATTACATCAAATGTGAAGGAAATCAGCAGTGCAATTTAGACTACCATAAGGTTTAGTCTTTAGGTTTTGGTTTACTTACTTATCTATATGAATTATTTAATGACACTATCAATAATTCAGACTATACAGCATGACTGCCAGGATAATTACTGAATAATGATTTAGAAAGGATGTGGATGGAAGCAGTAGTGGCATAATATGAGGCACAATCGCAGTGTGTTTGCTCGGGGAGACCGTGAAAAAAAAAAAAAACATATGACCTCAATTACAATAACTGAGATCTGAACCTGGGATGCCTTAATGTGAAGCAGGAATGCTCACCACTTGACTGCAATGTTCATTAAATTCTGGTTTCTACTAACAGTCACAAATAATTAGTGTGACTGAGTAACTTCAAAACCTACTAACCATTCAAACCACTCAACAGAGCAGTCAGCACACAAACATTATGGTGGCCTACCCGTGTTCACTGAATCTCATGAATAATGCAGAAGTCTGGTAGACACACTAAATGCAGGAAAATCAGGAGACAAAAATGTGAAAACTAGCAAAATGTCTATAGCCCTTAATAGAATCCAATGTAAATCTTATAGTTTTTAAAACTAGTGAAGCACAGCAAGTCATGTACCATTCTCATCCCAAGAAAGAGACCAGAGGAAAAGGAAAAACACATGCATACTGAAACAGCACCAACACCTAAAGTGTATCCTTCCTTATTCTCTAAAATTTAATGCTTGCATATATGAAAAAATGAAACACAAGTTTAAGAATATAGGTCCTTCTTGTTTTCTGGATCATTCACAAATTTTCTGGTCAAATTTGAAGGTTATATATAAAGTGGCAGGGTGACTATGAGTGATAAATTGGTAAGGATGATAATGGAATCAAGTAAACATTTTGATTTAAATGCCACAATGGATGTCCATTTCTCTTAGCCTTCTGGCCACTAAACCAAACTCCAAAACTAACTTACCTAACCAATCAAAACACTTCATTTGTCTGTACTCATATCCTATCATTCAACCGAATTTTAGAGAGACTGTTGGAAGTGTAGTAATTGTAAATTACAGTTTACTGTGACTTGTTTTACATCCTGCTTACTACGAACTTCGGAATATATCCTTCAACTTGCTTAAGTTACATTAAAAATATATATACATATTTATTTATTACTAACAAGCTATCACTTCCATCTCTGCAGAGATCACTGGCACAATCATACAGAGCCAAGACATATTCCATTGGGCTAGAGCTTGCTCCCTGCCATTCAGCTTGTAGAATAGGAATGTTAGGATTAGCTCCTCCTTCAACCAACAATCTAGCCAAGCGAAGGTGACGTGGAAACTGCCTGAATTCTGCTTCACTTGATAACACCAACGCTAGTGGAATTCTGTCAAAGGGACCTGGCAAGAAAAATAAAATTGTCTGCTCACAAGCAGTCAACACAATTTCTATAAAATCTTGCTATTGTACACAATAATACCTTCGTTTAAATAAGATGGCTCCTCGTTTTCTTCTATCAATTTCTCAGCCGTTTTAAAATCCCCTTTCCCAAGTGCAGATGTGAGAGGTGTATCACTAATGCCTATCTGTACATGATTTGGCATTCCACCGTAATTTACTGCCATTCTTAACTTTACCACGTAGTTCTCCAGATCCTAAAGATTACATTTATTACCTTCAAACAACAATTACAATTTTATGATATAATAACTCCCTTGTTATAGCTGAAATGATACTGATGAAGATTTAAACGCAGAAACTGTGAACACAATATATCTATTTTAGATGAAAATGCACATGACACAACACTGCGGTTGAGGTTACGTTGATTAATGAGAACGAGGGAGTATTTACATTTTAAATGTAATTACTGATCTACACACATATAAATTAATTACGTAATACTTTCTTTATCCGTACAGCATTTAATCATTTCAATTACAATCTTGCAGAAGTACCAACACATTCTTACTGAATATTTTCAACAGTAATTTACCGCTTGGAGCGTAGTTTAATCTATACAGCCGGGCAGAAGTCGATTGTAACCTTTGGGTCGTGATCGTCGTGACCGGTCGTGACTACTAAACCACCTTCTAGTGCTGGGGTCAAGATTGGTCATGTTATACCTTCACCCGTCCGTGCGTCTTTATGGAGCGATGATTAATTAATCAAGCACAAGGACACCTTTACTTTTTTGTCTTTTTATAATTAAACGTAAAATAAGGGTCCCTATTCAAAATGAGAGTAGCATTGTCTACAAGTTGGAATATATTCAGCCGTTCACTAATCTTATATATATATATATATATTGCTTTAGAACGAGATAAAAATATCGAATCATCGGTGAATTCGATGTGACAATTGTAGGTGAATGGCGCGCTATTGTAAGGGCTGGCCGTGAAGTGAGTCTTTCGTAAATTAGGAGTGAAAGTGCTTAAGTAAAAATATCACAAGTGTGAAATTACGTTTCGCGCTGTGTTTTATGTGAACTGGAGTTCAGTGTTGTGCCGTCGTATAACATGAACTTGGTGCAGGTGCAGTCGCTCGTCTTGACATCGAAATTGAACGAATAGACAGCCTGAGGTGTAGGTGAGCTTCCAAGGTGCAAAGAAAATCAAATTCTTATGACTGAACATTTTTTATTTTGAACATAAAGTAATATTTAAGTGACATGCTAACTTCTAACCTATGCAGACTGTTTATGGTAGACTGATTATTACGATTTCCATTTGTGGTTGATAATCTTTCGATGGGTTTTCGATACCGTTTGGAAACGTGTGATAGTTAACAGATGGCGGTCGTAGTGCGGTTCAGTTACGAGTGAACACCAGACGATTTAGTACGTCGGTTGCGAATAGATGGAGGTAATGGTCCATGTTTTGCGCTTAATAGGCGGATATTTAAATTTTGTTGGTAGAATTGATTTGATAATAGATGGCGCAATCAGTGCAGAAAGCACGAGCGGTACATATTCAGAGGCGGCGTATTGTTGCTTTTATTATATTAATAAAACAAAATAACTAACAGAAAGCGAAATAATAATATTTTTCAGTCTCAAGTAAACCTCCAATTTTAATATTATACGTAAGAATATATTGTTAATGGAGTGACGCTATTGTTGATTTCTAAAGTCGTTGCGTGTCTTTTAAGGGAAAAGGGGATATCGAAAACTTGTTATGTTTATCCTGACCTGTGTACGAGTGAATAGCATTCTAATTATGGAACAAATTCCGATGAACTACAGTAAATGAATATAAATTTGAAGAGTTTAGAACATTTAAAGACTTTTGAAATTTTTCGAAAATACAACAAACAAATTTACAGTTTTTAAAAGGTTCTAATTATTCGTGTGGTACATTTAAGAACTTGAACATTTCTAAACAATAACAATTGTAAACGTTTTCGAAATGTCAAGCATTTGAACATTAGTAACTATACTAAAAGACTGTAGATGTTCCAAAATGCCTCCCTCGTCTCACGGAAGATTCACTTATCCACTACTGCGAAAGTACTCGATCGGTGTGATTCTTATGCCTCTCGAACAGGCTTTCGATTTTCCTACCCATGGTCTCCAATAAATCTACAGTGTTTGCTGCGGTTTCCACACGCAGACTTCTCGCATGCAATTACTCCATTAAATTGGCGTTAATTCTTCCGACCAGCCGTGTATATACAATGGATATCCTCTTTAAGGGAATCGTGAAACTATGCTTCTTTGGATTATGCTTCTTCAACGATGCTGTGTCAACACCAGAGATTGTACAACGCCCACTGAAAAATGTCAAAGTGACAGATCATTTAATCAATAAATCATTATGTTGTCATACATTTTCGGCCATTAGGCCACTTTCAGGAACGTCCAAACAATCATAAATCGAAACTTTACAATTTTATATTTAATCTTACATAAATAATTTAAAACATTTTGAATATATCAACATTTAAAAAGCAAAATGTTATAAGGATGAAGTTGAAGCGTAGAATGAGTTTAAATTGTCACACATATGACTTTCGTATGTATATTTTCTAATCTATTTAGCCGTTTCCTGCGGTATTGTTCGTCAGCAGAAGGCCCCTACTGACCTTCCACCAGAGTACAGACAAGAAAACTTATAACCGGAAGATAGTAATGAAAACGAAAGTTGAGTCGATATTTCATCTTCATATTTGAAACCTTTTGATATTTTATGTCGATTTTTAAGCAATGTGTGTAAGATTAAATATCAAATTTGAAGTTTTTTTTTCCTTAATTGTGTGTACACCTCTGGTGATGTTACGAGGGCCGAAAGATGTAGAACATTATAATAATTTACTGATTAAGCGATTTATCGCATTAGATGCTGCTTTTGAATTAAATATAAAGAGTTATGTGTACTTAACACATTAAGTGATAAGATACGAGCCGCGATGTGACGAATTATATTGCAGACGCAGCGTTATTCTTCACACTTCATTCAAAGCGACTGATGTGACTTATTTCCCCACCATTTGTTAGCAGGACCGTGGTCAGTAAGAGTATTGCAGTGGGATAGGGACAGTGTTGCGTAAAAATAATACCGACTGTTAAACTGACCACGTTAGAAATACAGAACAACTTTATTTGCGACGGAAGAATGGTCTTCCATTATGTAGGAGTAGGCCTACTTGTGCTACTGGATTCGCTGTCTCGGCGTGTTTTAGCGAGTAAGTGTTCAGAAAGATATGTTAGTACTTTTTTGGTAAATTATAACATAATTTGTTATAGTTTTCTCCTTAAATACATCTCCATAAATTTGGCACCTGTGTGATCAAGGAGACCGCCTCCGTGGTCTAGTGGCCAGAGTTCCCGGTTACAGATCCAGAGGTCCCGGGTTTGATTCCCTGCGCTACCACATTTTCTGAGGAGTAGTGGGTCTGGAGCAGGGTTCACTGAGCCTCGCGAGGATAATTGAAGAGCTATTTTAAGGAAGTAGCGGCTCCGGTCTAGAAGACCGAGACTAACGACCGTGGAGATTCGTTACGCTGACCACGCGACACCCTCTATCCGCTAAAGTTGGCACTAAGTTTGCCGACAAGCGGCGGTCGCTAGGTCGGTATTGTTCGCTTGCGTACTTAAGCCACGGAATTTGTTGTTTTTTTATTTGTGTGATCAACGACATCTAGTGATTTTTATTCCCGCCTTATGTTGAGGTAAGATTTTATTAACATAACCATCTACATCACTATATGATGCTGACTCTCGCTCAAGAATATTTTAGATAAAGAATAGAATAGCTGTTATGGTCAATACTTTAAATTCTTTATATTTTACATGTATTTTACGTAAAAATTTAGAAACAGTTTTCAGATCATGCCCATTCTTGGGGAAGTTTATGGGCATATTCACCTTCTTTCCACATCTGCTTGTGATGTTTGATTTACCGTTTACTTAGCCTGTATTCAATTCGTTTGTTAGAAGATTCATTTTGCGACTCACATTACAATAGGTCAACCATTGTTATGAATTGAACTTACCGTATTCAAATTGCAGAAGAGGGTTGTAATGTTTTCAACGAATTACATTGCCTTGTGGCAGTTTTTATAAAAGTTAAACTATCCATTCATCCTTCGCTTCTAAAAGAATGATACTATTTTTTCCGACAAATTACTGGTTGCAGACATTCGCAGTATTTGTTAAAATTTACTATCCAAGAGCTCAATCTGACTTGGTGGAACTATAGAGATACGCCAGCTTGCAATTCATATTACTTTGAACCCTGAAGCTTGAAATTCATCTATACTTACTGAATTCCTTTAGTTCAGAGTGGAACCCAGGGCTCCCGTGAAGCTTCTCCATCTTCTTCTCTGGTTTGCCTATGCCTTAACCTCTCTCCAATTCTTTCCAGTCTCTGTTATCTTCTCTTCCATTGCCCTTCTCTAAGTTTTCCTTGGTCGTCCTCTCCTTCTAACACCTTTGGTGTTCTAATCTAATGCATCTTCTTCTATGGCGCCAGCTGGTTTTCTTAAGGTGTGCCCGATCCATCTCCACATTAAAAACAGGTTCATAGCTTACAGAAAGCTCAATGCTTTTCCATCGCAAAGTTTAACCGATTGGTAATGTTTTCAGTAATATAATTACTGTTTATTTTGTGTCATACGATACACATAAACACATCCAATATGAAAAAGCCAGAGCATATTATTGTTAAAACAAGTTGTATATATAGTAATCACATTACTTTAAGCGGTTACGTTCTACATATTCAAAATATTTAGCTGGATTTAAGTTATAAAATTAATGTGAGCTTAAAAATGAATATTAATTTCTCATGGCCGCAGCAAGCACAAATGTCAGTTGCTAATGTACTTATATTGGGTTTTCACGCAGAAATGAACTGTCGGCAGGAACAACTTGGCGTAACGGTGATAATAAAATGTCCACCAGATAATCATTTGCGTCTGAGTCATTGTTGCAACGACAATGGCAAAATTGTGTGCTGTTCATACGAAGATTATATCCACCGTGAAAAGGGACAAAGGTATTGCCTTCTTTTATCATAAAAATAATCATCATCATAATCACCATCGACATCACCATCATCATCGTAATCATAATAGTAATCATGAGGGGGTAACAAGTGTTGGCTCAATCCACCACACAGACTAAAATTCCAATCGTCAGATATTTCTCCTCGAGAGAACAGCTTCAATTCATGTCACTGTAAATGGTCCACACAGTGCTGCTCACCATCCCACAACATTTAAGTCACAGAAAGTAATGCCCCTTATGTAAATAAATAAAAAGTAAAAAGTAAAGCTATCCCTGTAACAGGCCGTGAAGGCCCATAGGGTTGTGAGGCGTAGAGGGTCCCACATTATCTAGACAATCGGCTCAAAGATGGCGGTAAGGTTGTCAGCCTTACGCGCCGGCCGCGCTTTACTCCCCAGGAAAATTATTTAATTAATTCCTGGTACTCGTTTCTGTTAGAGACTGAGTCGACTCCAGGGCCATAGTGCGGCCGGAAGGATTAGGTCAATTGAAAAAATCCAATGACCTCATCGAGACTTGAACCCGCGACCTTTTGGCTTGTAGCATAATGCCTCAACCAACTACGCTACCGCGTGCCCCATATGTAAAGAAATGTGTATGCAAAGTATCAATTACTGTTTTTACTATTCAAATTTTCTGTTCCACATATGTACAGAAATCAAAAATAGATAGAGAGAGAATACTAACGAATAAATTCATAGATTTTTCGACTCCTCGATTTAGATTTCTCATTCATCAGTGGACGAGCAGAGTTTGATTGTTGATCTCTAATCATCATCAAAACAGACTCTTCGAATTTAATGGCTTGCATCTCAAGCTAATGAACCTGCGTAATTACAATTTCAGCTTCTTATCTATACGTCCTTACCGCCATCTTTGAGCCCATTGTCTAGATAATGTGGGAGCCTCAACGTCTCACAACCCTATGGGCCTTCACGGCCTGGTACAGGGATAGCTTTACTTTTACTTACTTTATGTATACGTCCTTGGATGATGGGCTTACCTCTGCTTCACAGATATTAGAGATTACATGTGACTATACAGAGCGCCGTTCTAAACACGGCGTCGTGAAGGCACGTAGGAAGCCATCATGGGCCTCGGCATTAGGCGGATGTGCACTCGCAGCCACATTCTTGCATCGAGCACGCTGCTATAGTAGTGGGAGTTGCTCCCGTGGAAACTCGGGCCAGATCTGTTAACCTTTACTGAGGCCCATTATTTCCTTTGTGGTAAAGGTAGCGTAGTGGTTGAGGTGCTACGCTACAAGTCGGAAGGTCGCGGGTTGAAATCCCGATGAGGTCATTGGATTTTTTTTTCAGTTGACCTAATCCTTCCAGCCGCACTAGGCCCTGGGGTTTACTTAGCCTCTAACAGAAATGAGTACCAGGAATTAATTAAATAATTTTCCTGGGGAGTAAAGCGCGGCCGGCGCGTAAGGCTGACAACCTTACCGCCATCTTTGAGCCGATTGTCTAGATAATGTGGGACCCTCAACATCTCACAACCCTGTGGCCCTTCACGGCCTGGTACAGGGATAGCGTTACTTTTTACTTTTTTTTTAGATAATTTTTTATTTAGTCCAGCAGAAGAATAAGGACTCGAAGTGGCCAGTGGCTGCTTCCTAGCCAATCCTTTCCTACAAGTTATTCATCCTGCCATTCAACGATATGCATATAATGTGCAAGACAGGCAAAATTGTTAACTACACCACACACACAGGCTCCGGCCACCTTACCTCAAATTGCGGCGGTCACTTAACTGCCTGTGCGGCCTAAGCAGGATCTACTTAAATTAGCCTGGGTCACATATATTGGGGGGGGGGGTTCAGGATAAGTTACCGTTCTCACTCATACACGTATAATCTATTAGGGCTGTCACCGTTAAAAATAATGAGTTATTTTGAGCAAAAACATTCACTAAGGCGTTACATGACGTAATATTTGAATGAGAACACCATGAAGACCGAGTGAGATAATTGGTGAATTAATGTGTACCGATGTTAGTTATGTCTGCTTGGCCCACTTTCATTTGGCAGAACCTTCTGATGCATTAAAACACTATAATTATTTGAAGTTAATTTATTTATCCATATTAAACTTATAATTTTCTTTTCGTGAAAATTTCACTCTTGCTGCTTTTACGACAATCGTTTCAGATTCTAATTTCTTTGTTAACCTTGTGGTTTTGGAGCCGTGGTAGCTCAGTCAGTATAGTGACAAACTATGGTTGAACGACTGGGGAATCGGGCTTTGATTCCTGGTTAGGGACTGAGATTTTTACCTTTTTTAGAGCTTCCAGGCCGCTTCTGGGCACCCACCCTCCTGTTCAGTGGGTTCCATGAGCTCATCCTTCTGGGGTGCAGCAGCCGGGGAGTGACCCTGACTACTTATCTCTGCCTAATGCCGAGGTTATGAACGCGTTGGGTATAACTTCATTCCCGTGGGTTTTCATGGAATGACGCTTTAGTAAGCATCGCCTTTTAACTTTTATCATTCGCCTTATGGCTGTACTTATTATTTTATTTCAGTGATGAGGCAGTGGTATTGCTTGTGGCGGCTGGACTCATTGTGATAATTATTGTTACGGCTCTTTGCTATATTCGTTGGCACAGCAACTTTTCAAAATCGAATTCTTCCGAACCCTCTGATACGTCTACCAATAATTCGCAGTCAATCACGTCAGCGAGAAATAACAATCAAGACAATCTGTCTTCTCAGACAACTGCTCAAAGGTACGTGTTTCGGTGGAGACTGTTATCCTCAGGATTGTCATTGTAGGTCTACACAAAAACACTTTTCATTTTTAATGGAGTGCATTTTAAGGCTGGAATTTAATGACGTTTTAGATTTATAATTCCTGTAAAATAATGCCTAAAAGCGACACTTCAGATCATTCAGGTAAAACTACGATTGCCTCTCTTATTAAAAGTTTCTATGTAATACCAAAAAAAAGTTTGAAGTTTCTGTATAAATTTTAAAAAGAATTTGCATTCAGAAATAAAGTTAAGATGTTGATTGTTTCGCATTTTGGATAAGATTGTATAGGTTCTAATATTTGAATAATACACAGGTCTGATTTTAATTTATATATATATATATATATTATTTTTTTTGTATGGAGATTATCGTTAGAGTGTTGGGTTAGGTAGCAGGATGTTCTCAACGTGGACGTTGCGTAGTGACAAAAGGTAGGATTTTTGTGAACCGCGAGTTGAAAAGGACGAGGGAGAAGGTGATCGTAGCCTGTTATAATACATTATTTCAGCACCTCCCTGAAGATACTGATGAAGAATACAAAATTCCAGAAACTAGATGGTCAAGGTGTAATTGTTAGAACCTCAGACTCTAGAAAATATTTCGTATTTGTGTTGGATAAATCTATAGAATTATATGTCTTACATTTTCCAGGGCAGCACGTCCCTGTCGTTACGCCGAAGTACTGAAATCAATTTTAGAAGAAGACCAGAAAAAGATCGCCTCACCGAAAAAGTATGCTAAGAAGCAGTTAACAAGAATGAAATAAATATATTTTTGTTTTCGATACTGAGATATCCTATGAAACTAATAAGGGTGACTTGAACTCCACGGCATACTGCATTTTCTTGCTGTTCCAAATAATAAACTGGAAAGTAATTTTGAAAACATCTGAAAACGACAATTTTATATTATTAATTAAAAATTATTGATAGGGTTTTTTATAAAGTACAAGCCGGAATAACCGGGACGCTAAAGTGACTATATAGGCTATGTTCTTCTGACATTCGCTGTTCGATTACCGCAGGATCAAGGCATTTTTTTTTTCCATTGTCATCACAGCGAGACCGACTCTGTTATCATGGTGTCTGTCTTCCAAAACATGATGATCAAGATACACGACACAACAATTCTTCCAATTCATTTACATGACTGAAATGTGGTCCCTTACATTGAGAAAGCAAGATAAACTATAAAAGTATGAATACGGAACTGCCAGAAAAATGTTTGTGTCTGGTAATGTGGACATTGTAGGGCATTAGTATTGTTAGTACATCTATATTAAATCATGTAGACAACGATGGGCTGGACAGTTGACTAGGATGAGGGAGACAAAAATGCATACTGAATTTTTGTGGAGAATACTGTAACATGGTAGAACAAGATAACAAGCAGGGCAGATATTCATAACCTAATTTTATAAATCGTGTGTTTGTATTATACATTAATTGAGCTTATAATACTTTACAAACTGTTCCAGATAATTACAGAATTTAATTCAAATTAACTTTATTCCTTTAAAATTAATGTATTTTCTTACTTTGTGTGTCTTATACATGAAGCACCAGATAACATGAGATCTCACACCGTAGTTGCCCCTAGACTTCTATAGACCATAAAATAATCTGATAAATTAAGCCGGTTGTTTTTAGTTAGGATTATTGGGCTCCCGAACTTCATCAGTGATGTATCCTGAAAGAGAACACGTTTCGTAAACCGGACCTGTTTCCAAGTTCCCAGCTTTATGTGAAAGATGGGGAGTCAGAAAGCGATAGCCTCGATCAGATATTCGAGTACATGATTGAAATTAACTATTTCTAACTGACTCGCCTGAATAGGTGCCTCCAAACATTATCACCTGAGAACGGAAACAGATTCACATTTCGAAAGTTGTGCTCTGTCCGTAAGCACAACAATCCTATGTATCATCATCAGAACAGCTTAAAACTGACAAATACAGGAACCTGTATCTCTCACCTTATAATTGTGTCACTCTCAGTGACGAATTTTACTTCCGGAATAGGCCCAACGTTTGTCTTAATATGAAGGTAAGATTGTGATAACCAGATCAATCGAAATTGTTCTGAGGGGAGTTGGAGTAAAGCTGTAGTAACAATGTATTCGCTGGTGATGCTTCTGCCCCAACCCAATTGCACTCCCTCACTCATGACACACTCTGCTTTGCAGCACCGCATGCGCCAGGCTCTTAATATTCCTTAACATGTGGATGAAAATAACAAATTCAATCACTTTTACTGTAGAGTGTGGAGAAACCACGGTGTGTTACTTGCATTTCTGGACACGGAACGGTGGTAAATGTTATTAAAGCAACTAAATCTCCACATGTGGTATTACTTTAGAGCATAAGGGGCACTCGTGTTGTGATACTGGGGTGGATTTTCGTACAGTGGAGGCTCTTCTGCTGGAGCTCCTGCAATCAAATGACAACAGCTTATCCGACTCTGGGATTATATGACCTGTTGAAATTAGTACATAAAAATTGGAGAGATATTAAGAACAAAAGTTAGGATTGTATTCCACAAGCGAAGAACTTAGTTCCAACTTTTGCGGATAGAAGGTGTCACGTGGTCAGCGCAACGAATGCCCACGGACGTTAATTTCGGTTTTATAGACCGGAGCCGCTAGTTCCTTGAAATAACCCCTCAATTATCCCCACGAGGCTGAGTGGAACCCGTTCCAGACCCACCACTTCTCAGAAAATCTGGTAGCGCCAGAAATCGAACCCGGGACCTCTGGATCTGTAGCCCGGAACTCTGACCATTAGACCACAGAGGTGAGTTAGGCCTATATTCATGATAAAATTTGGAAGAACTGAAGAAATTCTGTCATTGTTCATTCACTATTCTGAATCTTCCATTATCTCACGTTTATAAAACTAAGTCACATTTCTACAAGTTGTTTCTCTAAGTGAGAAATCTGACTGGGAGTCAAGAGCAAGAATTAAAACTATATCAAAATAAAATGGTGGGAACAATATCCGAACTGAAGAGAGGAGATATTTATTTGGACTACCCGGGTTCAATTTCCGGCAATGCAATATTTTTCTCTTCTCCACAGCGTCCAGGCCGATTCTGGGGCTCAGCCAGCCCCCTATCCCATGGGTACCGGAGAGTGAATCTTTCCCCGGGGTTAAGGCGGCAGGGGCATGAACCTGACCATTCACCTCCATCTAGTGCCGAGGTCAAGAAAGATGGAGCTATACCTCCATTCCCCCTTATGTCATCACGCGATCGTGCTTAACTATTTAAGCACAGGGACAACTTCACCTTTTACACAAAATTATTGAATTAATTAAATATAATGTATATATACAGAAAGAATTTTATATGGAAATGGCACATAACAAAGGCATGTATAAATTTTATTTAAAAAGCTTAATGGGATGGTAACAATTGGGAAATAAGGATACAGATGGAGGGATACTATTAAAATTAGTCTGTTGGAGTCGGATATCATAAATATAGGATCCAGTAGCGGGGTTTATTTGCGACTATTTTGACGAAAATTCTCGTTATATGACAAGAAATAGCAAAACAGTTGTTAACTGTTGAGGCGGAACTATACACACTGACAAATATTATGTTCCTGGACAATATCCATCGTCTTGCTTTTATCTAAAATATCGAAACTTTGTGTTTTGAAATATAATATTTATATTAATATAGGACGCGCCATAGCTCAAGCGGTTAGTCGCTGGCTTCCCACCGCGGCGGCCCGGGTTCGATCCCGGGTCTGGTCAAGTGGGATTTGTGGTGGACAAAGTTCGGTGGGGCAGGTTTTCTCCGAGTACTTCGGTTTCCCCTGCCAATCCTCATTCCACCAGTTGCTCCACAATCACCCTCACCTATCATCTGGGGCTGGTACAATAGGCCAGAAGTGGCCGCAGTACAAGGGACTTAGTCCCACCCCACTAGCAATAAAAAAATATTAATATACCACCATCACAAAATTTTAGACCTTCTACACTCTAAACGTAGGACTATTACCTCAGAAGCTTTGTTGACTGAATAAATTCTTCTGTTGCATTGCACGTTTGCTGCATTTATTATGAACTTAACTGATACACAGCATACGTAAATATTCGCAAATATAGACCTGAAAACTTTGATTTTGGATATTACGTATTAGGGAAACAGCGGTGAGAGTGTGAGGCGGATTCAGTTGCCCCAGAAGGGGGATCAGTTTTGGTGCTTTGTGAGTAGGCTAACTGTAGGTTCTGTGTCATGGAGTATGTCAGTATCAATACCTGCGGTGTAGCCGGCCCCAGGGGGCTGTTTGTACTCTGAAGTCATGCTGTAGTAGGGCTCATTAGCTGCCGGCGGCGGCTGTGGCCCTGGCTGTAGCTGTGGATGCTCCTGGCCTGAAATGGAGACAGGGAATTTTTTCCCAGTTACATTACCTTGCAGATGGGCCCTTAAAGTGACTCCGAAGGTAGACACGTAAATGGCAAATGTATGCATCTGTATGGCAGAAGGACGTGGGCACTATGGCACTAGGGTCGACTCAGCCAGGAGTACCAGGAGTCGTCCTAGGGTTAAAGGGCGACCGGCGCGTAAGGCTAACAATCTCACCCCCATCTGTGAGCCGATTGGCTGGAGAAAATGTGGGAGTCTTGATATCTCACAAACCTGTGCACCTCCATTACTTGATACAGGGATAAAAACAAACTCCATGGCCTGTAGTCCGCAAGCTAACTATACCGAAGGAGTGACCGCCATTTGTCGGCGAAGTTACTGCCAACTTTCGCGCCATAGCTCAAGCGGTTAATCGCTGACTTCCCACTGCGGCGGCCCGGGTTCGGTCGCGGTTCTCGTCAAGTGGGATTTGTGGTGGACAAAGTGGCGCTGGGGCAGGTTTTCTCCTAGTACTTCGGTTTCCCTGTCAGTCTTCATTCCACCAATTGCTCCACAATCACCCTCACCTATGTGGCTGGTACAGTAAGCCAGAAGTGGCCGCAGTACAAGGGACTTAGTCCGACCCCACTAGCACAAAAAATACTGCCAAGTTTAAGGACAGAGGGTGCCGCGTGGTCAGCTCAACGGATTCCCACGGCCGTTAGTTTCGGGTTTCTAGACCGGAGCTGCTACTTTTCCATTCAATTATGCTCACGAGGCTGAGTGAACCCCGTTCCAGACCCACCGCTTCTCAGAAAATCGGGTAGTGCCGGGAATCGAACCCGGGACCTCTGGATCTGTAGCCAGGAACTCTGACCACTAGACCACAGAGGCGGTCTGTTACAGGGATAGCTTTACCATTTTTATAGGTAATTCGGGCTATTTAACATTGAATAGTGAATATGCATACTGCAGTACTTACCGTGTGAGTAGACGAACCCAGGGTACGGAAGCTGTTGCGGTGACGGCTGGAGGTTTGGTTGGTGTGGGTACGAAGATTGTGGGTAAACTGTGATTGGCTGCTGCTGTGCCGTGGCTGAAATGAACAGCAAAGATATTAAAAGTGACCAGAGCAGTGCCCACTGCCTAACGTTGGGATTGAGGCTTCGAATCCCAGTCCGCAAAATGCGAACACATCTCATGTTCCTGCTGCCTAAATTTGCGAAGATTAAAATATAAAAATATACTGTAATTTCTTCCGTTGTTTTGGATGGAGGGCGAGGAAGAGTTGTATATAATCTGAGGATGTGTGAGAACAGGATGCTGAGGAAAACAGAATTACCTATGTAAGAGGGAGGAATTTTCAGGAAGTTCGAGAAAATTGAATAGGAACTTCATAATTTATACTCCTCACAAAATATAAGTAATTTCAACTTGGAGTGCCACTGGCAAGCGGCATGACAGTTTCAGTTTTGTACTTACTGGCACCGTAGACAGCTCCCCTCTTTTTCCTATATTTATACGCTGGACAAATGGAGCAGAACAGACAGCACACAATACATAATGGAATGGAAACGAAAACTGCAGCTGCAATTCCGATCAATATGTAAATCCTGCAACAGAAGCATAATGAGTTAATGACAGTGAGCCCAAGTATCTTGCTTAGAGTAGGCGCGTAAAATCTGATCTTTGCTTTGACTATTGCTGCGAAAGAAATCCTGTTTAATATTTCTGTGGTACTTAAATAAACACCGGATAGAAAGAGACAGAATGTTGTGCGCCTGCGCTCAGTGTAATAACTTCTGTTGATACTCATGACAACAGTAGGCACGCAATGACGTGTGTGACGTAGGTCACCTGCTCGGATTTTGTGCGCCAGCTCTAACATTTATAATTTTTTTGGCGATTACTAATTCAAATAATGGATAATGGCCTATAATAGTTATAGAGAGATGCTGGAATTTACTTCTGTAAATCAGATACTTGAATATGATTATGATGCTGTAAGTAGCACAGAAATATTAAACAAGAGTTTGTCTACAGAGAAGTAAAGAAATCGGTTTAGAATCGAATGGATATATATATATATATGCGATAAGACCTAGTCACGAAATAAAACTTTAAAGGAAAGCGTAGACTAATGCAATATAATAAATAATATAGGTATATTATTTCAAAATATTGTGACATGTTTGCATTGTCCATTGAGTGGTAACGACTCGCCAAACATGTTTCCGCGGCAACACATACGACCGCAACAACAGGAATTGTTGGAAGCGGTGTTTTATATGCGATCCGTGCTGAGACTGTATAAGGAGAACCAACGGGTGTCTTTAGTAAGTCGAGAATATGAGTCACTCGCCGTTATAAGCGGTTACCGCCATGATTCAGCTGTGGGAAGGTAGAAGACCGGCAACGACATAAGCAGAAGAGGCCATTGTTGGGATTCGTTACCAGGCAACTTCTGATGAAGATATAGCACACAGAGAAGACAGCGTATGCTGTAGTTAGAAGTCGAGAGCGTTATAATTATTCGTAACTACGATTTATGTGTTCAGTAAACCCAATGACTAATATAAACCCTGTGTCTAGTCACCAAATCGTGACATTATATTTAAATTTGAAGACGTTATTACGTATAGCGCTGAATGATAGAATGATTAGTGAATAAAGAATTGGCGACAATATAAAGGGAAGTGGTTGTGACCTCATTTGAGGTATTATCCCGTCATTGTCCTGGAAAGGCCGAGGAACACCACGATAGTTGGTCACTTGAACGAGATTTGAGTCTGAGACCTCCCGAAAGCGAAGTAGAATTTTTAACATTTTACCGCGATCTTAAATGGTTTGTTTTTATTTTCAGATACGTCGAACCTTTGAGTTTCATTACCAAGCAATTAATTAAATAATTTTACAACTCAGGATTCCTATTTTATCAGTGATGAAAATCTTGACCTCTACAAAAACTGATGTCTGACAACATGTGATATATCCTACCGTTTTATGTGAACTGCATAGTCAATATATATATTTGAAGGGAATCTTTTCCTGTATTTGAAGTTCTTAGAGATGTTTTATATATGTTATTAATCCATGAAAGAAGAGCAACTTTTTCGACCTAAAATGGCAGGATTTTTTTTAATTTAAGCTGTTACCTGCAGGACTCTGTCTGCGGTAAGTGATGTACATGAGAGAAACATGAATTGTGAGAGAAAATCGCGTTATAGTAGTCAGCTTATCATATCTACTTGGCACTTTTGTGGGGGGGGATCTTCATTTTGAATTTTCATCTTTGAGAGAAGGTACCCAATTCATCATTCATAAGAATACTACAACAGATCATCAGAGACTACACAGTCTCATAAATTGATACAGTGTCATGAAATAATTAAATAAATATGCAAAATGGCAAATAGTTGAAATAGCTTAAATTGGTGCATGTATGTAAAGCTATACCTTAGTTGTTCAGACGTGGCGAGGACATGAATTACATATAAAAATTGTTACCAACGGTGACTGAAGTAAAGTTGGCTGGACTGAGCTGGGCCTTTCGGACGTATAAGCTACTTTCTGTACTTTCATAAACATGCTACAGTGTTGATAATGTAGTCATCTGACGTTCGTATCTTCGTTTCGGAATGATAGCCGTTATTTTATAGATAAGATAATCATCTTGATAACTACTACATATTAATTTTGGAGTTAGATTTTCATTGCTTCGCTAGAAGATTATAGCCTGCAGATTTTGAAAGCTGGATATTTCGGAACTTTGCTCTACATTCAAACGTTGTAGCAATATATTTAGTTTGTATTTCCTTCAAAAGTTGGTATTATAATTATTTCGCTGAAATATTCGGTTTATGAAGGGAAATAAGCGGACCAAAAATCCAAACCAGTGTAAAAGAAATTAAGCCCCAAAATAGGGTAAAAGGTAAAAGCTTCCCCTGTAACAGACCGTGAACGCCTATAGGTTTGTGAGACACCAAGGCTCAAACATTTCTAGACAGTCGGCTCACAGAGGGCGGTGAGATTGTCAGCCTTACGCGCCCGCCCAATTTACCCCCCAAAAGATACTTGGTACTCATTTCTGTTAGAGGCTGAGTCGATCCCAGGGCCATAGCCCAAAGAGTACCTTATCCTGTTCTGAACATAGCCTGATATTTAATATAAGCGTGTAGTGGATTTGTATTTGCTTTGTTTGGAATATCAGTGAATGTAGCGACGGGCTAGGAGCTGGAGGGCCGGGTTTCGATTGCCGGCGGGAGCAGGAATTTCTTTCCTAATCCACAATGTGAAGACCGGCTCTGGAACCCATCTAGCCTCCTATCCAGTGGGTACCGGGTGCTGTTCCGGCCTGCATAAAGCGTCAAGCTGACTACACAACTCCATCTAGTGTGTGGTCAAAACCTAATAGCAGATATGAGGACAATATTAAAATGTATATCAGAGCAATATGGTGGTTTAAACTGGCTTAGTATAGTGTTCATTAGCTGTGTTTAATTCGGCACCACTCCATGAAGATACATACATGGAGGCGTGGAGGTGTATGCAGTATTAACTTTGACACGAGATGAAGCTGAGTGGTCCGCTTTACGCCCCATCCGCTTTACTGTCAATGACAAAAAACAGTACCCATTACTTAGGCCTTCTGGGCCCCAGAGCCGGTCTGGATGCTTTGGAGAAGAGAAAAATCTCTTGCCCCTATATGGAATTGAATTCTTCGCTTGTACAGCTTATGGCGTAGTCGATACATCGACTGAGCTGCCAAGGCTTCCCATATTCTTTCAGCTTAGTGAGTACGCTTTGAAAGGCCGTGCCATAGCTCAGGCGCTTAGTCACTGGCTTCCTACCGCGGCGGCCCGCGTTCGAACCCAGGCCACGTCATGTGGGATTTGTGGTTGACAACGTGGCGCTGGGGTAGTTTTTCTCAGAATACTTGCGTTTCCCCTACCGATTCTCATTCCACCTTCTGCTCCACACTCATCATCTATCACTTGGGACTGGTACAATAGGTTAAATAGTTGCCGACGTAGCAAGTGGGCTGTCTCACCCCACCCGAAGTAACTAAAAAAAAAAGTAAGCTTTAAAACCCTTCGTGATCTGAGTCCAGGTCGGCGTCTTGAAAAAAAAATATCAATATATTTCATAATTTGTTGACAATTTATTATTATACCTTACGTTTCGGATTGATTTTTGTTGAAATCTGTTCTTAATGGAAACATATGTCGTGTATTCATAGTGGTTCTATGTAACTTTGTCCATCATTCAGTTTAAAAATCAATTTACAGATTGCACAATAAGTGAGAAATTATTGACCGGCTGTGTAACGATTCAATTTCCAAGCAGTAATGTTTGTAGTGGAGTTAGGATTAACACATATTCTTACCAGGTTTCTATACGCTCTGACGCTTCTGCATGAACGAGATCCGGAAAATCGTGATCACGGCTACATGGAGCTCCGTCTTTGTCTGCGTCTGCAAAATTTTGGAAAACGTGACGAGACTATTATTGATACAACTCGGAAACAAAACACAGCTGTAGTTCAGACTCTATCTTAACCGTTTAGCTTTAGCAGATTTTAATGAATTAAATGCGGTACTTTTACCCCTCGCCAAATATAGTTGGAATTATTAAGTCAAGGTGGTTGGGATGAGCGGGGCATATAGGACGCATGGGGAGAAGAGACATGCATGTAGGATTCTTGTGGGAAATCTAGAAGGAAAAGAATATATAGACTTAGATTGGAAGATCATGTAGAGTGGATCTTAGAGAAATAGGATGGGGTGGTGTGGACTGGATTAATCTGGCTCAGGATAGGGAGCAGTTTAGAGCTTTTGTGAACACGATAATGAACCTTCGTGTTCCATAAAAAGCTGGAAAATTCTAGAGTAATTGAATTATTCGTGACTTCTCAAGAAGGGCCCATCACCATGGAGTTACTTAATTAAATACCGTATTAAATATATAGGAGTACGTTGGTAGAAGATACAGCTGTTCTCACTCCTAGTTAAGTAGCACGCCTTGAAGATGTACGGAGGGTGGAGGTATAGCTCCACGCATTCTTAGACTTCACACTATAGAAAGACCCACTGGTGACCATTGAGCAGGAGGCTGAGTGCGTTCGATTCTCGGCAGGGGAAGAGAAAAATTTTCCCCTGCCGGGAAACGAACCCTAGCCTTCCAGCTTATGGGCTGGTTATTGTATTAACTAAACTATCCACATTCATAGTACGTATATATATAGACCGTAAATATATGTTCATATATTTAAGTACATTTATCTTTAACAGGTAAAAAATAGGATTATTGAAATTTATGTGAGGATAATTGAGGATAATTCTGTTCTTGGGATGCTGTACTGTAGGGATGTACGGCGGCATTTACTTCCGAAACGTCGGCAACATCACCGATATTCACACGGTCTCAAAACCCAAGAACGTAATTAACGCCAAAAATGAACCGCTAGGAAAGCCTGAATTCCTTAACGAATTTATACACACCTGTGAGAGGCTGCGAATTACCATTAAAGACGTATTTAATTATAAACAGTCTCTTGTGTTCATCTCATTAGTATTAAAAAAATGACGTGTTTTAAGATAAACGTTATTTTTTTAAATTATGAACTTCCCTGCAGAATAAAAACATATCAGTGGACGATGAACGCTTGTAGTTTTCCACTTGTTTGCTTCAGAGTGCACACAATTTCGCCCTCATGGCTGAATAATGTATTTTACCTTTACAGTTGATTTTTTGAAGATCAGCGGTCCCAACAAGGGTCAAGTAAACTGCCACTAGAATCAGTATATTGCTTTGAGCCATCCTGGTAACGATGTGATAACCTGCAGAGTATGACAGAAACACAGACCTCTGCAACGAGTGAATACAATTTTCACATACTATGTTATCTGTGCGCTGTTCTTATCAGGTAAAACGTACATTACTGGCGTCACTATTGACTCGATCGTTAATTTATCAGATTCACAGAAATTTCGAAGCTGTATTATTTCAGTGACGTGGGAGTTTGTATAAAAATTTAAGATTAACGACATGAGATCATTAATTTACGTCTACCTAATGTGAGTCAATTTAGTTATTAATAGTGTTGCCAGTTGTCATCTTCGTGAAACGTGTTACTTCTTAGAATTACTGGGTTTTCGGACTTTGCCCACCGTCCGGTATTCTAAGAAGTAGAGTACAAAACGTTTCGGAAACTGGATCTGTTTCCGTCCTCAGGTGGGGTGAAAGACACCTGCTCTCTTGGGTCTCTTAGACAGAGCTAACCTCAGTCACTGGGCAACCCATGTTAGAGTCAGAGTCAGAGTTACTTTACGACTGACGGTTTACCGCCAATCATTTCGTCTTGGCACAAGCTCCTTGAGACTCACAACCAGTAGTTTTATTTTCCAGCTGAACACTTGCGATTATAGCCCTTATGTAACATCCTCTCTGACTAGAGGATGGGTCTCTCTTTTACAATTGCTGCTGGTCCTCGCCAGCCCAGTCATTCTCAGGTTCGAGTCCCACGGGACTCATGACCACATTTTACTGTCTCAGATTCGAGACTCTCCCAACTTGGAGGGCCAGGTCCCCGTATTTATATCTCCCAGGAACATAGCGACCCGGCTATACCCTCAGGCACTGGATTCCCTTTTCATCGCCTCCTACGACGTAAGGCCTACGGTGGAGGTATCCGACCCCGCCTCCACACGGGATCTGAATGCGTTCTTATCTCAAACAACACATGTCATATTCACTGCAGCTATTTAAATATCTGAGACCAGGCTATTTCAAAGGGAGATAACGGGAGAATATGCAATAAAATTATGATAAAGAAGGCACATTCGTGGAATCAGGATAGAAAAAGAGGTAGAAATTTATGCTACAAACCTAGCCAACCAACCAAGTCCACGAAGACCAATGCATAGAAATAAACGGAGAATCTGTAAAAACATAGTGTCTACCGCTAGTGCCATCTATGATGTGAAACCTAAACACGTCACGTCATGCAGATCTTCTGTATGAGTTGGTGTCCCCCAACCTCACCTGAGGGCGGAAACAGATCCAGTTTCCGAAACGCTGTTTTTTCTACTTTCCTGAATACAGGGCGATGGACAATGTCCGAAAACTCAGTAATCCTGAGTCAGAACCCTTTAGAGCAGCCGTGTCAAACATGCGGCCCCTCAACTTTTAGAGCTAATTGATATTAAAATCAATATTAAAATTTTGGTAGAAATATTTTTTTGTAAAAACAATTTTCCAACAGACCAAAAGACAAGAAGTCTCACGCAGACATAAATTATCAGGCTGCAGGAAAAGTGATTCTGAGAATTGCAGAAGGGTTTGTCCAGCTAACGGTCTGTAAAGTTCGTGAAGGACAAACTATTGTATTTCAGAAGGTTAATGCACTAAAATCCGCACAACCTCACCACCCCAAGTATTTCCAAGAATCCCTTTTGGAGGCGTAGTAAGAATGCAAGGAGGGTGGCAACTGACAGACAAGTGCAAGGGATTTCTACCTTCAAAACTAGCTTGCAACCCCCAGCCATTGTCTAATGGGCTGCTAGCAAACTTTCATTTTTATGACCATTGAGACAAGATACACCTTCCTACTAGTCCGGTAGTCTCTTGTACATTGTCATTCAGTTCATTTTCACACAGCGACAGGTGCTGATGTTACATTGTGATGAACGTATAAAGGTTATAATTAAACATTAAATTATCAACTACGAGTTTTCTTGTATATGTACAGTAACTTTTAAAGGGCAATGTCGCTTTCAAAAAATTCAAGTAGCAAAAAAAGAACTATTGAAAGTGAGCGCCGTGTTTTTCAAGAAAAATGGTGAATCGCTTATTTCTGTTGTGAAATAGAAGGTAAAATTACATGTTTGATTTGTGGGCAAAATATAAGTGTTCCACTTTAGGTAATTATACTGAAATTATTCCTAAATAATAAATAGAATTAAATTTCCTTGTATCAAAATCTAATGTATACTCGTATATCTATTTTGAAGTGCGGCCCTGGACTATTATTTATAGGGTTGAGGTGGCCCTCTGTACAAGTTGAGTTTGACATGCCTGCTTTAGAACCTACATGTTACCTCTTCTTCGTAGGTCTTCTAGGATTCTTTATTTTGTATTATATTCCAAGTTCGTTCTTAGGATTAAGTAAAATTTCATATTCGGTAAATGTCGTTTTCCTAAATATCTCCAGAATAATTACTCAAATTAGGCCACGGCAAATTTTTTCCACAACCGATAAAGTGAATTGGTCTCTCATAATACTCTCAATTCGACGCCGTGTAGTCTGACCCACCGACAATGTCGTTGAATAAACTATGAGTATGAATAAATAAAAAACTATCCATGATATGTATACACTGGCCGTCTTGTAGTGCACTCAGTTTCACCTGTCACTTCACAACATGTTTCGGCAACATAGTGCCATCATCAGGTGCCCTAATTACGCTAATCTATTGCATTGCTTGCCCTCATATGTTTTCACAACACCATTTAAAAAGTATTTAAAAAGTCCGTATTTGTCAACTATGATAAATTTACTAAGACTTGTTAAGATAATTCATCTTATTTGTCTTAATTAAAACTTGCATGTGGTTCGTTCACTATGGGGTCGTTTTTCTTATTTTCTGTGTAAACCGCGTCTTGTGATGTGTGTTCCCTTCATAGCTGCGAGTGTTGAGGGCAAGCAATGCAATAGATTAGCGTAATTGGGGCACCTGATGATGGCACTATGTTGCCGAAACATGTTGTGAAGTGACAGGCGAAATTGAGTGCACTACAAGACGGCCACTGTATACATATCATGGATGAAAATCAGTGCAGCAGGACGCTATAATATAACAAAATAAAAAACTACTTTAGTCATTTCCATGCCATTCGGTGTGAAAGTGAACATGAGGCGCGGAGATGAAACTCCGCAGTTGCATTCTTAATCCCGATCTTAGATGGAAATAAAGGCCCAAATTAATGTCCCCGTCACAGTATATCGGGTAAGAGTTGGGGAAAACGGAAGACGATGACTGGGAAGTTTACTGCAGTATCGACATTAATGCAAATGTTTATATTTGAAACAAGGAAGAAGGAAATATTATATATTACGACCGTAATGAGTCACAAATGATTATCATAAAACAAGTAAATCGAACCTTTACAGTTAGAATAGTTGTATTTATGAACAATATAATAATATATTCTACAGATATCGTAGATGAAATTCGGTCTATCACTATGTCATTATCTGTTATTTCGTGTCATGAAATCGTAAAATCTCTGAGGCTGAGTTCCCACATTGTTCCTGTTTGTGATGAAATATGACTTTCACCCGCAGGACCAAACTCCATCGCATATATTGGCATATCAATCACTGCTAGTGGACGTTAAGGACGTCTCATACAAGGTTTTGACCTTCGTATCGACAGTACTTAAGTTCCCTCTATTGATTCAAAGATATTAAGATAATAGGCAAGGCTGAAAGGATAAATTAGAATAATATCTAGTTCTAATATATGATTAGAGGTTTTCGTAACTCTCGTAACAAATCCATATTTTGTTATTTTGCATCATGAAACCATGTAGAATGACATGTGGATACCAGTGTTTCGGAGGGACGTAATACCACCATCTTAAGTCATTAAACCCTGAAAATTGTGGCAGTATGTTCCTCCGAAACGTTCGAATTTACTTATCAGACTATACGGTAACATATCCCAGAGAGTCGCAATATGAATCAAATTCAGAATTGAATAAAATAAACAAGTGAGAGAACTTTGCCATGTGTCGGTTATCACATTAACAGCTTTCCTTTATTTCTCCTAGTCCTTTATCTCTTCCTATTTCCCTCCATCATTAGACGAAATGGTGGAATGATAAGCCCACACTTGCTGACTTTCCTTGTGGCATTCTTTTGTTTTTTAATTCTTATTATTGTTACTTCCGCTATATATTAACCTAATTTATTAGTCAGATAATAATAAATATTTAATATTTAAGCTATTTATAGTTGTCATATAATATCAATATCATTTACTACATCTACACGCATAAAGTCCTTGCATGTATTTACTGAAGACTGGATTCTGTTGTTGTCTTTCGTATTTCATTAGTATACAATGACGCCAGTAAAACCAGCACGAGAACAGAACATTGATGCAGTAGCTGAGGTGTGAAGAGTTCAAGTCCAAGCATCTTTCAGCACCTTGATAACTTCCGAACCGCACGACCTCACATGTTTTCCTACGCGCAACACGTTGATAGGTATCTGACTTACATTCTAAAGACCTACACATCAGTCTGCCCGTTTTAATTTGAATAGTTTTCCATTCCGCAGCGCTCCAAACCTAAGACCTACATGTAATATCACAGTCTGTTACACCGCTGGAAGGATTTGTTCGGAATGCTATGCGCTTGTAGATGGGGTTGTCCTTCGTGTCTGCATTCTCGTGGCGGCCATCCGAACTCTACGCTGTTGCCTCCGCTCCTCTCGTGCAATCGATGCATAAGATGGCGGCGGCTCGTCGGGGAACACTGTAATTATAAAAAGTATACAGTGTACGCTCAAGAGGCACGTTCAGTAGAAGGAATCATACGTGATGTGCTAACATTTATGCTAAAAATTATTATAATGAAATAAAATATTATATTTATTCGGATATGTTCTTACAAAACAAAAAAAAAAACTCCGCGGTCTGTAGTCCGCAAGAGCGACTGCCGCTTGTCGGCGAAGTTAGTGACAACTTTTGCGGATAGAGGGTGTCACGTGGTCAGCACAACGGATCCCCACGGCCGTTAATCTCAGTTTTCTAGACCGGATTATCTGTTTCCTTGAAATAACTCTTCAATTATCCTCACGAGGCTGAGTGGACCCCGTTTATGTTCTTATATTAAATTATATTTTAATTAAGTATATCTGCAAGCAGGCCTAGAAATACAGATGGGAGGATGCTTTGTTTAATTACAGTCTACACTAAGAGACTTCAGTAATACTCGCATTTGTATGTGTTCGGTAGACCACTGTGGACTGGTGAATGTGCAGGTACATTTAAGACAGAAGGAAAAATGTATTGACTATAAATTGTGCGTTATATTCTTGTTTACAATTAATTTTCGAAACTGTTTTCTTTTCGATAAATATTGTCACGTGATTGAGTATGACTAGAAAAGAGGTTTGGGTTGGTAACTGGATTTATTGGGCGCTTACACTCGTAACTACAAATAATCACGACAGTCTCACGGAGTTACACATTTCAAAGATCACCGTAACGACAGCACACATATAGCCTTCCCAGTCTTCACTAGCCTTTGCTTGGTAGCGGCTTCAACGGCGGACGTTCGCCTCAACATCTCGAAGTCAAAGTCAGAGTCAAATTATGTTACGAACGACGGTCAGTAGGCCAGTCTACATTGGTATCAAGCCCCATCTGGGCCCCAAGACTAGATTTTTGTTACAGTTAAGACAGTTTCGGGTTTGTGGATGTGGGGTGCCCTCTCTGTCGAGAGGACGGGTCTGTCGTTTACAGTCGCTGCTGGTTCTCTCTAGCGCAGTTATTCTCGGTACGAGCCATGCGAGACTGATGACCATATTTTACTGGCTCAGATTCGAGACTACCAAACATGGTGGGCGAGGTCCCCGTATTTATATCCCCAAGGAACATGAAGGCCTGGTTATACCCCAAGGCACTGCGTTCCCTTTTCGTCTCCTCCTACTACTAGCAGGGCTAAGCTAGTCCTAATTATATATCCCAGGCACGGATCATACAGGAAACATCTCTTTCATTATTGCGTGTTCTCTCGTTTCCAGGGAAACGTCCACAGAGCTGTTACCTAGCAACGGTTGTTAGGCTGTCTCCTGTTTACACAGCTGTTACTTCGCAATGGATCTACATGTCACGATATTTAAGGAGATAAGCTCCAGATACTCATAGAAACGTACGTGTATGCAGGTTTCTGTGTAAAGCACCTGTTATTTTTCTAAGATATAAACCAAAATTTTAAAGTTTTGGCAAATTTTACTAGAATATTCTTGTCTAAAATTTTATGAAATCCCATTCAGCGGTTCTCGAGTAGTTCAATGCGTACAAGCACACGTACCCGCCGAGCAATTTTACGAAACTCTCTGCAGGGCTGCAAATGAACCCAAAATAGTCGCAGCTTGCGTGGCGTATTTTTGGGCACCGAATAATTTTAGAGATTTCCTAGCAGTCGTATTGCCAGTAGGTATATTTAAATCGAGGCCCCATATAAATGTAGGTTACAGTGATGGATCAGTTAATGTCATTATACCGAAATATTGTGTTGCCCATTTTTGTTATTCTTAAGAAATCGCTTAAACTATGTCTGTGACATTATACCCAGGATGATCCACTTGCTCCAAAAGTACAAAATACTAATATCCATGGATTATTCTCCACAGACGCTACATCAGTGTTTCTCAAACTGTGGAACTGGTACCTCTAGGATTACCAAAGCAGGTACCCAAATTTTTCATTCATATTTCTGAGCAATTCCGTCGAAAACTGCTATTTTATGTGCTAATTCTGTTTTGAATCGACTCAGAATAAGTTTGTATATGACAGATATAAAGGTTATCTTCGTTCATTTATGTCATAGTCCCATTCAAAATATTGACATAGATTGTCGAAACAGTTTTTCTTTCAGGGTCCTGTGATTCATTTGACTGTTTCAAAGTTTCCAAGCAGATAATTTTATAACTCCTGCGCTAGAAACTTTAATAGAAATATCATCTTGTAAAGACAGTTAACACCTTGACTTAGGTGTATTGCTTGACTTTGTCCGCAGGAGTATCTGCAATAAACTAATTAGAATGTTTCAAAGTAAATATCTAAAATGTGTCATGGTAAAAGTAAAAAAAAAAGTGAATGTATCCCTGTAACAGGTCGTGGAGGCCCATAAGGGCTGTGAGATGTTGAGGCTCCCACATTTTCTAGAAAATCGGCTCACAGATGGCGGCAAAGCCTTACGCACCGGCCGCCCTTTACCCCCAAGAATATTCCAAGATCATTCCTGGTACTCATTTCTGTTAGAGACTGAGTCGAACCCAGGGCCATAGTGCGGCTGGAAGGATTAGGTCAATTGAAACAAATCCAATGGCCTCATCGGGACTTGAACCAGCGACCTTCTGGCTTGTAGCATAGTGCCTCAGCCAACTACGCTACAGCGTGCCCCTTCCAAAACCATGATGGGGTTTCAAAATATATTAAACGGAAGTTCCTTTGAACCGTCACCATCTTGTGTGAATCACTCCGAGTGAGCGTCGCCTTCGATACGTTGCGCGCGCAATATACATAAGTTGGCCTGTTGTATTTATTTTGTCCAGTAAGTGAATCGTATTCACGTGTGTCCTTAAATTTTTACAGCCATAATAACACCTACCATCACCGCGGACCTTCGAGCGTCTCTCAGCCGTTAGAATACGCCGGTTAGTTAAAACAGACAGTATTTGTCTGCTGTAGTTTCCGTTCTCGGAAGTGTAATAATTCTGACACTATTATATTATATACCTGGAGGGGGTTTGTAGGGCGGGGGACGCATCGAATAAGGGGGCAGCTGCTGTGGGAGCGGATACACTGATTCGTACAATACTGTGTCGTGTCCCACTTCTTCCGAGTAGGTGCTGCCAGAGGATCGCCGTGTCTGTGGCGGTGTGCTGCCGATCACTGCAATGCTGGTGCGGCGCGCTGGAAATGAAAGAAGCGTCTTGTAGGATTCGGCTGTTTTAAGTACCTCAGAAAGCCGCTAAAGGCATTACATTAGTACGCCCACTGGGCATTTTATACGCCAGGCTATTTGTTATAATTTATCCTTGTTTGAGAGATAAGTTTTAACGGTAATGAATTTGAAGATTTATGTCTTCTGGAATGTGGCGCCGCTAGTGTGGTGGATAGTTACCAGAATTTCACGCTATTACCCAGAAGATGGAGGTAACAAGGTACAGGAAAACATTTTTATAGTTCGGAGCACTCTGTTGCATCGATCTTCATGGTGGTACAGTGAAAAGTTGGTAGAAGGTAGTAATATTCTAATTTTTGTCTCTTTTCACGCTTCTGGGTCACAGCCAGAGACGCAGGATATTAAGGACTCCTTGGATAGGAATTATCTAACCCTTTTCAAGGTCTGTACAGTTGTGTCACGCCTAAAATATCTTTGTGGTTGCTTCATCGTCAGATAGCTACGTAGCTCTTTATGACGTCATCGTGTACGAGAGTTACTGGATTCCACTTTCAGCAACGACAGAAAGCAAATCGCCATACCAGAAATCAGAGGATGTTTCTTCCGTATTGTATTGTATTTAGAGAGGGTGGGTTTCCCCATGCACTTAGACCAACTGTTGGTCCATTGTGCGTCCCCCTATGATATTCTACCAGTCTCTATTCCCTACCGATACTGGTGTGTGCCATCAGTCCCGACTCAGCCAGCGAGTACGGCCTCTGCTGGCTCAGCGGTATCTCGATGCTTCCCCCATCTACCAGAGGCGTTAGAGACTACTGTTGGGCGGGAAATGTCCTGAATTTGGCTCAGTGGTCCCCTTGGGACATGAGGTTCTTTTACGTGCCGTAAAGCTACGACACGGGACCCACGGCTTAAAGTCCTTCCCGGAGGACTTGTTCCCTGAATTTTTCCGCCCTTAAAAATTCCACGACCTCCGCCGGGTTTGAACCCGCGTACCTTGAGTCACGAGGTGGGAACGTTATCCCTAGACTATGGAGGCCGCTATGTTTCTTCTGTAAGATATGGTGTACCTTCAAGGACGTTTCAGACAGACATGGACATCATGCGGCTTGCTTAAAACCTGAGCTTCTTAGTTCAGGCTGTTTTCTGTAATAACGATTTTCTTTTTAAGCTCAAATATATTCTTAATTTCAAATTTATGAACTCGATTTTATAAATTTTCTGTATAATTGAAAGGCAACTTTCATAATATGAAAAGGGTCAGCGCCGTAATATCAGCCGAATTAAATCCTTAGTTTAGCCGGGTTAGCTCCGTCAGTCTACTAACTAGGCTACAGACTGTACGACCGGAGCAGAGAGATTTCACCGCTGCCGCGTTCAGATCGACTCTAGGGGCCACCCAGACATTTGTGTGGTGCGGTATGTGAACTACGGGCCTGCTGTTTAAAGAACCCCTATGAGATGTTTTCTTATGACTGTCATCATCATCATCATCATCATCATCATCATCATCATCTATTTCCACAATAACTGGTACGAGTCGTGCGGGAGACCCCCTGAAATATATCTGTTTTCCACTGATCTGGACTTGCAGCTTAGGGTTGTCAGGGTAAACTACACTGTAGAGCTGATACAGGTGACACGAGGTTCTCACAGCAGTGGTTATATGGAGTACTATCTTCTGTGATAGGCCGCGCCATAGCTCAAGCGGTTAGTCGCTGGCTTCCCACCGCGGCGGCCCAGGTTCGATTCTGGGTCTGGTCAAGTTGGATTTGTGGTCGATAAAGTGAAGCTGGGGCGAGTTTTCTCAGAGTACTTCGGTTTCCTATACCAATCTTCATTCCACCAAATTCTCCATCATCATAACCACCAGGAGCAAGCTACAATAGGCCAATCAGTGGCCGTCGTGCCGAGTGGACCCAGTTGGACTCCAGCCCCCACTAAGCGAATTAAAAAAAAATCTTCTGTAATGTGACGCCGCTCTCTGGTCCGGTAGAAGTACTCAGACGTTTAGGAGGAACATATTACCTCCAGCTTCATCTACTGGACTACCCGGCGTTACATTCCAGTTCCTACGTTTCTCCGTCACTACGAGCCACAGCATTTAAGCTTAGACCAGAGCGCAGTAGCAGTGCCGCAGTGGCTATGCTGTTTCCGGAACTTACAAATGATGCTGTCCTCTCCGGAAGCACGATTTCGGTTGACCAGAGAACACCAGCGATAACAGGCGGCCAGCAGGATAAACAGGCACAGCCCTGCCGCTGCGATGAGCACGACTCTCATGGCACTGGAATACAGAATCCTTTCCTTACAATCTGATTGTTTTTACATGTAAATTGTTACGTAACTCTTAATGTTTTTAATTTATGTTTCTTAAATTGCTCAGCATATTCTTAACATTTTTCGCGAATCGTATATTCATTTATGGCTTGATGTTAATCCTGTTTTGGGTAGTTACATTGTGTGGAGGTGAGAAATGTCAGACACACTTACACCCTGAAGATGGTGGCAGCGTCTACTTCTGAAACATCGGCAGTATCTCCCACTACCACACGGCGTAACAACTCAAGAATAATATTAACCACCATGAAAACGTAAAATCGGTAATAAAACGTAAAAGAGGGCAGTTGTCCGTGTGCTTAATTAATTAAGAACCACACCATAAAGATATATGAGGTAGTGGAGGTATAGCTCCGCTATTTTTGACCTCGGCACTAGTTGGTGGTGAGTGGTCAGCCTCATGTCCCAACTTCCTCCCCCCCCCTTCCTATATCAGTTGTGTAGGAGACTGTGTGAGCACCAGAGCCGGTCTGGACACTGTGGAGAAGAGAAAATTATATTTCCTCTGCTGGGAATCGAACCCCGGCCGTCAAGCTGGTAGCCCTTCTGTATACCGACTGAGCTGTCGCGGCTCTCCAAATCAGTAATATTTACAATTTATTTAACGACGGTCTCACTAGCTCAGGAAGTTCAGAGTCGGAATGTAGGAATACTCAGTGAACTAAAAAGACGTGGATGGGCGCTGCTGTCGTCTAATTTCGGCTAATATCCCGACGTTTACTTGAAGAGACTTGAGAAACCACGAGACACCTCAGGATAACATGAATCCGGGACCTCCCGATTACGAAGTGGAAGCGCCATCCCGTCGACAGTGGCGTTTGGCATATGTGTTTGTACGATTTCAGTCTCAAGGTCAAAACATGCAATGCCTCGGCAGATATGCGACTTTTGACAAGTTTCCTGGAAGGCATCACTTGTTCGGTAGCACGCGTACCGGTTAAAAGTTACTCTGTATGCGTGTGTGGATATACGTATTTATGGATAAGTGCATACCTCTTAAATGCGGAATAATTCGAAAATAAAATAAAATAAACATCTTAAAGAAGCTAAAATAAACTAAACCATGCATGCATTTTTCATATAACGAACACAGACTGATAGAGATTCTCTCTGAGTTTCTTACAGACTTCACAGACGGCCGTGCCATAGCTCAGGCGGTTAGTCACCGGCCTCCCACCGCGGCGGCCCAGGTTCGAACCAAGGTCAGATCATGTGGGATTTGTGGGGAACAAAGTGGCACTGGGGCAGGTTTCCTCTGAGTATTTCGGTTTCCCCTGCCAATTCTCATTCCACCTACCGCTTCGCACTCATCATCATCATCATCATCATCTGGGAGTGGTGGACTAGGCCAAGCAGTGGATGATGTACCAAGTGAACTCAGTCTTACCCCCCCCCACACACACACACAAAACTTCACAGACAGAGTGTGACCTTTGTGAGGCACACCAAAGACGTCGATCCAATATTCCTCTAGTTCTTTCTTGACCTTTACCAGAAGCGGGCACGACCAGACCTTGCCTCTTGTGGACACACACCCTTTGGTTTCAAACTGATAACATTACGCGTGAATCATCATCTGTTATACTGGATCTATCCGCAACCGTTTACGAAACTTCCATTGGTTGACTCTTGTAACAGAATTCGTTTTCGGATACTGAATAACACAGAATGCTTTGTTTTCTGCTGATGAAATATTCAAAATACTTGAGCGTCTAGCGGACATAAAGAGAACCACATTTCTGACTGGTGTCACGAATAATAGAAAAGAACAATAGATCAGATTAGCTACCTGTCAGTGTATGTAGCATAAATGTGAAATGAATGGTTATTGTGTTGTTAGTACGAGTATCTAAAACTGTTTGTTTCTATGAGACAAACACCGTCTTAAGTGTAACAATTTAATTGTAGTTCTTTTTTCTTTCCCTCCTCCACACTACATGTTTCGGCCCTAAATGGCCATCATCAGGTGTGTATTCTTACGTAGCTGCTACACTGCCTGTTAAAATTTAAAATCACCAGTATTTCTAATTTTTAAATTTTAACAGGCAGTGTAACAGCTACGTAAGAATACACACCTGATGATGGCCATTTAGGGCCGAAACATGTAGTGTGGAGGAGGGAAAGAAAAAAGAACTACAATTAAATTGTTGCACTTAAGACGGTGTTTGTCTCCTATATATTGTGTGAGTGTAACAGGATGCTCAAATATAATACTGTTTGTTTCGTTTTGAATTACTCTGTGTTTGCCACCGCAGATCGGCGGATGCTCCTTACGGATATCCGTATGATATGTCATAAGTATTTGAATGTTCCAGTTTTATTGACTTTTGTTCATCTTACTACCATGATCTACGTTGTTTCAAAGAGATCAACTAAAATTCGCTTAGTGGGGGGTGGAGTCCAACTGGGTCCACTCGGCACGGCGGCCACTGATTGGTCTATTGTAGGCTGTCCCGGGTGATTATGATGATGGAGAATTTGGTGGAATGAAGATTGGCAGAGGAGACCAGAGTACTCGGAGAAAACCCGTCCCAGTGCCACTTTGTCCACCACAGATCCCACTTGACCAGACCCGGGATCGGAAACCGATCGACTAACTTCATGAGTCTTTCTTGAGACATTAACAGCCACTCAGCCACTTCAGTTGAAACACTTTCAATAATTCTGACCCCTCTTATACGCATCACCGAGCACGTGCCACTCTGCTGCTTGTTGTAACTGATCATGGACTGCAGTTCACAAATATGATTAGATTACAAGCCATTGAACGTTTGAAGAGACACTGACGAATCGTCGTTTTGATAAAAACAGTGTCTTGCTATGGGCGGGTCTCATTGACGCTTAGCTATGTTTCTAGACCTGGCATTTGGGTGGCGCATAAGGAGAAGTGTGGCAGCAAATAGCGGAGCAGTGGTTGTAGCTATAATTTTAGCAGGCGGGAGGGTAAACATTTGTTTTAGTGACCCATACACGCACCAAACTCTTTATCTCAGTTAATTCACTGGACCAAATGTACTGCATATTCCGCCAAGAAAAGTCAGAACTAATTGTGAACCCCCTGCATGGCTTCTATTACTGGATTGCATCTTATCTCTTACTGTAAAGAAGAATTAATACTTTTCGTGTTACACACGACACCCTTTGAGTTGAAGAATATCTCACATTTAATTAGTAGTTAAAGATAGCTCGTTTTAAATTTCGGTAATATAAATTGTTAGTTATGTTAGAAAGGAAATATTAAAGGACAGGGTTAAAAATGCACTGCATCTTAATATTTGACTTACTGCATATTAATATATTTACTGATTATTTCTCAGCTAAGATCAGCTGGCAGGATGTCTGTGAATAATGCGTTGGAGGGATATAGTCTGCCCTGATCAAGGCAATATCCTAGAATTCGCTTGAATAGACTGAGAAAACCACGCAATACTTAAGTCAACGCAGTCGGATCACCGAACCTTGATTGATATCCACTTTAGTGTGATTTTGGGTATATATGATTATCTACCACGTTCTTAAATTTTGATAATTTTAGTTGATATCTATAAAACTCGGCCTGAAGATCTTGTCCTTAAAAGTCACCCTGGGTCCATGTTTAAAATTAATTGATTGAAACACGACAATCATTTAATAGTTCTGATTACGGTAATACTACAGTACATTAAATTTAAGATCTTGAAAATTCATTGAACACTATACAGAATGTTCAGGGATATTTTTATATGACGTGTGATATGCATCTGTCTATAATGTAGGAAGAAGCATTTCTTGTATTTTCAAAATAATCTTACCCGCACGGTGACGTTGCAGATATTTTAGGCTATGTAGACCAAAGGAGCAGACACTAGAATTTGCTAGGTCTGTCCAGTATAATCATTAACAAATTACATCGAATATTTTCACTGTATTTTGCCAAGGGGTCGGCTAGACGCATCTCTGTAATTCATAGGCGACAATATTCGTATTTTATCTTACGCACACACATTTATAAAACGTTATAGTGTGACCAAAACAACAAAAGCTTATTGTACGGAAGACAACTAAAGCATGTTAAATTATGCTGTAAAGATACAATAGGCCCATACCCGTAGTACACAAAAACAAGTACCCGCTATTGGATTCTTGCCTGTTCTGACTGATCTAATCACACTGTCACAACATATTTATTAGTGAGAACTAATCAAGAAGTGGGGAACTCTAAAAACCTTTCCGTCGCAGTGGCTGTTAAGAAGAAAAAGGTCGAGTAGCTGCGGCTGATGATTAGAATGGATCAAACAAAAGTGGCTAAAACGCTTTCGAGAGCCAGCCAGAACGGAGATGAAAAGTACGAAGGTCCAGACGCATAGGGCCGGAACGCGTAAGCTATTATTTACAGAAACTGAAGTCCAAGATATGGAAACAAAGAATAGAAAACATGGACATCTTTATTAAAGAAGGACAGGGCCCTTAGACGGCCATAAAGCCAAGGAGTAATTAATTAATTTTAATATTATCATCCATTTTATACCTGGATCTTCTGCGTTGTCTTTCGAAATGAAATATTTCGATTAAAACTTCGTTATTTGGAGCACTGGAACAACCACTTATAACGTAGTGTGATTTATATATCTCCTATGTTTATGCTACGTGTCCAGCCAACATCTTCCCTTTTTAATAACTCACACTAAAATATAAAGTGAAGAGTACAAACATTAAACTATTAATTTTGTAATTTTCTCCAACCCACCCTTACATCAATATAGCACATATATATACTAATTTACCATACCTTAAATCCATGTTTTACAGTCGTTTTGATTCTCACGGGTTTAAAACATTGTTGTCACATATTGCAGAAATCATTTCACATCCTCACCACAGCGCTGGCTGCCATCTGCACCGCCGTGTGCTCTGATGGTGTCTCTCCTTATCAATCAAGCCCTTATCATTTGTCATTATCAGCAACGGACGTCATGACCGGGGGAGTGATAGAGCAGGTAGAGTAAACTGACAACATCGCAATAAAATCCTCTGCCAATTTTAACGCTATGCAATAAGAGGACGGATCTGGTAGTTGTCTCTCTCGCGTCCAAACTCTGTGATCTTATTATTAGCCGATGACACTCGCATCTTCGTGCGCTAACTGACAGTTTCCTTGTGTGCAGACCGTTTATTTAGCATGCATCTTCAGATTGCCGATCCGTTTGTCAGGATTTGCTGACATTTTTAAGAGGATATGAGTACAACTGATTAAATGACTAGCGAACGAACCAACCAAACAAGTAACTTAATAAATAACGAATTATGTAACTATCAAACTAGCCAATTAACTAAGTAAAGTGCTAATTTCTTTTCCTTGGCACTAGAGCCGCAGTGGGCCTAGGCCTACCTCCATGAACTTCTCCGTTCACTTCGGTTTTTCTAGATCTTACACATTCGGTAGGACCCCTTGGCCGGGTGATCAGCTCGTCGCAAGGCCTCTACCTGTACACAAACACAGAAAAACGCACACACACAAACTAAACATCCATGCCCTGAGTAGGACTCGAACCCACGATCCCGGTTTCCAAGCGAGCGAAGACAGTACATGCCTTAGACCGCTCGGCTACCGTGATCAAAGTGCTAATTAAGGATCCAACTAATTAACAACAATTGTAAGTAACTAAATAACCTTTCTACCACTCAACTAAGCAAACAACATACAGACCAGACAGGACCAGTTTTGTAATTTACTATTCCCTTGCTGCAGAATCTCTCGCAAGCAACAGATCAAGAAATTCCTAGCTTTTTTGACACAGAACCCTGCCAATGGATCTTATCGTGAGCGAGCTGAATTTAGTACATTCCTACACAGACTAGTTCTTACTAGACCGTCGCATCTGTCTCCTGTGTCTCCCAAGCGGACTCTCGCCGTGTGTCTCTTGTGCAGACCTTGTATTAAATTCTGAGTACTAAACATCTTCTTGTAACCATTTTTAATTTAATCTCTCCGACGATACTAGACGAAGAATATAAATCATATTAAGTGATTTCGTCCACTCCAAACATCTGTTTCTGATGGGGATGTTCATCTCTGAATTTTCCTACATTATTCCGCTTTATTTCTTGTCTTCTCTTGTGTTGTTTCTCCGAATATAACGTCTAGTATTCTTTGGCCAGCCCTTTAGCGTAACTTAGTATCCGAGATAAGAGAGGATGATTTCACTTTCCTGCCTACATGACATTCTAATATTTTGCAGCATAATGTTCGGAGATGTTTATAGTCAAGTACTGTGAAGTGACAATGATCTCATCATGCTCATATCTGTTTGTCTCTTTGCTATAAATGACTTTGGAACTGTTTCATTTCCATGAAACTTCGCACACAGAACATTACACTGGAAATCACCCTATACGTTGCTTCATCAACAATACCAACACTTCCCCATGCGATGTTTTGTACTGGTACGAACACCAATTTCCAATCAGTGTACATCGCCAAATGCCGACCGAGCGACCGCCGCTTGTCGGCGAAATTAGTGCCAAATTTTACGGATAGAGGGTATCACATGGTCAGCGGAACGAATTCCCACGGCCGTTAATCTCGGATTGATAGACGGGAGCCGCCATTTCCTTGAAATAGCTCCTCAATTATACTCACGAGGCCGAGTCGACCCCGTTCCAGACCCACTACTCCTCAAAAAATTCAAACCCGGACCTCTAGATCTGTAACCAGGAACTCTGACCACTAGGCCACAGAGGCGGTCTATCGGTATATTTCGCTTGCGGACTAAAACCACGGAGTTTTTTTGTTGTTGTTTGTACATTGCTGAAGTAAGAAGTTATTTAACAACGGCTTTCGGCTACGTTATTGCATAAAGTCGATGAGGAATTATGTGATTAGAACATGAAGCTGACCCACTCTCCTCCTCTCATTCTGAAGTCACGAATGCTGGGAGATGTACCTCCACTCCACCAGACGTATTCATAGCACTAGGGGAGAAGTAACATATATAAGTCAATTTTGGTTTGTGAGACAGTGTTTTTGCATATAAATGACAGCGCACATTCACTTCAGACAATGATTAATTATAAACTATAATACTACAGCACTTTTTATTAACATATCCATGAGCAAGCTTTCACGATAATCTTACAGGGACCAGTTACTGTTCTGAAATGTTAGTGGTAAATTCTTGGATATCGGCTAAACTACCAAATAAAATCCAAAACTGATAGTAAAAATTTCAGTTTAATTTAAATCGTTGAAAGTTCCTTCAGTTTGTTTTCGTTCACCGTTTTGTGTTTATGTCATCATTGACAGCACCTCTGTAAAATTTCGCGTTCCGCCACTGACTCGTCTAAACACACCACTGCTTTGGACGTCACAGAATATTTACGAATCATGCGTCAGTTTGTAAGACATCAAAAGATAACGGAGTTAATATTCAACAACGACACTGATCTGAACAGTGTTTGAAATTAGTTCACATGCAAGGAATTTTATAAAAAAATATTTTCAGTACGTATAGTAGATTCACTACTGCCATGATGAACTTACATCTGACTGAAAGGTACTGGCCCACTATATCTGTAAGCAAACAGGCTTTTTTAATGCTGGTGGGGTGGGACTAAGTCCCTTGTACTGCGGTCACTTCTGGCCTATTGTACCGGCCCCAGATGATAGGTGAGGATGATTGTGGAGCAATTGGTGGAATGAAGATTGGCAGGGGAAACTGAAGTACTCGGAGAAAACCTGCCCCAGCGCTACAGTGTCCACCACAAATCCCACTTGACCAGACCCGGGATCGAACCCGGGACGCCGCGGTGGGAAGCCAGCGACAAACCGCTTCAGCCATGGCCTTAAACTGAGGCTTACTCATATGTTATTTGTGGTTCTCATGGCGGTGGAAATGAAGGTAGAAATATAAAGTTGTCCCTGTGCTTAACTAATTAAGCACTAAAGCGTATGGGGGAGTGGATCTATACATCCACATTTTCTTGACCTCGGCACTAATGGATGTAAGTGGTCAGCTTCACGCCCCGGCCGCTTTATCCCCGGGGAAAGAGACCCCGGTACCCATTCGATGGGAGGTTGGGTGGACCCAGAGCTGGTCCGGATGAAGTGGAGAACAGAAAATTCTTGACCCTACCGGGACTCTGACTCCTCCGTCGCCCACCCCGCAGCAAGTTGCTATACCGACTGAGCTATCCAGGCTCAAAGGTGACAATGAATAATACTATAATTTAATTTAGAATATGACGTCGTGTAGTATTTTCTGATACCTCTCTTAAATTTATTTGGCGGTAAGAGTCTGTTTATGATTTAGTGTGTGTTTTTATGCACCCACAGAAGTTGTAGTTACGCTCAGGATGTAACAGATGGCGTCACTCATCAGACGCCGGCAATATGCACATAGATATATACATATATGATTTCTTTTTCAAAATAAAATATACACGTACGTATATACATATTTTCAAATCTAGGACAAATAAAACGAATGAGAAAGAAATAAAGGAATGAGGATAACTGGAGACAAAAACTTCTTTAAGACTTGTAGAATTTTCAAAGGACCTTTTCTACTTGTACGATAAAGCTTCGAATACCGAATAGGCCATTCTATTTTATTTAACTGCGTGGACAATGCTATTTGGAATCCGAAGCAAGTCCCTAACATTATGGGTTCACTTATACTACGTATTCGCTACATCGCTAATGTAGTTTCTGATGACAAGGCCCCAGTCCTCGGTTGCTGTATCCCTGGACCGTTCACCACTAACGAATAGGGCGGCGGTGGTCCATTGTCTTTGTAAGCTGTAATGAATAATTGATTATTTTAAGAAACAAGAATGAGAAGTGTCTGCATCAGCAGATCAAAATTTGTACCGCAGAAATGGTTCATATGTCATTCTGATCAAAATATTCCAGTAGGATGACTTCACTCAGAACACTTCTTGTTTCTTACCGGGTGGAGGTTCCCATTGTCGCTGTTTCGGTGCTGTCATCGGCCAGCTTGTGTTTGTATGTCTTCGGAGAGCGGTCCGATTATCTGTAAATGAAATGCTAATTATTGAAAAGCAGCCTGTAACAGATATATACGTATGAACGCGCTGGCGAGGGCCAGCAACAATTATAAACGACAGACGCATCCTCTCGACAGAGAGGATGTTACGTAAGAACTATGAAAGCAACTTCTGAGTTAATTAAATTGCTGGTCGTGAGTCTCAAGGGGCTTGTCGCAAAGACGAACTGATTGGCTGTAAACACTAGCCGTAAAGTAATTCTGACTCTGATTCTGACCACAGTTCACCGTGCTTGCTGCTTGGCTTACTCTTTGACCACGAATATGGAAGCAGTGCATTCCTCCGGCCGTTGGTTAACTTTTGCCGGACTCCATCGCGTTACATTCCAGAAGTCAGTTCTCCTTACTTGAGTGCACTTACCAGCGACAAAGATGTCTCTGCGATGTTCCTTCGGAAACAAGATACTGACGAACCGGTAACAAGTGAACACAAAGCACACCATGAGGACGCTTGCCACCAGCGTTATGAAGAGGATCATCGAGGAAGAGACTGCTCTGGAAAATTGAGGCATAGTCAACACTTTCGTAACCGTATTCAGGAATGATTTGCAGAATAAGTTCTGTTACAAAATCACAGCGTTTCAGAGACTTCATAACGGTTACTAATCAAACAATCTTAGTTACAAATTCAGTCCGATTGGGGTTAGATTCTAGGTAGTAATTTTTTTAATCGCTTATTGGGTGGTGGAGTCCAGCTGGGTCCACTCGGCACGGCGGCCACTGATTGGCCTATTGTACCTGCCCCGGTTGATTATGATGATGGGGAATTTGGTGGAATGAAGATTGGAAGGGGAAACCGAAGTACTCGAAAAACCCCGCCCCAGGGCCACTTTGTCCGCCACAAATCCCACTTGATCAGACCCGAGATCGAACCCGGGCCGCCGCGGTGCGAAGCCAGTGACTTACCGCTTGAGCTATGGGGCGGCCTTCTAGGTGGTAAATGGATTTTACACGTACTTTGCAGTCAGCTTTGGGTTTCGTGGCATTCTAGCCAATGGGCGAGGCAGAGAAGCTGGAGTGCAATTAAACCAATCATCATGAACCAGTTCCGTGATCTAGAATATGTGGAGTTTTACCTCCACACAAACACAAAACTATTTCATAGTTTGTTAGTAAAGAAGAACCAGCGTTAAGTTTTTCTTTCATTTATTACACATTTTTAATAATCCTATAGATCGACATTATTGAGAAATTACGAAAAGTTATGACCTTAACTCTGTGACATGTATCCCGAACTGGATATGTCTAAGCTGTTACAAATCTTAAATGAAACGTTTAAAATCATCTTAAATTTGGAATAAAGTTTAGTTGTTGTTGTAGGGGTCAACATGTCACAATATATATATATATAAATGTAGACTGTTACAACTATTCTGACCTGCTGTCTGTTATATATATTCTTTGTGTTTTGCTACATTATGACAGTTCAAAACGTTCTGTATGTCCTCTGTATAAATTATATAAACTTTCAAAGTTGTAAAGCTCTTTTTGAATCACCCTGTATAGTAGTGGTAACAGTCTACATTTGTATTAAGGAGGTGTTTGGTTTGAATTCCTGCTGGGACAGTGGGTGTCCTTATTAAGGGTTTTCGTGGTTTTCTTCAATTTCTCCAGAAAATGCTGGTATATTCCCTGGATGAGGTCACTACCTACTTTTTCCAGATCCTTTTCAATTCGTCATTCATGTATCGTCCCACCATTCAAGCTATATAGTCTAGATCCGGACAGCGTCGCAAAATAACCCGTTTCCAAACAACAAACAGAAAATGCAAATTTATGAAGGTAAACATTAAAGCTATCCCTGTAACAGGCCGTGGAGGTCCATAGGGTTGTGAGACGTCGAGGATCCCACATTTTCTAGACAGTCGACTCATAGATGGTGGTAAGGTTGTCAGCCCTACGCGCCGACCGCCCTTAACCCCCAAGAATATTCCAAGAATATTCCTGGTACTCATTTCTGTTAGAGGCTGAGTCGACCCAGGGCCATAGTGCGGCTGGAAGGATTAGGTGAATTAAAAAATCCAGTGATCTCATCGGGATTCGACCCCATGATCTTCCGGCTTTACTTTATCAAAATGCCTGAAAAATATTCTAACTGACGTATATGTGTTAAATAACCAGAATTAAGTAACTGTAGAGAACAAGAGTCCATCAGAAGCTGAGAGTCATATTCTACAAGTCGTTTGCCTTTCAAAGAGCCAAGTCGTTCATTACCATGTCCAAAGTATCCCTCCACCAGCCCCTCACCTGAGATACTTATACACCTAGTCCAGAATAAATTCCTTTAAGATTCAATTTACGTGTATCTATGCGGGTGCCTCCCAAGTAGTCATTCGTCTGAGTTTTCTGACAAAAATTCTGTATGTGTTTCTCATATCTCCCACGAACGCTGCATAACCTGTTAACTATTTTATAAGCTTGTTGTATTTACTCCGTGATTACTTACTTTGCATTATCATGTCCATCTTTACCACGTATGTTTTGTTGTACTGAATTGTCTTTCACTAGAATAAGTAGTTCAGTTTCGCATTAACACCACAGACGCGCGTAGCTCTCAACTATCTGAACACGAGATTGACTCGCGTCGTTTACCACATGCCCACGTTTGCGTCTAATTTAAGGAACCCTGAAGGCGCTCCTACCAGATTTCTTATCGTGCTGAATTATATTTTAATATCCTCAGCAAACAGTGGCGTCAGCACGTTCTGTTTGGCTTTGCATATCCTTTGGAAGTTTATATCATTGCAACTACAGGGTGATGTGTCTGAATGACGTCAGGATTACTTCATTCTGCGAGGTCTCTTAACACCAAGCTCACATTCATACAATGCGAATTTTTGTCACAAACGAGGTTTTGTCAACTGATTCGTGACAGAACCATCATCCGCATTGTGTCAAGGAAATATCTTTATGGAGCAGGGTCGTGTACTTAGAAGCTTATAAGTGCTCAGATAGGAAATCGCGCGCCTTATATGGAAATGAAAAGCCGGCCAGTCTCGAAGCTGAAGAATACTGTCTTCTGGTATATAACGCCATGTAGTCCTTTGAAATATGTCGCCTACATTGTCAGCGCTGGTATAAACCTCGGCTTATTCAACCTTGAACATTGAGGTGCTATTTCCTCCGAGACGTCGATGTACTTTCAATGAACTACATGACATTATATTCCAGAAAGTAGTAAAGCTAAAGGTAAAGGTATCCCTGTAACAGGCCGCGAAGGCCCATAGGGTTGTGAGACGTTGGGGCTTCCACATTATCTAGACAATCGGCTCGCAGATGGCAATAAGGTTGTCAACCTTACGCACCGGCCGCCCTTTACTCCCTGAGTCGAACCCAGGGCCATAGTGCACCTGGAGGGATTAGGTGAATTGAAAAATCCAATGATCTCATCGGGAATCGAAACCGCGCCCTTCCAACTTGTAGCGTAGTGCCACAACCAACTACGCTACAGCGTGCCTCCATCCCGGAAGATACACGTAGTACCGCTGTGAGAACCTCAGAACCCTCGCACTTAGCTGCTGATATGTATACTCGTTACTGTGTACGTCATTCCTGCGACATGAATTGTCAAATTCCGTCTGAATATTTGTGCTTCACACGAGACAACTGGATATGCGCGCTAATGAGCAGAATATTTGTTCTACTTTACACGTGCACAAGGCTGACAGTGTACAAACATGCACGTTATGTAAGGCCCATACGTATATCCATGAAGGCTACTCTGTAATTTAAGGGTCATACGTCGAGAAGAGAAGCATACTTATCAAGGCAATATAAGGAGATAAAAGTACAGGTCGTACATATTGATCCTGCTTGGAATTTCTGTCGTAAACAGGTTTTACTGTAATAAAATGCTTTCACTTTACAGCTAGCCTTCAGATAAATTACCAGACGGCTACAACGCTCTACACTCGTATTCGGTATGTAATGGTAAATTTAACCCTGTGCTGAATTAATTAAGCATCACGCCTTGAAGACGTATGGGAGAGTGTTGGTATGGCTCCACGTGTTCTAAATGTCAGCTCCACTTTACCATCAGTGAAAGGGCCGCCGGTTTCCAGTATATAGGAGGCTGGTTGGCTTCAGAGCCGGTACGGACTCTGTGGATAGAAGAAAATTCCCTGACCCTGCCGGGAATCGAACCACGACCGTCCAGCCCGTAGCCCGTTGCTGTACTGAGCTATTTCGGATCGCTCCCTTCAACCGTGTGCCCGGAGACCTGATATTCTGATTGAGATTTTTCATTGTTCTTTTCATTCCCTCCAAGAAAATACTGTGATAGTAACTCAAACTAGGCCACAACCACTCATTTTTTTTCCTTGGCACTACAGCCCCAGTGGGCCTAGGCCTACCTTCATGAACTTCTCCGTTTCACTTCGGTTTTTCTAGATCTTACACATTCGGTAGGACTCCTTGGGCGGGTGATCAGCTCATCGCAAGGCCTCTACCTGTACACAAACACAGAAAAACGCACACACACAAACTAAACATCCATACCCTGAGTGGGATTCGAACCCACGATCCAGGTTTCCAAGCGAGCGAAGACAGTGCATGCCTTAGACCGCTCGGCTACCGTGACCGGCCACAACCACTCATTTACACGTCTTTTATAAGTGATCGTTCACTTGCCTTTCTACCATTCGACTCTATATTACCCACGATATTGACAGCATCGTTAAGTAAACCATAGATAAATATAACAAAGTATATACAAACTCATGTCGTCATATTCATAAAAGCTAAGACATTTATAGTATAGCCGGTAGCCTTCCGTACGATGAATGGAATATAAATTTTAATTCGGAATAAGTTAAGTAGGCAAAGAAAACCTACTATACTTGATGGAATAATCAATTTCTAAAGCAATGGCTCGGTAAACACAGCCTAAAAGCCGGAACAGCAGCAGAAGCGGAAGTTAATTTGCTAGGCAACGACACGCAAACACCTGTTTCCGCGGCAACGAATATTAACAAAGGCATTTCCGTGACGACCAAGAGAACAACAGAGGACAATTACCTGTTCGACATGGTGTCTTATATTCGGACCGCCTGGCAGTTATAAAACGGACTTCATTCGTCAATTCGTGAGTGGTAGAGATCAGTCCGAAGTTCTTCAGAGAGATTGTAGACATGCGTCTTTCAGAAGGAGTTCAGTGTGTGAGCTGTTATAATTGACTGTAATTGTAAAGAAGTGCCAAAAACCCAGTCATCAAATCCAGAACCCATTGTGATTAGTCACGCTAACCCCTTACACGTGATAGTACTTTAAGTTATTTAAGTCTACATCGATTCATTTTCATCTGACAAATAGTAGGTCCACCAGTACACGTGCATACTCTATAATGACTGATTATCAAGCCTGTTTATATCCCTATAACGTTCTGGATTCGCATTTGAGAGCTATACTTTCTTAAGGTCCATTTTAATTTTTTCTTCTTCTCTATGTCCAAGGATTTCACATGATCCTAGCAAAATTTTGTTTAAAATATTCACACATCCATGTTAAATACCTACATTATAAGAGGTTATGGGAAACATTAATCGTCTGCTTTCCATTGATACGACACGAACCGCTTAGAAAACGAAAAAAATTAGAGGGACTCACAGACAAACAGACAGAAAGATGATCTCATAAGACTCCTTAGAAAAATTATGGAGGGGATACACAGAGAGTAAGGAAATCTCATAAGTCTCATAACCCTAAAAATTATGGGGGATACAGATGGACAGACACAGACGGATACACAGACAGCAAGGTTATCTTATAAGCCTCCTTTAATTTTTTTTCGAAGTATGGAATGTGAAATAAAAATGAAAAGTTCTTACACATTTCCTTGTGTACATGATCTTCGAATGCACAGATGCCTATCTTACTTCAAACAAGATAAGTTCTTCTCTTGATGTGTTCTCTGTTCTTGCTTTCCAAACAGAACAGCTCACTGAAACTTCACGTTCCCTATCTGGGTGAAACACTAACACCATCTGACTCCTGTTGCGACAAGCAGCAGGCCTTCTGCGATGTTTTCATTGTATAACACAACTGCCGTCGCAGTGCACTTCAAGTGGATTCAATTCAACCAGTCCTCGTGACACCTGTCAGTGCCTTAATTTATGAACTGTGTTTCCGAAATGAAGATGCCCTGCTGAAACAGGGTGTGTAAAAATTATTTTACTTTACAGTATTGCGGGGTATCTGGGCTTTGCATGTCATCAAATATAGATAAACAGAACCCGTTTTTTTTAGAATCAAAATCTTCTGTCGTCAGGTCAGGGATACCTCAGTAGTCCACTGGACCGCTGGATCAGCGGAGGCCATGGCGAATGAAAGATGATTAGAAATGATTGATTGTCTTTGAAAAGTGCTGAAGTTAGTACTTCCTGAAGTGTTCTGCTTTGGGACAAAATGATCTTTAGTTTGGTGAAAGTCAAAAGATGTTTCGGAAGAACATAACATCTCCATCTTCACGGTTAAAGTTGAAGGCAAACAAAAGAAGAGTAAGAATCAGACAACAAGAAGAGAGCTCTGCTCTAGAACTCTTTATAATAACAACATTGAGAAAATTAAACCCTCTTTACTTTCTACTTTAGCTTTATCGTCCCCCCCCCCACGTGTTATTAGGCCATTTGTGCTTGAATTGCACTGCAATTTTGAACACTGATGAAGCAGGCTCTAGGTCATTTTCTTACGTCATATTATTTTTATATAAAAAGAAAGTCGACTGGTAAGTGACATTTAATTCCTTCTGTCACCACACAAGTGCATAATTTTTGTAATTCACAATCGAAAATCTAATGTCTCGGATCTCCAGCAGTCGCAATGTTCCCGTTCCTAAATATCGGTTCAGTGTCACAGTACAATGAAATCGACGGTGCTGGGAATAATCATAGACATTTGTTCGCTTTTTCTATCTCATTTTTTCGAATTCATTATACATAGTCTCCCTTACTCCTCTGTTGACACTATGTAACCTCTTCAGTTTATTCAATGTAGTCAGATAAGCAACAAATGAATCAGTGAGTTGCGATTGGATCGAAAGTTGGGTCGATCCGAGGGACTTTGTTAGGTAAAGGGAAGTACGCATTTATCTCTATATATATTTACGTAATTGTTCTCTTGCATTGCACATTACTAGTCAGTGTCTTTATTCGTCTAATTCATGCTCCTTAACACTATAAACACACGAAAGAAACACACGCAAACACAGTCCTCGGTGTGGAAACCTTTCAACCAACAGCTACACGAGCTTCGGTGCCTTGAAATATGTTCCTGCCATTGGCTTCAGCCGTAACTGCTCCAGAAACTCCTTCGCTCCGGTGAATTTACTATTACAAGAACGCACGTAACCTGGAAGTGGCCTCTCTCAACAGTCCACCGCGGCTACAAATGTAAAGTCCGTGAACTGCTGTTTGTGTGGTTCTCTGTGATTGCAGTTGGTAGTCCTTGCTCCTGAGTCGGCAAAGGTTGCAGTGTCAGAGATGAGTAAGACGGAGGAGGATCTTCGTTGTAGGCTGTGCATAAAAGAGAAAAAGTATAAATTTCATAAAACTATCCAGAATGAAACGGGATACCAAATAATTATCAGTTCAGCGACATAACAGTTTATGTTCATGGTTTGTTCCCGCTACGAAAATTAAAACTACTCATCCGAAATATTTGTCTGGCCTCCCTGATATCATTTGTCTTTCGATTTGTAGGTCTGTGGATATAACCGCTTCAGAATTACATTTCCAGGTATTATTTCCAAATGTTATGGATATCTGTTGTGATTAATCTTAGTATTATGCTGATGATAGTGACCGCGCGGCCTAAGGCAGTGGTTCCCAACCTTTGTCAGACTAGGGCCCGGTAAATTATTTTTTTCTATAAGACGAGGGCCCGGTATAATTGATGCCAGGGCCCGATACAGGGCCGTGGCCCGACGGTTGAGAAACACTGGTCTAAGTCATGAACTGTCTTCGCTCGCTCGAACACTGGGATCGTGGATTCGAATCTCGCTCAAGGCATGAATATCTGTATGTGCGTTTATTGTGCTGTCCTATGTATAAGTAGCGGCTTTGCGACGGGCTGTTCACTTGTTGAAGGAGTCCTACAGTCTGTGCAACAAGATCACGTGACTGAAGAAGAGGCCAGGGCCCAGCAGGGGTCTGTAGAGCCGTTGATGAATGAATGAATGAATGAATGAATGAATCATAGTACTGTAGCATATTACTTATAATGTTAGCAGTTTCTCCGAGATATTTTAATTAGACCCTATGTTTATTGTCGTAATTTCAGAAGCGGCCATGAGGAAATTCATTTCTGTAACCTTAATTTTTCTGATTGGTTCTTTTATTAAGATCCAGTGTTTAAATCCCTAAAAATGCATTAGTATGCCTACTATGACGTAATAGCAGAGCCCCATGAGCTCTGTAAGAGCGAGGTGTCTCGTTTCTTTTAGAAAACTGGACAGAACGACTAAGTGTTCTTACTGGTGTGACATCGGGGTCTTGTCTGAGTTGACTAATTTTCAGATTGGGCAACCTTCTGTTACTGTACCTGGCGGCAAACTCTCGTAAGATGGAGGCTGCTCCGAAACTGCGCAGTACTCGGAACACTCACAACGAGGACACGTCATTGACATAGGAGCGGCAGCATCGATTATTGCCACAGTGGACAGGCTTCTGGCGGCTGAAAACGAGAGCAGTTGATTCGTATTGTGAACACTCTTAGGATTATAAAGCGGTTCCTCAAATATCTCAGGCCCTCGACCACACAATTCTTTATCAATTACAGTTAGGAAAGTGGAAGGAACAAGTTGATGATTCCGTAAATATTTACATCGTCATTATGTTGGTCACCGTCCACTGCCTACTCCTCTGAATTCTGTCCTCTGCCATTTTCGACAATTGGAGATTCATTCTGGACACGACACGCTTGTATTAAACACTGCATCACTATCACGCCACGATTATATTCAACTCTACCTGTCGTTATCATGACACTTATTTTGGACACTGTTTATTGCCCAGTCGTTTGGTGCTTGACTGATACATTTGACGCTGTATCGTTTTCATCATAAAGAGCAGATGTCATTTTCGCAACTTGGCTGATTCTAGGCAGAAGATGGTGGCCATTATGCTCTTCCGAAACTCTGATATTCACCTACCAGATTACAAGACGGCGTAATTGCTCAGAAGACAAAATTATTGTGGCATGTAGTCCCTTTGCTAGGCAACGACCGCAAAATAAGAAGCTATACAATAGCAATTGCTAAGTAATGGCTCTGTAAACAACGACCTTTGCTAAGTAATGACGGCATCAGACACGCACGCAACAATATAAAAACTGTTGGAAGCGGTTTTCTCTATGCTGTACGTGCTGAGGCTATATAATGAAGGCCAGCTGCCTTTAGAGCAGAGTGCGGAGTCTTGAGACGACAGTAAGCAGGGTAGGGGGTTGATGTGAGGTGGTCTCCAGCGTGAGAGTTAGTGGAATGGAGTGAGTTGATTAGTGAGTGGGTTAGTTAGAGGACTGCTGTGGTTCGGTATTTTGTGAGCTGTTGCTTTTAGAAGCTGGTAGCTGAGGCACGGGAACAATTCAAGAATCTTAAAGGAAGGGGAAGGTTCACCATCGAAAGCCGTTGGCAGGCAACGACTGATGAAGACACAGCAGTCTGAGAAGATTTAAATGTATTCTCTAGTGAACTGAAGAGTGTGTGAATTAACGATAGCGCCGTAGTTACTTGTAGTTACGGTCAGTAAGTGTTCAATAAAGCGGCCTCCGTAGTCTAGAGGTAACGTTCCCACCTCATGACTCGTGGTACGCGGGTTCAAACCCGGCGGAGGTCGTGGAATTTTTACGGGCGGAAAAATTCAAGGAACAAGTCCTCCGGGAGGGACTTTAAGCCGTGGGTCCCGTGTCGTAGCTTTACGGCACGTAAAAGAACCTCATATCTCCAAAGGAGGTCACTGAACCAAATTCAAGGACGTTTCCCGCCCAACAGCAGTTTCTAACGCCTCTGATAGATTGGGGAAGCATTATAGATACCGCCAAGCCAGTAGAGGCCGAACTCGCTGGCTCGGTCGGGACTGATGGTAAGCACCAATATCGGTTGGGTATAGAGACTGGTAGAATATCATAGAGGGAAGCACAATGGACCAATACAGGTCTAAGTGCATGGGGAAGCCCACCCTCTCCAATAACTAACTAACTAACTAACTAACTAAATAAGTGTTCAATAAATCCATTTACCATTCCAGCCCCCATCTGTGGCCACTCATACACATAACAATATGAATCTTTACCGCTGTGGAAAACTCAGATCTTACATATATACGTATTTACGGAACGTAGACCTTTCTGTGCGTTATTCTGCGAGAATAGGATACAGTTTTCTTTATTGGTAGTAATCATTAAGTTGAAGAAAGCAGTCTTCTGGGATTTGGCACCGTGTATATGTGGTGTTAACCGACGTTTCGGAGGAACATATCGCCTCCATCTACAGGAATATAAGAAATCTGCAAGCGAAGAGACCGTGAGAACCGGTAAAAGCAGACAACACCAGTCTGCTTTTACCGGTTCTCACGGTATCTTCGCTTGCAGATTTCTTATATTTTTCTTCTACCCTGAAGATGGGTGCGATACGTTCCTCCGAAACGTCGGTTAACACCACATATACACGGTGCCAAATCCCAGAAGACTGCTTTCTTCATAGTCACCGCCGTGAAAGCCTCAAATCTTACACAATCATAAAGTTATTTGACCTAAAGGGGTTAACAGATTTCTAGACGAAGAACAGCAGAACAAATTGAATGCGATAACTATTCGTAAGCGTTGAAGAACTGAAGTGAAAATAAGTCGCTCATCATGACTTAGTCTCTGTTTTGTTTCTGTTGAATATAAATTATCAGTTTCGCATCAGATTGTCGTCTGAGATAACTGTTTCTGTGCAGGCCTGCTCATGCTGTTTGTTAAAACAATGACGAAACACTGATTGTTCACAATTTTCGCTTAAGTATAGAAATATCACGTCATTTGGACCGAAGGGGGATGAAGTGACAGGAGGTTGGAGAAAACTGCATAATGAGGAGCTTCATAACTTGTACTCTTTCCAAGTATAATTAGAATGATCAAGTCAAGGAGGATGTGATGGGCAGGGCATGTAGCACGAATGGGGAGAAGAGGAATGCGTATAGGATATTGGTGGGAAGGCCAGAAGAAAAGAGGCCACTGGGAAGACCAAGGCGTAGGTGGGTAGACAATATTAAAATGGATCTTATAGAGATAGGATGGGATGGTATGGATTGCATTGATCTGGCTCAGGATAGGGACCAGTGGACGGCTCTTGTGAGCAAGGTAATGAACCTTCGGATTCTGTAAAATGCCGGGAAGGTCTTCAGTAGCTGCAGATTTGGCTTCTCCTCAAGAAGGGCTCAGCTCCATTAGTAAGTAAGTAAGTAAGTAAGCAGTATCACCGGCCACACCATAGCTCAAGCGGTTAGTCGCTGGCTTCCCTCCGCGGTGGCCCGGGTTTCGTTCCCGGGTCTGGTCAAGTTGGATTTGTGGTGGACAATGTGGCGCTGGGGCGGGTTTTCTCCGAGTACTTAGGTTTCCCCTGCCAATCTTCATTCCACCAAATTCTCCATCATCATAATCACCCGGGACAGGTACAGTAGGCCAATCAGTGGCCGCCGTGACGAGTGGACCCAGTTGGACTCCACCCCCACTAAGCAAATTAAAAAAAGAAGAAGTAATATCACACGTCACAGCTATAACAGTTTTCTTTTTCCTCGCCGTCGTTGTGGCCACACGTTGAGAGGCACCTTATGACTGACATTCTTGTGGCGAGCCTCACTTTGACCGTACACTTTGGAACTTAACTACTTTCAGACTCTGATCTGATGGTAATGCACCTGTTACTCACTCTTACTTGCTGTATTAACACTGTTGAGGGTTGATCGCTCTTTGTCTACTTAGGTCCTCCAGCAGCAGATACTAATTCTAGAGGGCAGGAGTTGTTCATGGGCGCCAGTAAACAAGATGGGCTTACAGAATTTAGTTTGTCTAGAGTGGAAGGGAAAAGGTGAAGACCCGTAGTCAGTGGGATAGAGATGACATTTCGTCTCAGAACTTAAGGAGCCTTGCTTCGACTACACGGTAGGAAACAATCACTTCGATTACATGTAATACTTACACGAAACTATCAGTTTTATTATGGTCACTGATTGGATTACAGATGTATCTCTCATTACGGCACGAGTTTCACTTTAATATTATATTTCAACAATGATCACACTTGTTAATACTTTGTTACACTGTCGGTCCTTGTAGGCTGACCTGATAACTTGAGTTTTAACAATTACTTTTTGTAAATGCATACCACAAAGCGACGCAGTTTTGTGTCTCTACCACGCTAGAATTAGATGACTCTTGTTGGAGGGGTACCGTCCGTTGTAACCAGATTCTGTAAGCCGTCGACTTCAAACCACGTTGCCTCCCATACCTTAGCCTGATTGGTCATATTTAAATTTTTTGGGGTTCACAACATTAATTATTTCGACAAATGGAATTTATCTGTTAGCCAGCTGGAAAGCTTAGACTTGCAACAAACTTTAACAATAATAACTGCTTTGTCAGCTCGCGTAGGCAAATTATCTAGCCAACAGCTCACTTATACTGGGTTTATCGATGTCTGAATTATTTATATGTTGAAATACATGCTAGTTTTTTTTTTAATTCGCTTGGGGGATGGGTGGAGTCCAGTTGGGTCCACTCGGCACGTCGGCCACTGATTGGCCTATTGTACCTGCCCCGGGTGATTATGATGATGAAGAATTTGGTGGAATGAAGATTGGCAGAGTAAACCGAAGTACTAAAAGAAACCTGCCCCAGCACCACTTTGTCCCCCATAAATCCCACTTTAATAGACCCGGGCTCAAACCTGGGCCGCCGCGGAGGGAAGCCAGCTACTAACCACTTGAGCTATAGCGTGGCCTACATACTAGATTAGCACAAGAATGGATATAAGTTACCATATAAGAATGAAATTATGTCTCCTTATTTCTTGTCTCCATATAAACCTAAATCGTGATTAACATAACTGGCGATCGTTGCAAATAGTGATCATTTACGCAGCATGTCTACAAATTGTGCATGAAATATTTTGGTGTTTTGAAGCAGGGTTACTAACTTGATAACAGTGTATATCAAAGAGAGACTAATAGTCAATTTATGCAACTTCTGTGTACTGGAAGCGTAACTTCATGCAGCAGAACGCTTGTCGAGAAGCTGATAGTATTTTAGCTCATTAATACATTTTTCGCATTTATTGGAACCGAAGTCTCTTTACCGCCTTCAAAAGATTACGCCACTGGACACTATCCTAACCTGATCCATTTCACATCCCACATTCTACTTCAAAATAGATTTTTATTGTGTAAGATTTGAGCCTTTCACGGCGGTGTCTATGAAGAAAGCAGTCTTCTGGGATTTGGCACCGTGTATATGTGGTGTTAACCGACGTTTCGGAGGAACGTAACGCCTCCATCGTTGTTTACCTCCCATACATTACGTACAATTCTCCGTATGATGAGGTTCAAATTATTCCATTAATTATTGGGCCTCCTATACAATTTTATAATGAAACATTGAAATTTACTATTTGTCGACGGATACGTATGTAAAGGGGAACCAGCGACTGATTCGATATTAAAAAACATCAACCAAATTTAAAAAAAAATTAATTTTGTTTTTTATATATGATTTTTATTGGTTTTAAATAACCTACTTATTGTTATATTTTAGCGTCCTGTTGCACTGACTCATGTCCATGATTTATGCTTACCGTCTTACAGTGCACACACTTTTTCACCTTACTCTTCTCTTTTGCACTATATGTTTCAGCACTAATGTGCCATCTTCAGGTGTGTGTCTATGCACGTCAAACTACTGCACTGCATGCTATGACGTCTTCATTCTAAAATGACTAAAATGCGTATTCGTCATGTATAACAATAAATTCTAAATATTAAAACCTTTCAGGATTCGTCATCCATACGTCGTATCTCAATGCCCGAGTCACGCCAGTCCTCCTCTGTGGGAGCACTCTTCCTACATTCATGTGTACGAGTATATTGTGCTCTGTGTTGTGTCTTGCTCCTGTGACTGCCTGCGTTATACACTTATTGTATTCTTATTGCAAATTATCTTAAATGATTTGTGACATTGTATCAAATTTTGCGTACTGCAGTTCAGTGGTGTACGTTTGTTAAAGTGTGTTTGCCTGATGATGGCCACTAGTGGCCGAAACATGTAGCAGAACTATATCTGGACATTGTCCTTGAAGTTCTTTTATTGTTGTGTTGTGACGGTCAAATAAATAAGTTATATAAATTTATAGGACTTATTTTATAGTTATGGACACTTTTTTCATATTATCGTTATATTTTTATTGAATTATCTGTATTTTTCAGATCTTGTCTCGTTTTAAGTTTTTTCCTGTAATTGGTTTTCTTGCTGTTATCACGATTTTTAATAAAGTAACTGGGCTTTTGCACAGTACTTACGTGTGAGTTCAGACTCCCTGTTTTGCTGTACGCACCAAGCGCAGAATTTGAATAAGAATATAAACACAACAATTGCCACTGTCAGCCATATCCACACCTGTGTCATGTCGTAGCTGTGAACAGAGGGAATTAAAAGAAGTGGAAGCATAGCCCTCAAAGCGACGCTAATAAAAGTGTAGGATGTCTTGTATTATGAAGAGACAACCGCTTGTTGGACTATTCTGTAATATTTATTATAGTTGCACAGTATACAGATGCATTTCGGTTTGAAGAATTGAAGACTAACAGTATAGTACCAACAATATTACTGCTTGCAACACCCATACGACTCTCTGTTAATAAATCAAAGTTACATTGCGACTGACGGTCAGTCAGTGAATCTTAGTGTCGAGCCCAATCTGAGACTCATGACCAGATATTTATAATTGTTTGACAGTTTAGGTCTTCTAATTGTGGGCCGCACTCTCTGACAAGAGGACGGGTCTGTCTTTTGTCAGAGTCATTGTCTATAGTAGTAAGTCATTTGTCATAACGTAAAGGATATTTACATTTTATATATTAAACATGATAATGAATGTATTAAATATATAAAAGACCTCTGTCAGTCCAGGCTCGGTACAATCCCACGTGGAGGCGGGGTCGAATACCTCCATCGTGACCCTGCGAGTCGTAGGAGGCGACGAAAAGGGAAGTCTCAAATCTGAGACAGTAAAATATGGTCGTGAGTCTCGAGGGACTCGGACCCGAGAAACACTGGGCTGGCAAGGCCAGTAGCATGGTGCTAAGCAATGATACTTGTGTTGTCAATGTAACGTTTGCTTGAATGTGGGCAGTTCCCAGAAACGTTTCCAGAACGGCTTATCTTGCCTGGTACATAAGCACTGTGAAGTTCCATAACCGCAGTTGGAGCTCTCAATATGTAATGATATACATATATAAGTACAGGCACAAAAATGCTCATTTGGACCTTCGTACAACTAGTATTTTAAAGATATAACTATGATGCTTATTTGGCCGCGCCATAGCTCAAGCGGTTAGTCGCTAGCTTCCCATCGCGGCGGCCCGGGTTCGATCTCGGGTCTGGTCAAGTTGGATTTGTTGTGGACACAGTTGCGCTGGGGCAGGTTTTCTCCGAGTACTTCGGTTTCCCCTGCCAATCTTCATTTCACCAATTGCTCCACAATCACCCTCACCTATCACCTGGAGCTGGTACAATAGGCCAGAAGTGGCCGCAGTACAAGGGACTTAATCCCACCCCACTAGCAATAAAAAAAATATACCCATTTTCCTATAACTTTTTACTGTTTAGGAAGGCCAGCGAGGATTCTAAGTAATAATTAGGTCTACTACAGTATCTTCTTAAGTGGCCGGATATTTGCAAACAGTATCTTACAACGATTTTTCTAGGAATACAATATTTTCACCTTTAATTCTCGGCCTCGGTTATTGTTAGATATATCGTCGCCAACTGATTACTAATGCTACTTTGGCGACGTCAGAGATGTACAGTATTCTAATTTTTTTATGGAACAGAAGCTTTTTATCTTTTTATCTCCTGGTAGGAAAAGTAGAACCAGATGGAATGTGTTTCCATTTAAGATTTACATGTACTTTGTGACAGTCATGTGTGAGTTATGGTCATAGCAAACACACTCCTTCACTTTCAGAACGTCTACATGGTTGACCCTTCCTCCTGTTCAGTTTCAAGCCAGATTTCATTTTCTTCCATATTGCGTCGGTAATGCCCTACAGCTATACTCATCTGAAACCTTTACATACTCACAGCTGGCAATACTGGCTTCGTGGATTTTCTTAATTTTTCAAACGGTAACTCTTATGACTAGAGTTGTTGGTATGTCCGGTTCGAATCCCGATCTGGACATTGACTATCCCGACCGAATCTTTTTGTGGTTCCTCTCAGTACCTCTAGGCAACTGCTTCTGTAGTATCTTAAATTAAGTCACAATCACTTCTCATCCAATTCTTGTTCACTTTCTTCTTTAACTACCGATACGTCATTAAATAAATTCTAGAAAATTGAAATAAAATAGTCATTTTCAGAGGCAGTTTCATCACCTCACATTCTCATAAGCTACATTCCTAATACTTATCCCAGTATTTTTATCCTATCTCCTTGTTCTTCCAACTGACTATTTTCCGAAATGTCTTTCGCCGATATTCGCCTAGTTTCCCACACCCTAGCTAATAAACCCAAGGGACAAGTAATACTGTACCTGCCTGCCTCTTTAGTAGGGCTAGCTGTTGTAGGGCTTGACGTTTCTCCGGAACTTGTCGATGTCATTTTTCATTGCTTCTTTCTTCTTAGAATGAATCCGCTCATAAGAATCACCAAACTCATGAATCATTACACATTTCTGCTACACTTGCTACTGTCACAATGGTCACTAAGTTTCTTCTTGAACCTGGCTACAGTATCGTTATCAAATTTTATCAGTTGCCTTTCAATTTATCTATAGATAAAACAGGAGGTAGTCGTGAAGAGAGAGGCACAATAATGCTGAAACTGTCTGTAACCCCTTTTACTTATTCCTCTATACATATCTCTAGTGTTCTTGTTCTTACTGTTCATTGCAAGCACATCTGTTTTGTCTTTCAGATATTTCCGATTTTTATTCTTGAAATGCCCGCTGGTTTCGCGTCTTACATTGTTCAGATTATCCCCATTTAACTCGCTTGGATCCTGTAACCACTGCAGTTTGGCTTGTTTCATCATCCTTCGTCGAACAATGGCTTGTGCTTCTTCAGTTCATAACGACCTAGAATCCTTTTGGCTGAAATTTTCATATTCTCTCTAATAGTTTCCCAAGTTGTATTAAAATCCATTCAGTGTCTAAGTTCTTCAAAGCTGAGAACCCATTTGAGATTTCAATACGATACTGCTCTTTACCATCTACATATTTTAATATCTTGAGATTGAACCTCTCCATATGAATTATGTGCGTTGTTTTTTACTCGCCGCCAACCTCTTCCTGACTGGTACCACCTTCAGATAGTGGTCTGTATCCCAGTCTGCTGCCCTGAACGATCGACATCAAGTATACTTGAATGTAGTCTCCTCTCTGTGGATATGTAGTGGTAGTTTAACAAAATTAAAAATGAATATTTACACTTCTATTAATTGTATTTGATGTTATTAAATTTATAAACAAATTGTTACGTACACAACCACGTTCTATATTTACTCTCTAAATACAAAGTTACATGAAAGCTTCCGTATCATTGATCAGTTATTCTTTAACGCACTGTCCGTTAGAATATCTCTTCACAAGAATGGTTGGTTTGGATCTTTGCCGAATTTAAAGTCAGTTCATTGAATAGTTACATTGATTTGGCCGTTTCATCTTCAAGAGAGACTTCAGAAAGAAGTGCTGTATTTGCATCCAAGTGAATATCGTTTTGGATGGTCAAAGCTGGGTGCACTGTCCGGACTTGGAAATGTCTGTTGTAATTTAGGGATCTCTTGAAACACGAGAGACGAGTAGTCTGGCGGGGGTTGGTAAGCTGCAAGAGAAGAACAGGGATTAATGCGGGAAAATAGCAACATTGATTATGATTAAGTCGGCATTTATTCGAATATAGATTTTAAGGTTCTCACAGCGATAATGATGAAGAGTCATATTTTCTGGGAAAAGATGCAATGTAGCCCGTTGAAAATAAACCGACGTTTCTGACTAACCTGCCGACTCCATCTTCAGGGCCGAATAATAAGCCAGTCACGAAACTGGAGTGATGCAGGTAGCAAAGAAAGCTTGTGTAACGCTCGTTGGATGTTTCTTCATGGATCAATTGAAAATGATGATATTGAAAATCATTTCCGAACTTCCTGTCTTCATCAGCTACAGATGATTTGATGTCTTATTCCGGGTAACTCTATGACTGTTTCTCCAAGTTAAGATGAATTTTTGGCTCAAAGTAACGTATAATTGGAGAAGCTGAACCGTCCTTAACATTTAAAGTAGCATTTTTCTGGATGTGACGCCGTGTAATCTAATATATAGCTTCCAATGTTACGAAGGAATGTTCTGCCTCCATCATCAATGTAAAGAGTAAGCGAACGTTGAGAAAATTATACGGACATACGGAAAAAATGTCCGGACCGCAGGTCTGAGCGAAGTAATGGGGAAAATAAGAAAAGAGTAAAGCATATTTGTCATTTAGAAGGGACGTTTTGCAGAAGCAGCGTGAATTGGAGAAATAGAAATTATGAGTGTCAGTCGGGGTTGAGGGATGTCAGGAGGAAGGGCATGTGGAAGTAATGGTAATTTAAACGGTTATTTTTGAAGGGCGTAGTGAAAGGGAGGAAAGATAAAGCACCCACAGGCACTGATAACAAAAAGTTGGTAACTATATACCAGACTGCAAGGTGTCACATCTCAGACGACAGTGATGTTCCTAGTCACATCCGTAAGAACCTCAAATATCAGGACAGAAGAATAAAATAATAATTTCATGGTCTCGTTTTTTTCAAACTGTTGAATTCAGTGGTCGTCATAATATTAAGCGTGGGCGAATACTGCAGAAAGTCCACAAATGCCTTTACTTTAAATTTAGGTGTCAACCAGTAAAAACTTTCCGGTATAGACTGCATTTCTTATCACAGAATAAATGGTCCTTGTTTTTTTTATGCGTGTATGAAACGAAAATCGGCTACAAATAAAATTTCGTTGTGCGAAGTTTTTAAGCAGATTTTCGTTTTTCTTTTGATTATCACCGACGGACCCTTACACACCTGGTGGCGGATGAGCATACAAGTAGGCCGGGTTCGTTGAAAGCGGGCAATCCGACGAGACACCGGAGCAGAAGGGACAAGTGACTCTGTTAGGAATCTCTACAATTGTCACGGTTGGAATCTCTGGAAAGAAAAAAAAAGGAGACGATGCATTGTAATCAGCTCAATAACCAAACTGTCAGTCTCTAACAGCGTAAAATTCGACACTGCGTCTGGTCCTAGAGCAGTACAGTGTAGCTCAAATCCTCACAACCTAATCTTTTATCCCTGTCTTCATGTTAAAGTTTATTTATATATAATCCACTAAGCCTCTTTAGGATAATTGAGGAGTTGTTTCAAGTAAATAGCGGTTCCGGTCTAGAAAACCGAAATTAACGGCCGTGGGGATTCGTTGCTCTGACTGCACGACACCCTCTATCTGCTAAAGTTAGCACTAACTTCGCCGACAAGCGGCGGTCGCTCGGTCGGTATAGTTCGCTTGCGGACTAAAATCATGGAGTTTTTTAAATCGCTTATCGAACGACGCTTCCAGTACTTGAGGTTGTATGGCGTACAGTTGTAGGATGATCAGAGGGTAATTCATTGGAGAGTAAAACAAAGGAAGTGATGGTGACCTAATTTGAAATATTCTCTCAAGGAATTTGCCTGAAAGGACGGAGGAAAACCACGGTAAACATCAAAGATGAGAACCGACGCACCCGATAACTCCCGATTACCGCGAGTTTCAGTTTCTCAGCTTCTTAACAGTTTAATACTTTTCCATAAATAATGGTGTCACCTTACAACTGCTTTGCTTCCAGCCCCAAAGCCGGTCTGACATAGTGGCGGCCAAAATAAAAATGTCTGCCACTATCGGTAGTTGATCCTCATTTGTCCAGATTATATTATTATAGCCTGCTGACTGAGGCCATTACAAACCTGCAATCAAAATGTTATATTTATATCTTTTTTGCTATTGAGTGTTACGTTTCCCGTGACGGCCATCTTGAACGTGTGAATAACAATCATATACCGTAAATTTAAAATTCTAATTCATGTGGGTCACATTCAGACATCAATTTATAAACCGTCTCTTGCAGTCAATGCTATGTCGTCTACTGACATCCAGCTAATCTACAGGTGCAATTGTAAAAGCCTAAGGATAAGCTTATACGTTGGAATCTCGTGTTACTTTCTACTAATTACGTGTATTTCCAATATGGTTTTACATGTCATTATAAGCCAGTTGGTTAAACTTACGCGGTGCAGTCTCCGTGCTACTGTCGGAACAGCATCGTTTGTAGCATATCAACATCATCGTGGCAATTCCGAAACAAGTGATACAGAACATCCCAACTGCAAATTCGGGAGTGCTAAATAGAGACAAAAATGTTAAGGCAGTGAGACGTTGGATTCTCAGGACGTTGAGTATTAAGACTGCAGTCTTATAAAATATGATGCCGTCTACCAGACCCTGGGGTGTCACATCCCAGAAGACCGTAGCTTAGATTATTACAAGCATCAGTATTATATCATCACACTGGTCGGGGAGGCTGAAGAATATAAGCGACATGGCGGGGCGAGGAGACAAATGCGCATCGCGTCATCAGCAAACCATGGTGCAACTTATTTATAGGGCCGAGTGCTCGGTCGGCGAGACCGCGATCCAGCTATTGCATACTACATCTTAAGGAAATTAGAAGGCGAAATTTTGTTTCAGTTTGTAAGCATCACGCAATGAGAACGTACATTTATATAGAAATAGAATTATAGATCCATGCACTCTTAATATCGTCACTCGATGGAGGTCAATGAGGGACGTTATTCGTGAAACGGCTCTCTATGGGATATGAGCCGACCTGCACATAGAGGCTGCGCAGACAAGCGTCGTATTCTTATAGAAAATCGACCTTCACTTAGCGGATTTGTGCCTATGGTGATTATTGTGTTATGGGATGTGACCCCGTATATTGTAGGCTGACCAATTCCATCAATCACATTAATGAAAGATATCACCATAGAAACAAACTTTGCGGAACGACATAGAAGAATCCTAGGGAATTTTGTAGCGTAGTTGGTTGGGGCACTATGCTACAAGCCGGAAGTTCGCGGGTTGAATTCCCAATAAGGTCATTGGATTTTTTCAATTGACCTAAACCTTTCAACCGTACTATGGCCCTGGGGTCGACTCAGCCTCTAACAGAAATTAGTACCAGGAATTTTATTGGGGTGTGGGGGGGTATAGGAAGGCCGGCGTGTAGGGCTGACAACCTCACCGCCATCTACGAGCCGATTATCTAGAAAATGTGAGAGCCTCGACGTCTCACAACCCTATGAGCCTCCGCGGCCTGTTACAGGGATAGCTTTACCCTTTTTTTACTGTAAAAGAATCCCTTATAATCTAGTACCTTATTGAAATGTTTCGATTTAATATAATTAAAGAAAAGATTATTCACTTCTTAAAATTTGAACTTGGTTTTAATATATTATTTATTTTAGTAGACCTTACATACATAACTCAGTCAGTATAACAACCAGACTAAGGGCGAGACGACCAAGGAATAGGGATTCGATTCCCAGCAAGAACAATATATTTTCCTTTCTTTACAGCGTCTTGACCGGCTTTGAGCCTACCATTTTCCTACCCATTAAGTACCGGCAGTTGTCTTCCTGGGGTTAAAGCGGCCAGGATCTTGAAGCTGAGTATTCACATACATCTAGTGTCGAGGTTTAAAATGCATGACACTATACATCGGTAACCGTGGCGCGATGCTTAATTAAAAGCAGTAACAGCTTTACATTTACCTTGAACTTACTGAACCTTAGTACTCGAGGAATGGTTAATGAACAAAAGAAGCAGTAAAGGTGTCTACTTTACCTTAGGCTACTACAAGACACAGACGACAGATGGACGCTCAGCAACAGCAGAATTTGAAATGCGGAACGCTGCCTTGTCATTTCCAATATGTCTGTTAATGAACTGAAGCGTGGTCTTCAAGTTAGACTGCAGAGTGCGCACTTCAGGATCACTGGCTCGGTTGTACTATCAGATATTACATTGTACATCTGATTATTGAGCTGTTCTTATCAAGTATATATATCTTACCTATCAGTATTCACTACGGCTCTGCCTTACCGTCAACACGCAGATGATTTCAATTACTTTTATGTACAGCTTTCAGATATAAGAGCATAACACATTAACTTGGAAGTTGATTTGACGTAAGACAGGCCTAATTGCTATAAGTAAGGGATTTTATTCTTCATATTATTTACATAATTTATTAATGGTCATGTTATTATTGATTACTATTATAAATATATACCGATCACGGTGGCCGCGCGGTTCAAGGCATGAACTGTCTTCGCCAGCTCGAACACCGGGATCTTGGGTTCGAATCCCACTGAAGGCATGGATGTCTGTGTTTATTCTACTTGTGTTGTTCTGTATGTAGGTAGCGGCTTTGCGACGGGCTGATCCCCCGTCCAAGGAGCCCTGTCGGATATGTATAGGATTAAGAAACTGAAAAAGCAGCCAAGGTCGAAAGGGCTGTAGAACCATATAGAACGAGAGAGAGAGAGAGAGAGATCTACAACTATATTTCGCACACTTGCATTTGGCGAGGTGCGTTTGAGAGTTCCCAGGAACTAAACTTTACAGATTTTATAGTGTGTTTATGTAAACTCACCCTGCAGACTTGTCACGCCATGTTACAATTACGTCTGATATCGTAACCAAACCTGGATAATATGACGAGGAGGTTTCGGAGGTAATAGTTCGAACTTCAGAGAAAACGGGTAACCTTTTTGCCATGTACGTAGACACCGATATATTGGTCTGACAGATGTACGTTGGCACCCGCCCGTCCACATGCTCAATTGTGCTCGTATTATACATAATTATATTCAGTTATATTGAATTTTATTTCTTATAAAATATATTGACATAATCCTAAGCGAATTTATGCGGTAGAGCAAACAATTCATTCCCTGTGTTGTCTGTTAGCCGAACCTGAGTTTCGTGCAAATATATTAAATTTCTATGGAGGTCGCCATAGGTGTACTATTTTAGTGGGGACTCAAGCCCCTCTCCTTGTCCATAGGTTTCGTTGCCCTGACTGTTATATGTTTTTATAATTTGATATGCAAGTTTATTTTCAAAGACGTATCAGTGTAGAAAATATTGTATTAAATATTGCAGGATGCTAACGTCCCCGGACCAAGAATCGAAATCATGTCTTCCCAAATACGAAGCAGGAGTGTTCACGTCTGGACCACTATTGGTAAGTGTAACCAAATTCAAGATTTTTTACATCTGTTTAGTTCATAATCTTTACATTTCCTTGCACTATCTGCAGACTTAAATTTCGAGAGTTATGAGTCTATAATGTGTTGAATGGGTTTCAGACTTGCTTTTTCCACTCTGGAAATGTAGTATTAATTGAAACACGTATTTGAGAACATACTCGTAATGCTGAAAAGGGCATTTAAACCTGTGACAGATAAAAGAAAAATAAACTGAACAAAGTTACATAATAAGGAGTTTTATCATATGCCTCCCTCGATGCTCATGTCATGACTCTGACCTCGTGATATGGATATATTCCACGGCCATGATCTCACTTATTCGCAGGGCAAAGAACACTTCTTACGTGTTCTTTCCACAGATGAAACTTTGATAACACTAGATCTGTAATGTCGTGTATGAAAGCAAAGTGGATGTCACCATAACAACGGATACTGCGGTCAGGACAGTCCAGAATCAATTGAACTTCTTCTGTGAACCCTGAATATTGTGATATTATGCGCATACAGAAGTGTGACTAAACACAACATGACTGACAGACATTTGAATTTCCGTCGGAGATATAAATACTGACATACTGCTAACGTGTATTTTGTTTTTTAAGTTTTCACTGCAGTGACTGTTCACATTGTGATCTGGTCCTTTTCTACTTCAGGCCTCAATCCTGAAGACTACATGGTGTCACAATTCAGAAGGCTAATATCTTAATACCATTAATAGTACCAGTTAAATAATAAGCTGTTTTCGTGGTATTTTTTTAAATTGTTTCATTTTGGTCCGTTACACTATCAATCACAAAGTTAATAGAAAGTCCGTCGAGTGTAACAATTTGTAGGTCACTTTTTATTATTATTTCTGCCTTACATGTTTCGGTTTGATACAACCATCATCAGAGGCACTTGCTATAATTATGGAAACACTGTGTACACAGTGTGCTATGTACACAGCACACAGCACACAGGAACACATCAAACCATAAGCCATACAACCTCAAGCTGACGTCTCCCGTCTTCGGGATGAATTAACAAGGAGGAGTTCAGCATTTATATCAAATATTTTAACATTTTAGCGTTTTAACTTAAAAAATAGGTTCGGATGAAAAGTGAAAACTTGAGAGTATACTCAACTATCTTAGCATGTTTTGTGCTTTTACACTTCAACATATTGTAGCAGCGTCCACACGGCAAACATAATCGTGAAACATCAAAAAACAGCGACAGTGTTTCCATAATTATAGCAAGTGCCTCTGATGATGGTTGTGTCAAACCCAAACATGTAAGGCAGAAATAATAATAAAAAGTGACCTACAAATTGTTACACTCGACGGACTTTCTATTAACTTTGTTTTCGTGGTTTTCCTCAATTCATCCAGGCGAATGCTAGGATAGTGCCTTAACTTAGACTACAGCTTCTTCTATCCGCATGCGCTACATTTCATTAATCAGTAGCGTCTAATCATTTGACACTTAAAATATTATGAGGTACTGTCAGTTTCTATAAATAAATCATAAATAGGAAATTTAGGAATAGGATCCGGTAGTCTGATCCTCAGCACTGGAATTTCCCTAAGTCGATCCAAGGAACATACATTTTCCTTTGAGGACCACGGTTCGAACGTCTCTTGGTGAGTCGAGTTTCGTTCTTTCAACATGTCCTTACGTTTCTTCCTGCGGTCCGAAGTTCAGTGTACAGTCCTACAAGCTTCTGTGCACATCTTTATCGAAATCGTACTTTAATCTACATATTTAAGGGGAAAAAAGTACGCAAAATTAAATGATGCAATAGTAACGAAACTATATGCATCCAAACATCACTATTCTCGGAATTATCATTTCTGACTGGAGACAGCTTTAACCTTACTGAAAGGCCGCGCCATAGCTCAAGCGGTTAGTCGCCGTCTTCCCACCGCGGCGGCCCGGGTTCGATCCCGGGGTGTGGTCAAATGGGATTTGTGGTGGACAAAGTGGCGCTGGGGCGGGTTTTCTCTGAGTACTTCGGTTTCCCCTGCCAATCTTCATTCCACCAAATTCTCCATCATCATAATCACCCGGGGCAGGTACAATAGGTCAATCAGTGGCCGCCTTGCCGAGTGGACCCAGTTGGACTCCACCCCCCAGTAAGCGAACTAAAAAAAAGTCTTACTGAAGCTGGATGACCTTCCGCGAATGTTCGGACAATTGGCATTAGCACTTAATTAAGCTTGTGCGTGGTGCATGATTCGAGCTCTTTTTATATCGATAGGTAGCATAACTTGTATTAATGATTTGGCAGCAACAAAAGATTTAGTGAAATCCTAAGTGTGGCATTGTACAAACTGAGGATGTGTGATTGCCCATTAACGAAATGGAAATCAACACCTACCACGATTGTTATTAGCCTTTTACTTTTACTTACTATTTTTAACATGCTTTCCTTATTTTGAAAAAAATGAAGGTAGGCTTGTGCGATCTTAATGCTCTGTGTCTGTAATCCTCCCCTCCCACAAATTATTGAATACCTGTGACAATCTTTCTGAAACTTGGTATTTACATCATGGCACCTGGGCCCTTCTCAACAGCGTACTTCATAAATTCCTCCCATCAGTCTGTGTGTCTGTACGTGTATCACCTTATCGTTGCTAGGCAACGGCTTGCTGAGAACGTTACTGTTGCAATAAATATACCACTCAACAATAGAAGAATTGTTGGACGCGTCGATTTCTATGCAATCGGTGCCGTATCAAAGAAAAGTAGGAAATTAGTTCTTATCTTGTTTTGCTGTATGATTGCCTTGGTCTCCTTTAAACAGATGCTTATAGTTTTCTAACTTACTAATTTTATGTTGCCTCCTTGTCTCTTAAATCATTCTCTACATCACCCACATTATAAATCTAAAGTGCTTTGTTGTATAGATTACAATGTCTAGTATTTTCACTAGGACGAGGTGTGCAGGGCATGTAGCACGAATGGCGGAGAAAAGGAATGCATATAGGATATAGGTGGGAAATCCAGAATGAAAGAGACCACTTGGAAGACCAAGGCATAGGTGGGTGGATAATATTAAAATGGATCTTAGAGAGATAGGATGGGATTGTTTGGATTGGATTGATCTGGCTCAGGATAGGGACCAGTGGAGGGCTCTTGTGAACACGGTAATAAACTTTCGGGTTCCATAAAATGCTGGGAAATTCTTGAGTAGCTGCAGAATTGGCGGATCCTCAAGAAGGGCTCAGCTCTATAAGTAAGTATTTTCACTTCCCCTCTCATCTCTGAGGCTTACTTATTTCATCTACCAAATTCAGAGAAACAATCCCGACAGTATTTATCCTTGTACTTTATTTTACTTGTCTTACCTGTGACCATTAAGGGTTGGAACGACACTTTCTCATAAAGAGACTCATCAGTCAATTTTACTGAAGTTTTTATGTCACTGATAAGCGTATTAAGAGCTTTAATTCCTGCAATGTACTTCAGAGGAGTGAGCACTGGTTTTCTCCCCTTTCTTCGGTTTTCCCTTGCTTCACTATTGCTTCATATTCATTTATCACCGCCAGTGATAGCTGTGATGGGGCATCACATTTTAGTATCAGCCGTTTTAAAACAGGAGCCTCATCTCTACCTGGCATTTGACTGGGTGGGGAAGTTTTAGCTTAGTTGCCTTTAGTGTATACAAACAAAGAGACTTTGCAGATAAATGCGTTAAATATTTATTTTACATAATTTAAAATACACGAAACCATATTAATATTCTGTTAAACCAGTCTTATGTTTCAGTCTTATTTATGAGTGTTTTTTTTTTCGTTTCATGTCACAAATTGAAACAGCAGATTTACAAATCGCATAGCAAACGATAAATATTCTGACTTCAGAAAGTTACTTCATATTTCAGCTTAATAATCTAAGTGCAATAAATCTCTCACGTGGAATTAAGACAGAAATTTATATCTGACATTTTTACCCTACATGTAAGATTAACAATTAAATCATCGAACTGGTTCATATTTCACCAAACAGTATAATTTATATTTTATTTATATTAAATAATTATGCCAGGCAAGAATAATGACGTCAAATCCAATAAAAGTCCATCTACTCTATGAACCAGGGCAGGGAACCTTATACGTAGGCAGCCTTACGGAAGAAAAGGCGTGTGAAAATACGTATGAATTTGCCACTGGCATAAGAATACTGATAGTATGTTAGAAATACGTAGAACCTGGTAATATTCTAATGGCCGATCACAGTGGGCGCGCGGTCTAAGGCATGAAATGTCTTCACCCGCTCGAACAGTGGGATCGTAGGTTTGAATCCCGCTCAAAGTATGGATGTCGGTTTATTCTGTGTTTGTGTTAGGTAGCGGCCTTACGACGGGCTGATCCTCTGTCTAAGGAGTCCTACCGACTGCCTTAGATTAAGCAACTGATGTGAAACGAAGCGTTTCACGGAAGCCTTATGCTCCAATGAGGGAGCAACAGGAAAAGATGAAGAAGAAAAAGAAGAAGATTCTAATGGTGACGTGACTGTCTAGGTCACAAACTGAAGATGACGGGCTCTCGTTCCCATAGCAGTTGGAGTGTGTCATATTTTTATGGATATAAGCCCAATTTCACATGATTGCTAATTAAATGTAGTTATTTTGAAAACAGTTGATCTTAACAAACATGTAACATGCATCATACGTTTACTATAAAGTAAACCTTGCTGCTCCGAGTATATGTAAAAGAGCAGTGCATGTGTTCCTGACTAGACTGGAATTAGATTTAGCTCATGAACTTCAGGAAAGCATGACAGAAGAGGAGTGATGTCATGCATACAAATTAGTAGGCAAATGCAAGGAACTAAGAGGGTCCTCATGCATTCTTTGAAGCCCGTGTGAAGGACTGACGAGTTGAGTCTTGAAGTTTCCTAGCGACGTCTGTTGTTTCCCTGTAGTCTGACTGCGGTGTACCTTGACATACACTTTGTCCGCAAGTTGGCTTACCTTTAAGGCGATTTGAGCATAGCAACTGCTGGCGGAAGAACTGCGGAATAAAAAGAACGACATATCAGTGAGAGTAACACATGCAAGATACCTGAAGTTTATAGGCTGTGGAAATTTAGACTGTGATTGTATTGACAATATACAGTTAGGTAGGTGGTTATCGACGTTTCGCAAGAACCTGCTGCCTCAATCATCATCCTGAAGATATATTGTAAAACATCTGAAGGACTCTTTATCATTTACGTGAGTTACATAGCGTCAAATAGCAGGACGGTATGCTTAATTGGATACAGTGAGTAAGGAACCGGACCTGGTCTATTGTAGCTCTTTCAGGATGGCTGTAAAAGGTAAAGCTCTCTCCATAAGAGACCATGAAGGCCCATAGGGATATGAGAGGTCGAGGCTCTAACAATTTCTAGACATTCGGTTCACAGATGGCGGTAAGATTGTCAGCCTTACGCGCTGGCCCGCCCCTTTAGTTAAAATTCGCTTAATGGTGGTGGAGTCCAACTGGGTCCATTCGACACGGCGGCCACTGATTGTCCTATTGTAGCCTGCCCCAGGTGATTATGATGATGGAGAATTTGGTGGAATGAAGATTGGCAGGGGAAACCGAGGTACTCGGAGAAAACTCGCCCCCAGCGCCACTTTGTCCACCACAATTCCCACTTGACCAGACCCCGGGATCGAACCTGGGGCCGCCGCGGTGGGAAGCCAGCGGCTAACCGCTTGAGCTATGGCGGCCGCCCTTTACCCCCCAAGAAGATTCCTGGTACTCATTTCTGTTAGAGGCTGAGTCGACCCCAGGGCCATAGTGCGGCTGAAATTATTAGGTCAGTTGAAAAATTCAGTGACCTCATCAGGATGGCTGATAGATTCAAATCTAAGACCTCTTAGAGATGAAGTGCTGAAGTTTCATTATGCAGGCACTATGTGTGATCAGATTCTGTCAGGACACTAACACTAATAAGAAGATATATCAGCTTCTGTGTTGTCAATTTATACGAACCTTGTTGCGTTTTCGGAATGCTATGTGGGGGTGGCTCACTGACAGGGGGATCCTCTGCATTTGTGCGCAGGCTCTCTGAGGCCTCTTCTTTACGCTTCCCTACAAGAATAATCACTCCCAGGCCTAAAAATGCAGGACTGTATTATTATATTGTAAAGAAATTAGCTGCTTTTCAGTGATATGTGACTTAATGATGCATAGAGCGAAGTATTTGGTAATTATAAATCTTATTATTCTGTGCAGCCACGGTGATGAATAGCAGAAGAGACGTCAGAAGTCATATAATTTCGTTTTATAGCCTGATTTTATGATAAGATAAATGAACACAATTCAATGATTTTGTCTGTTAAGAGATTAAACCGTTCTATTCTTGTCCATATTGTATTTGAAGTAGATTTATATTTAAGAAATGTCCAGAATATTAATCTAATGCAGACCTATACGTATTCAAAACCTCAAGAAAGAATTTATTGAAATAGGAATAACTCATTTTATATTTTCAGTATAAATGATTTTAGGAAAACCCTGGAAGAATTTGGGGCACTCAGATATTAGGATCTACGTTTGCACATTTCAAACGGTTGGAAACATATTGCTAAGGAGAATATTCGGATTTAAGTAAAAGAAGATGAATGGGGAATGCAGGAGATTAAAAACTGATTTCCTTACTCTATAAGAGGCTAAGTCCCTGCTCAGACACGAAGCCTCGAACTTTCTTTTTCTTCTTTTTTAGTTCGGTTAAGGGTGGGGGTGGAGTCCAGGCGGGTCCACTCGGCACGGCGGCCACTGATTGGCCTATTATACCTGCCCCGGGTGATTATGATGATGGAGAATTTGGTGGAATGAAGATTGGTAGGGGAAACCGAAGTACTCTGAGAAAACTCGCCCAAGCGCCACTTTGTCCACCACAAATCCCGAGCCGCCGCGGTGGGAAGCCAGCGACTAACCGCTTGAGCTACTGCGCGGCCTAAGCCTCGAACTTACAGACCGAATGTGCTGTCCGGTCAGTTCTACCGCACACCTGAGGGGGCTATAATAAACGAGTGTGGAGTAATATTGGAATCATGATTAGACGGGGATAACCGAAGACACTCCGAGAAAACCTTCTCTAGTGTTATTTTGTCCACCACGAATCTCACATGAAGACACCCGGGATGGAACCCGAAGCTACGCCATAAGAAGGCGTTGTCTAACCGCCTGAGATGTGGCGTGGTCCAGAAACACAGTGCATTATCTTACGAGAATTTTTGTGGTATATTCTCGCCTCCTGTTTTATTACAGTGCTCAAAGCAAGGGGGTTACGCTGGGATGGATACGGAAATCGGCTGTAATAATAATCCAATCAACACCTCTGTAGCATAAGAACAACGACTTAGGATAATTAAGATTGTTACTTCCCAGAATATGCAAATTTATCAACAGATTTTGTTTTATAGATCAGTCACTTGCCCTTTAATTGTTACTACAGAGTTTGTTTACTCAATGGAAGTACTAAAAGTATGTTAACATTTTCAAAATAAAATCATGAAATCTATCATAAATCTATTGAGCGCCATGACTGGTTTCTGCCTAGTGCCACGTGGACAGGAGGACGACTCTCAGTCATTAAAAGTATGCCATTGAAATGCAAAACGCCATCCTTAAAGTTCTCTATAGGAATTTCACTCGAAACTTACGTAGGATGTTTTGCTTCGCACATTGCCCGGCACACCAATACAAGTACAAGAGGAAGAAGAGGACAGCCCCAAGCATGCCGAGTGTAATGTAGGCAGAGTCATCGTTTCTGCTGAGAAAGAAAGAAGAACTCAATATAAAAAGTTGTCAGGTTTGCTAGCTCTCCGATTCTTGCGCTCGCGTTATCCGAAACTGAATTCTGATTCCGCTCTTCTTTCGAAATTGATCGAACCTGGGATTTTCCGGATTTTAACTGATATTAGGTTTCGTTCTCATTATTTTTTTTTTAATTTATTGCTAGTCAGGTGGGACTAAGTCCCTTGTACTGCGGCCACTTCTGGTCTATTGTACCAGCCCCAGATGATAGGTGAGAGTGATTGTGGAGCAATTGGTGGAATGAAGACTGGAAGGGGAAACCGAAATACTCGGAGAAAACCTGCCCCAGCGCCACTCTATCCACCACAAATCCCTCTTGACCAGACCCGAGATCGAACCCGGGCTGCCGCGATGGGAAGCCAGCGACTAACCGCTTGAGCTATGGCGCGGGCCATTCGCTCTCTATTTGTATGTAAGTCTGTTGTAAATATTTTATATTTCACGCAGTTTTCTTTTTCTAAATTAGGCCACACTTTTGAGCAGTAAGATCTCCGAAATTAATATAACTATGCACATGAAAAGAATTTTATTGTAATAGTAAAGAACAAACTTTTTTCGTGAAAGTTCCGAATTATTCTATGTGACGTCTCATCCAACACACGGATGGGTATTTCAGCGTTAACCATGACAATAGCTCTGCCCACAGTTCGTGGAGTTTCCGTGGTTTCGGAAGTGGGGCGATGCACTTGGTTCCTGACGTAGACCTACACGAAAATATCTACTGCTGTTAAGTCAGGTGACCGAGGGAGCTGGGGAGTAGGAAATCCGGTATTTTACTTCAGACTGTTATCGGAATTCTGTGATCCCGACAGGTGGATAAACCTCAAGAACGAAAAACTTCCAATGGAATAAAATTTGTTTCATTTCATAATTATACTACTTTCGAAGATATGTTTTGGAAATTTGTGAACTTATATGGAAAGATCCCGTACATAATTACAGCCTCTTACAGTAGAATATGCACCTCGTTAACGTACGTTGATTAAAATTTTATCCAAAATAGTTTTATTAGCAGTCCCCACAAGTGGAAGGTAAGAAGTCAGCATTGTGACACACTGTTTTTCATATTTTATTTAATGGCAGACCTGATGAAGAAATAGGTCCGCTATCACTAACGGAGATTGGAACATCGAGAACATGACATTAGCACTTCTTAATGTAGGAGCCTGACATTTCTGTGACGATGTATCTTCGAGTGATGTCATTTTTGTGTATAATGTGACATGACATCGATCATGCTAGTAACATATTTAACGTACCTTCTTGCAGCTGATTCATCAATTTAGCCAGATATTTTAAATTCTGTTTTGTCATAGATGGTAAGGGGGCACGCGGTAACTTGGTTGGTTGAGGCACTATGCTACAAGTCGGAAGGTCATGGGTTCAAGTCCCGATGAGGTCATTGGATTTTTTTCAACTGACCTAATCCTTCCGGCCGCACTATGGCCCTGGGGTCGACTCAGCCTCTAACAGAAATGAGTACCAGAAATTAATTAAATAATTTTCCTGGGAAGTAAAGCGCGACCGGCGCCTAAGGCTGACAACCTTACCGCCATCTTTGAGCTGATTGTCTAGATAATGTGGGACCCTCAACGTCTCACAACCCTATGGGACTTCACGGCCTGTTACAGGGATAGCTTTACTTTTTACTTTACATAGATGGTAAACATCGCTATTAACTTTGCTATAAAATTTGTGTTGTTATGGAACTCTGGTGTCATGTTTGTTAACTTTTACCGATTGGAAATGACTCTGGGAAACAGATGCGTATTGTGGTCTTCTGAGTTCTAAATTGTGTAGATCGTTAAATTGCTACCAGAGTTTCGGGGAATATAGTATTTACAGTTTCATGGCGGAGATGAATTTATGCTTGATGTGGCTGTGCTATCAATATTTATTGGAATTATAAATCTAAAATTTAAACTTTCAGCTCTCCACTCTTTGATTAAAAATGTAAAGACGTGTTAATTTAATCATATATTTTTCTGGCTTCCAAGGCGGTAGGTGTTGAGATTATGATATTCTGGGTTGTGACACCTGTATATCGACTCTTACATATGAAAGTAGCAGTTAATATCTCCTACAAGACTCTATAGTGTTACAACCAATGTGAAGATCTCAAGTTAATTACTGCTTTAAGTATAATCCGCCAGTTTGTTATGAAGTTGATATTCGAAACTGTAGGTAGGACAAAATACGTATAATACTTGCCTTAACACATCAGAATCATAATCTTCATTCTTTGCTGACATTTTGAACCCTCGAACAATCGAATATACGTAGTTCAGACGAATTTCTGCTCGCTGTTAGTTTGACTACTCTGCCATAAATATGTCTCTCAAGTGATTGATATGGAAAAGGATGCAGAGGTTTTTATTGCGAAGTGGCCTACTGTATCCCACAGAGTGGAGGGTCATAGGTTACGACTGACACGCAATTGATGATCTCGTGCTGGAAATGGTGCATTTACAATATGTCTCTAAAGTCGTCACAAGTGACATTACAGGGCCACTTGAAATACAAGTGATTTACCCACCATTTCGGTTTCTCTACCTTTCTTCTATCCTTTCACCCTATTTTCCTACTTACCAGTGAGAAAAGTAGACTTGTGAGACCACCATGCTGTGCATATGAATACGTATTCCACCATTTCAAATTTGAAGCGTTAGACTGGTTTTCACGAAGCTGTATATGAGCTTTATAACATTGGAAGTCGATATAAGGTCCTACTTTTTAAAATAGAATCAGTAATAACAACATGGCGGGCGCGCGAACTTCTGAGAGGGGAGTGACGCTTACTTTAGGTCGTGAAATGTTGTCTGGTAATAGATCTGTGAAAAATGTGCAAGTTCTGTTGAGATTATGTTTAATTGATTCCGATAACTAATGAACTACTGTGGTCAGGTATGTGTGGTTTTCAAGGAGATAGGCCATAAATATACCTACTCGATTTGTGTGAAATGTTGCTCGTATATGTACTGCTATAAGTATGCCGATGATGTGCAACTCTGGGTTATATCCGACAAAAATTAACTCGTACAGAATCTGTATTTCAAATAATAAATTGTTCATAAAATGAGAATAAAATACCCGTAAACGTAATAAAAGGGTATTGCATGAGATGGAATGTAAATCCAGAAGGAAATAGATTTCATGAGTTCTACTCGAAACTTCTTATTCTGACATACTGAAATAATTTAGTTTCATTCTTCTGCACTGCTTTCTGAATTGCCTCCTTTGTCTCAAAACTTTGTCCACGCAGCTGATCCTTCACAAATCCGAAAAGATGGTAGTCGGACGGTGCCATATCAGGGCTATAGGAGGGGGGTGGAAGAACTTCCCACCCCATCCTTGCAATTGCTTTCAATGTGACCTTTCTGGTCTTCGGTCAATAACCGCGGGACCCAACGAGCACAAACTTTCATATAGCCCAAGCTTTCAATCATCTCCTGTACTGCACTGTGCCCTATTCCAAGTTTTCGGGCTATTGTGTCCACAGTCACACGCCTGTCATCTTGAATGATCTCATTCACTCTTTCCTTGTTGCGTTCAGTTGAGGCTGTTCAAGGACGACCGCTCCGAGGCTCATCTTCGATGCTGGTGTTCCCATCTTTGAAACGTTTCACCCATCTTCGAACACTGCTCGCACCCATGCACACACTTCCATAAGCACGCTGAATTCAGAAAGCAGTGCGTTAGTGTCTTCGGATGGCTGGAAAGGAATTTTACAGAAGGGTAATTTTCAGACTCCCAGAACGCTGGAGAAATGTGTACAAAGAAGTGGCGATTATGTGGAAAAATAAAGAAAGGTCTGTAGATTGAGGTGGTGTATTTGGTTTGTCAATAATAAATCATGTTACTTTACAAAAAATTGTTGCTCATGACTTTCAGTACGACCTACGTATATACAAGGCTGCTGGAATATACTTACTTCCAAATGCATTTATGCTTCAGTGGCTGTCATGATTATTTCTTACAGATTTTTTTTTTCATTGGCGCTACAGCCCTCATTTGGGCCTAGGCCTACATACGGTAGGACTCCTTGGGCAGGTGATCAGCTCGTCGCAAGGCCTCTACCTGTACACAAACACAGAAAAACGCACACACACATCCATGCCCTGAGTGGGATTGGAACCCACGATCCCGGCTTCCGAGCGAGCGAAGACAGTGCATGCCCTAGACCGCTCGGCTACCGTGACCGGCATTTGTTACAGATACAGATCAATTGTTGTAGGTAAAAACTTGCTGTTGCAAAGTAATCACACTACTAATTGTCCCTAGAATGCTTTGCCCTCTATTTCGTTAAAAATTTAGCGCATTGGGAAATAGTTTAAATCAAATTTTGGATCTCAGTGAGATAAATGTTTATGCCATGTGCTTCATTGTTATATGACGATCTGTTTTTGAGGGGATTGAAGTTATATTTGAGCTTCATGTAAAATGTTGTTATATTAGGGCCGAAATGAACCGACACCGAATTCAACCAACATCTTCTGGTATATACACCTAACATCAAATGTAACTAAATTCACTGAGAGCTTTCTAAGGCTAAACAATCGCATGAACAGACACAAACTTATTATTATGGTATTTTATTTACACTTACTGTCAGTGTTTTAAAATTCTGAATTCAATGTACAATTCCCATAGAAAACACTCAAACGAAAAATTATATCTTCTGAGACATAGCATCATGTAGTCCTTTGAAAGTCAACGTTTCGACTCTGCCTGCCACCCGGCTCATACTGATTTGGTGGTTGGCTCATTCTTATACCCAGCAAATGGAGAGGACATATTCCTCCGAAACATCTGTTGACTTTTAACGAACTATACTGCTTTATATCCCAGAAGGTAGAACTCTTCATAACCACCGGTGTGAGAACCCAAAATCCTACAAAACGTTCTAACACTGATACTGCAACATTGGTCATTATCCATTGCAATTGTCAATTGCAGAACATAGGCACGGTATCTTCATACTTGCAACTGTTTACGTTGCAGTCACTTGAGATCATTGTTACGTCTGGAATATGGCGTCTGTTATTTAGCGGTATAAATCTTCTGCTCACTCGCAGTATGTTCGCGGGGAAGTACCGGTGGATCCTCCATTACTGCAGAGTAAGGCGGTGGTGGCCCGGTGGAAGGATAAACTGCGGATAATAGAGAGAGAAAGATGTGTAGGCCTCCTTTGCGAAATGACATATTTTGAGACAAGACGTAACCTCTACTGTAATACAGAGATTCTCGAGGAAAACATTTGTCATATCATTTGGCATCCCGTTACAAATAGTGATCACTTAGACACATTCACTTCCCTCTTAAATGCAACTTTACATATAGTTAGTCCTGTACTTAAAAATAAAAATTAAAAAAGTGATATATTAATGCAACAGGATGCTGAAACATAATATTAAAAATAGTGATATTTTGTTGTGGATATTTGAAAATGTGTAAGATGTGTCAGTCATTATATTTGTGGAAAAAAAATGATTAGAAATGACAAACAAAAGATTTACTGGTTGTAGACATGTGTTTGTACATTCCATGATATAATATGAGGAAATAGCCCATGGACAGCTAGTTAACATAAAGTGGCATAAGTCATTATCATAGCTCAGACCGATAGTCGTTGATTTAATCCCAGAAATTGGACGAAGTGGCAATGGTGCAGGTTTTTCTCGGATTTCCTTCGGTTTTCCCTCGCTGAATGCCATTCTTTTTATTGTTCCGTACTCATCTAGCACCGCACCTGAGATTCGCGACAGTCCTGATCAGGCAGCACATTATCACATGGTCTTTTAAGTCTGGAGCTTTTTCTGTGACCTAATATTTATCTATCACAGAGTAAGGAATTTCAGTTGCACCTAAAATTACATACTTGCTTGAGCTTGTAGAAGGTGATATGGGTACAATGGTGGTGGCTGCTGATTGCTGAATTGTAGGAGAGGCGCAGGAGGAAATGCAACTTGTTGATTTATCACTGTAGCCCTGGGAACGTTATTTCGAGCACAGCCTATATAAACATTGAATGTAGTTATCAGTATTAACAATATTTGCCAGCGTATAGCCTCTTTATATAGAGATACAGATTGAATTTCTCCTTGACGATTTCGTTACATAGCAGAAACAATAATATGAGTTTAATGTTGAATGAACAGGGACGAAGAGACGAAGAGAATAAGAATGAAGCGATCCAATGGGAGGTGTTCCCGCTTTCGGGCAGATCCGAGATAACAGCCCTTAAACGGGCCAGATTTAAAGGGCAGCGACCGAGGTAGTCACCCCGGGGCCTCCACAAAAATAAAACAATCCGCAGACCTTTCAGTTACAGTTACTTCTCTTACTCACTCACTCATGGAGCTGAGCCCTTCTTGAGGAGCTGCCAATTCTGCAGCTACTCAAGAATTTCCCAGAATTTTATGGAACCCGAAGGTTCATTACCGTGTTCACAAGAGCCCTTCACTGGTCCCTATCCTGAACCAGATCAATCCAATCCATACCATCCCATCCTATCTCTCTAAGATTCATTCTAATATTGTCCACCCACTTACGCCTTGGTCTTCCCAGTGGCCTCTTTCCGTCTGGCTTTCCCACCAATATCCTATAAGCATTCCTCGTCTCCCCCATTCGTACTACATGCCCTGCCCACCTCATTCTCCTAGACTTGATCACTCTAATTATACTTGGAGAAGAGTACAAGTTATGAAGCCCCTCATTATGCAGTTTTCTCCAACCTCCTGTCACTTCATCTATGTTCGGTCCAAATATTCTCCGCAACGCTCTGTTCTCAAACACCCTCAGTCTATGTTCCTCCCTTAATGTCAGAGACCAAGTTTCACACCCATACAGAACCACAGGCAAAATTATAGTTTTGTATATTCTAATTTTTATCTTTTTTTGACAGCAGACGAGAAGACGAAAGGTTCTGGACTGAATGGTAGCAAGCATTACCCAAGTTCAGTCTCCTCTTAATTTCCTCCTGAATGAGGTTTCGATCTGTTATCGTTCCCAAATATCTGAACTATGCCACATTTTCAAAACATATGTTTCCTATCTTTATGTCATGATTTTACACCGCCATGAGAACTTGACACGTCACACAACCCATATATGAACTTATCAGTTTTATGATATTGGCAAAATCGTCTTTAAAATGAACACATTTTATTTGGAAGTCAATATATATGTTTTCTAGCAAGTATGTCAGGTATTTAATTTCTACTGATTGAACAAACGTTACGGTTCAATCACCTTTTATTTTGTACGTTAACCACCGCGCCTCGCCATTCCGCAAATACTGGAGAATATGTTGAATCGTATTTAATGCACCGGTCCCTCATGAGTGCCAGCTGGGTAGCCTAATCATTATAGTGACTTGTCTAGGAGCTCGGCGGCTGATTTCGATTCCTGGTCTCAATATTTTTCTTTCCACAGCTACTTTCAGACCTCGTCACTGTTCTTGTCAATTTGTATTGTGGGCTTTCTCCTTAGGGGTAAATCAGCCGGAGTTACAAAGCTAACCACTCACTTCCATCTAGTGTCAAAGTTAAGAGCTACTTAAACTATACTTCCACAAGAAAGCCAAATTTCACAATGAGCTATAGAGCCAATACTTTAATTTTGCTTTCATATTTTAGTAATTAATGTAGGTCAGTAATGCAGAGCAGTGACCACAAAGTGAAAACGCCCTAGTTATATACAGCTAATGTTTGCTTCCTAACCGCTTGAGTAGTGAGTTTAGAGTGAAGAATATATTTGGATCGACTTACGTTGGGCACATTCCTCTCCAGTAAGCTCTATATACCATAGGAGAAAAGTAATCAGAACAGCGGCCACCAATATCACCACCCCACCGATTATGAGGTATGTCCTGTTGACATAAATTAAATAATTTTATGAATAAGTTTGACGCTGACGTTTTCAAAAATTCAAGAGAGGGCAAGAGTTTGATACTAGTTAACACAGTCATCAAACAGACATATATGTTGTACATTTTCCATTGTCTCATGTTATGTTAATAGCACGAAGTTTCTCAAGCTGACTCTGCTTCCGTCATAAGGCCAAATTGTGAGACCTACTTTGCTAGTCCAATAGATCGAGCTAATTTCTGGGCCGAGTAGTTTTCACACATTCAATTGATGACGGAAGCACGCCTACCTTCCGAAACATCACGGTTTTAACAAAATGGTGGAAAATACTGTGACTTATCGACCCACTGCTAGGAAACAGCTCGATATACACGTTCCCGCGGAGACAGATTCTTGGTAAACAGTCCGTTACTATGTAACGCGTAAAATACGCGACAATAAAGGTAATCCATTTCTAGGTGACGGGCCAATAAACATTCCCATTCTTGACAACAGAAGAGATGAGAACTATGTGGTTCGCATATATATATATATATATATATATTGCTGGGCAAAGGATGTGTTTTCTATGGATCCGCCTCGAGACTATATAAGTAAAAGCAAAGTTGTCCCTGTGCTTAACTAATTAAGCACTGCGCCATGGAGGTGTATGGGGTAGTGGATGTATAGAGCCACATTTTCTTGACCCCGGCACTAGTTGGAGGTGAGTGGTCAGCTTCACGCCCCTGCCACTTTTACCCCGGGGAAAGAGCTCCCGGTACTCATTGTGTTTGAGGTTGGTTGGATCCCAGAGCCAGTCTGAACGACTTGAAGAAGAGAAAATTCTTGACCCCACCGGGACTCGAACTCCGACCCCTCGGTCGTCCAGCCCGTAGCCAGTCGCTATACCGACTGAGGTATCCCGGCTCTTAGACTATATAAGTAGTACAGTCGTAAATCAGAAGTCAGTCATAGAAGGAAAACGAGAATAGGGAAAGACCTCGGTAGTAGATTGACTGAATTGCAGTAATTGATTGTGATTGCGAGTGATTGTAAAATAAGCTGTCACTAAAGCCAGTCATCCACTGCAGAACCCGCTATTGTTAGTCACACAAACCCCGGATACGTGACAATATCCAACGCCTGTTTCAGTTCAATAACACGTCTTCATCATGATGAAAACTGTACGAAACCAAGATTCGAATCCGGAACTTTCCGGATTCAAAGCAAGATCAATAACCAGTCGACGGCACAAAGTTAGGTCCAATAAGGAAGAGAAGAAAGGAAGAAAGTACGAAAAGTATGATACAGAAAAGAATAAAGAAAGAGAGAGGAAAATAGGAAAGCAAGTCTGCTTGCCCTAAATCTGCTCTTTTATGACACCAGGTAAAGTGTTTAATTTTATTTTTCTTTATTGTAACTGAGTGCTGCCGATCAAAGTGGTCACGCGGTATAGGGCACGGAATGTCTTCGTCTGCAAAAACACTTGGATCGTGGGTTCGAATCCCACTCGAGGTATGCATGTCTGTCTGCGTTTATTCTGTATTTGTGTTGTCCTGTGTAGGTATCGGTCTTACGATGGGTCGATCCCCCGTTCAAGGAGCCCTACCGACTCTCTGTAAGATTAAGAAACTGAAGAGATACGAAACGGTTCACGGGTCCCTTATGCTCCTCGCAACAAGAAATTAAGCAATAAAAACAAATAAATAATTGTGTATCAACAAGCCGACCCCATTGGATGCAAAATTCAAGGGACAAAACTTCTTAAAAATAACTAATGAAGGGCTGTTGAATTCTTTTCCCGCGCCTGAAAGTTTTTGCAAGTTCATCACTGTGTATGACTCACCTCATCGATCGCCTCAAACGCCACTCTCCTTTATTCTGTCATGGCCAGTGAAGCTCCGAAACCAAATTTCAGGTACAGCCCCATAAATAACGCACTGATCCATTCTTTCGCTTTATTATTCTGTAAGTTAAATTTTTTGGGATGGGGTGAGACTGAATCCACTTGGTACGTCAGCCACTGATTGGCCTATTGCATCAGCCCCGGATGATAGATGGTGATGAATGTGGAGCAGTCGCTGGAATGAGAATTGGTAAGGGAAACCGAAATACTCGGAGAAAACCTGCCAGTGTCACTTTGTCCACCAAAAATCCAACATTACGTGACCTGGGCTCGAACCCGGCGGCTAACTGCCTGTATTATTATTTTTACTCTGTGAAGTTGTTAGCTCTGCGAACACTCAGATACATTCAGGTTACTGGGAAGAATTAGAAGCGTAACTGAGCAGCTTTATACTTAAATGATGAATTTCATTCAACTTACATTGTGCGCTTTCTTTTTGGCTGGGTCAATACAAGAATATCAGGACAATCAAGATTGCAGCAACCACCATTACGAGCCCTCCGATTATGATCCACACTCTGTTGGCAGACATTAAATATTCCATATGAAAGAACAGAACCTGCTTAATTGTTCGTCTGAATATCTTTTCCTTCAATAATGTTAATCTTATTCTAAGCAAATATTTTCTTTATTTGTAAATATGGCCTAAAAGTTCATGACGATGGTATATTAATACAGTTATTAGGCTGTTTGGACGTTGCTTACCGTCCAATTCCTTTATTTAAAACTGTGTTTAGGAGATTAGACTCTGCCTCCGTCCTCAGGTAAAATGCGTACTCAGTCGATAGATAGGGACTAGCTCTATCGATTGGGCGCAACTGAGTGGATCCTTTACCTGAGGATGGAGACACAGACCAGTCTCCGAAACGTTGTTTTAAATAAAATATTGGACGATGCGTAATGTCCAAGATGTCAGTAAGTTCATCTGTTTATAGTTTACGTCACGATAGTGCCAATAACTAACACTAAACAGCATCGAATGGTTGGGTAATCGTGAGCGATGACTAGGAAAAGATATGGAAGGGGAGGATCTTGGATTAATTTAAGTTACTGTCTAGGCGTTTACCTTGAATCAATGTGGAAAGATACAAAAAGAAACTTCAGTTGGATAGTCAGTCTCCTTGCCGAGATTAAAACCGATCTCTTGCAGAAGCGTTACGTGTCAGCAGTCTAGCTGGGTACCAAACATGCAGTAAGAGAAAATTATGCTCTTCTTTGATGATCTAATGGCCAATGGATAAACGGAAGATTAATTTCAGGGAAGGGTAAGGTAAAAGTAAAGTTGTCCCTGTGCTCAACGAATTAAGCACTACGCCATGAAGACGTATGGGGGAGTGGATGTATAGATCCACATTTTCTTTACTTCAGCACTAGCTGAAGGTGAGCTGTCACCTTCACGCCCCTGCCGTTTTATCCCCGGTACCCATTAGATAGGAGTTTGGGTGAACCCCAGAGGCGGTCTGGACAATTTTTCGGGGAATGGTTCTTGAACTTAAAATTTTTGTTGGATAAAAATGAGGGAAATCACGTTTTGTAGAAGAAAATGATTCCAAGATTTTATTACAAACTGCACTGTAAAACACGGTTTCGGGATGAACTTCAGACATTGCATTAGATGTGACATGTGCCAGACAAATGACATTCGGGGAAACGAAGAAACGGAAACAAGCGAAGGATCTAAAGGAAAGAAAAGCGATATGAATAATATAAACCGGATGTGACGAAAGAGAGGAAGCGGCGGCTAAGAGTACCGGAAACATGTTTCGCCTGTTGATGTAATTGACTGTAGCCAACCTACTTGTGTTTCCCCATTGTCTGCATTTTGATCTATATTACAGATAGGAGATACATCACTTAGGGAACTGAAAGCGTGGAATCTGTATTGCCATACAAATACAACCGGTACCGGTTCTCACGGTCTCTTCGCTTGCAGATTTCTTATATTTTTTCTTCTACCCTGAAGATGGAGGCGATACGTTCCTCCGAAACGTCGGTTAACACCACATATACACGGTGCCAAATCCCAGAAGACTGCTTTCTTCATAGTCACCGCCGTGAAAGTCTCAAATCTTACATGTTATTTTCATTTCGAAGAAGTGTTGCAGAGGATACCTACTGTGAATAAGAGAACACTAAAAATACTTAAAGCCAAAAATATTGTGATAAAGCAATGAAAGTCTGGTGGATATACGTAGCTTTGTAACATAGGGCACAAAATGCTTCATAGCAGATTGCTTTGCTCCAAATTTACCATTAGTATAACTAACTCCATAGAGCAGGACCCATCTTGAGACGCTGATAGTTTCTCAGCTACGGAATGTCTGAAGTTTGTAAATGCTAAAGCCTTGTATTTGAAAAAAAAAAGCATCAGGTATGGCGTTGTGGGAAGTAATATTGATGTATATGTTATTTTGTATTCCCTTGTAGACTGAAATGTACTGGCGTTTTATCTGTGAGGAACTATGTGGATATGTCTGCTCAGAAACCAGTTACTAAGTCGGCTGTTTGGCCACGCCATAGCTCAAGCGGTTAGTCGCTGGCTTCCCACCGCGGCGGCCCGTGTTCAAGTGGGATTTGTGGTGGACAAAATGGCGCTGGGGTAGGTTTTCTCCGAGTACTTCTGTTTCCCGTGTCAATCTTCATTCCACCTATTGATCCACAATCACCCTTACCTATCATCTGGGGCTGGTACAATAGGCCAGAAGTGGCCGCAGTACAAGGGACTTAGTCCCACCCCACTAGGAAAAAAAAGTAGGCTCTCACCCAAAGTACTGTAATTTCGCTTTTGAGTGTGACACAGAGAACATATGTGCAACTAGAGCTTCACAGGAATCACTCAACGCCGAGAAGGGAGTAGTTGGAGCCTTTAACCGTTACTGTGCCCCTTGATTTCCTTGTGCTTAGGCAAAAAACATAGGAGGATAACACTAAATCAGTATCAAAGAGGCAGGATGTAGGGTTTTTGACACAATTCATCTGATTCAGGATACGGTCAGTTGAGGGATGTTGTAAACACGGTAATTGGGCTTCGAGGACGAGGAATTCTTGAGTAGCTGGAGAACTGTGGCCCGTTTTTTAAGAACTCTGATGAACTTAGGTACGTACTAGGTAACTTAACCTTTAAATGCAACTACGGACCCTACCGATAGTTTTGTACTCACTTCAGCATTCTAGAAGCACGGTCACTCGATCACCCCTCCGGACGCGAACCTCGAACAAAGTGCGTTGATGTTGTGGCGTTCAGTTTCCCAGTACTTCTGTGAGACTACGCTTAGACAGGAATCTGCTTCCTCGTACAGTGGTCTGATAGCAAAATAGGAAGCAAGGAACATGCGTTGAGAACGTATGACGTTGGCATGCCGGAAGACCATTGTCAGCTTTGGTACTTGTTTTGTGTGTGGTTGGCAATACTGAGGGTTTGTTACGTTTGTTGGTATTAACTCGTTTCTCCTACCGTTCGTTTTAATAACTTCTCTACTCTTTGCAGATCATAGATACCATCAGGGTAAAATGACTTGCTTAATTAATATCGGTATGATTTCAGGAATATCAAATCAAGGAAGATGGGATGGGCAAGACATGTAGCACGATTGGGGAGAAGAGGAATGCATGTAGGATATTAGTGGGAAAGCCGGAGTGAAAGAGACCACTTGGAAGACAAAGACGTAGGTGGCAGGATAATATTAAAATGGATCTTAGAGACATAGGATGGGGTGGTATGGACTGGATTCATCTGACTCAGGATAGGGACCAGTGGAGGGCTGTCATGAACATGGTAATGAACCTTCGGGTTCCATTAATTTGCTGAGAAGTTCTTGAGTAGCTGCACAACTGGCGGCTTCTCAAGAAGGGCTCAGCTTAATGAGGTTAGATATGACTTAAGGAATTTGCTGACCACAGTACCCTCAAAATAGCCTCTTCGAGAGTTTGGAATAATTTCTCTAGGTGAATATTCTATAGGCATTGTGCGCCTCGCCAAATAAACTCTAGCTGACAGAGACTACCAAGGGGCTAATTTAAGTTTCGGTATCAGTGTGTTGAGCTAATCTCTGTTGTCCCCTCTGGAGCACAGATAATCTGTGAAACACTTCAACCGGATCCTGTCAACAACAACTCTCTTAATCTCACTTCATAGCTTCCCCCCTTTCATGACTTCTTCATCGACCGTCCTCTTTCAGGTGTTTCTGGGACGACTGCGCCTTCGAACCCCCTGGGCGTTTCAGTTTAGTGACGACTTTTCTATGGATCCACTGGGTGTCCTTAGGGTATGACCAGTCCAGCGCCATTTTCTCTTTTTCTGGTTGACAGTTGGCTGCTTTTCTCTAATTTTCCGTAGATCTTCATTTGATATAGTTTCTGGCTATCTTACATTAATATTGCGGTCTAAGGCATGTACTCTCTTCGCTCGCTTGGAAACTTGGATCGTGGGTTCGAATCCCACTCAGGGCACGAATGTTTAGTTTGTGTGTGTGTGTTTTTCTGTGTTTGTGTACAGGTAGAGGCCTTGCGACGAGCTGATCACCCGCCCAAGGAGTCCTACCGAATGTGTAAGATCTAGAAAAACCGAAGTGAACGGAGAAGTTCATGGAGGTAGGCCTAGGCCCACTGGGGCTGTAGTGCCAAGGAAAAAACAATTAGCGATTAATAAAGACCTACATTCTGTTTGTAATTTGTTGGGTAACTTCCCACGTTTCACAAGCATAAAGGAGTGACGTCACATTGGTACTGAAGATTTGGAGTTCAGTCCTTTTGAAGACGTTGGTCTCAATGTATAAAAATTCAGAAATCTATGTACTATCAAGAATAGAATGCATAAATATTAATGACTGTATTAAATTTATATTCTGGTGTTATTTCTTTCCAAATATTTATATCAATTTTATATACAAATTTTGAATAGATAAGAGCAAGTAACGTAACAAAGGATTAAATACATCAGTTATATTTATTTCACAGTAAACGTATAGTTAACAGCAGAAATTCGATAATCACGGCGCATAGTCACAAATGTATCTTCAGTGTTACTTCTTTTAAGATAATATTTACATGTCTCTATGCAAAAAAAAAAAGAGTAACAGATACTGCTTGTGAGATTTGAAGCTCTCACGCCGGGTAGCTAAGCATATTATTGTCTTCCGGGATTTGAAGCCATATAGATATTTGCCGACGTTTCGGAGCAGTATGCTGTTACGCCGTGTAGTCTGTTAGACACGAATTTTGGAAGGAACATGTTATTTTGTTTTGTTCTGAAGATAAGAAGATGACATGTTCCTCCGAAACGTCAGAATACATGGGGTCACATCCCAGAAGACAGAAATCTTCAGTTTTGAGTTGTGTCACAGAATACGATATATGTTCAAATATTTATTATAGAATATGCATGTAGGTTCGGTGTCGTTATCTTGCGATGGTAGAAGGATGTACGCTGTAGGCCGGTGTTTGAGTCTGCATTGTTACTGCCAACGAATATGGCGGAGGCGGAGCATTTTGTGAATTATCTGTGGACAGCAAAGTGTAACAGACATGTAAGGTAGCTGAGTGACACAATGTGAACGCCAGAAGCTTTTATAAGACCACTAAATCCGTGTTTCTGAGGATGTTAAATAAACTTACTTACTTACTAATGGATCTAAGTCCTTCTTGAGGAGCCGCCAATTCAGCAGCTACTCAAGAATTGCCCAGAATTTTATGGAACCCGAAAGTTCATTACCGTGTTCACAAGATCCCTCCACTGGTTACTGTCCTGAACCAGCTCAATCCAATCCATACATCCCATCCTATCTCTCTAAGGTCCATTTTAATATTGTCCGCCCACCTACGCCTTTGTCTTCCCAGTGGTCTCTTTCCTTCTGGATTTCCCACCAATACCCTATATGCATTTCGCTTTTCCCCCATTTGTGCTACATGCCCTGCCCATCTTATCTTCCTTAGACTAAATATGAAAATAAATTAAAGCTGCTGGAAGAAGCGAGACGAAGCGAAGCAGTGTGTGAGATTTGCGGTTTTATCGGCTGTAGATATCTGTGACCTTCCGGTTATGATACCGTGTACCTTCTTGTAAAGTCTCAGGCACCAGATTTTGACTGAAGCATTGGTGAGCATCTCCCAGACTACACGGCTTTAAACTCAGAAGCCCGCAGTACAGACCAAAACGTATCCATCCCTTCAGTCCCCTACGTCATAATATTGTATACTGTTCTTTCAGTGAGGGCACTATGCTGCAAACCTGAAAGTCTCGGGTTCGATTCCTGATTAGGCCCTTGGATTTTTCAATTGACTTAATCCCTCCAGCCGCACTATGGCTCTGGGGTCGACTCAGCCTCTAACAGAAATTAGTACCTGAAATCTTTTCCAGAGGATAAAGGGCGGCTGACAACGTTCGCGGGAACGTATTGCCTCCATCTTAAAGGTGGAATAATCAGGGCAAGATACCAGCGTGACAGGAGTTGGGAAGCAGAAAAACTCTGCTCTGCATTTCACGCTGATATCTTGCTCGGATTATTCGACTCTGAAGATTGAGGCGACAAGTTCCACCGAAACGTAGGTTGACTTTCAAAGGAGCACACGGCGTTACATCCCAGAAGATACTATTCTTCATGGTCTTAATTCATATTCGGAAGGTGCTCATTTCGAATCTCGGCCGGGGACAACTGCTGTCCTGACTGGAAATTTTCGTACTTCTCAGTGCCTGCAGCTTCCAGACGCTAGGATAGTACATCTCTAAGGACACGACTGCTTTCTTCCAAATATTTTCTAATTTATCCTTCGTCTGTCATCCTACCATTCGACGCTATATATTCTTATGCTGGCAGCGTCGTGAAGTAACCCTAAGCAAAGACGTCATGTGAGTGCGTTCTCGTATCGTACAGTAGATAAAGATGATGTTATATACGAACAATGATGGTTGTATTGAGAGTGGTCTGAATATGGTGGCGGTGCCCCTATGTAGTACGGTTGAGTCTGGTGCTCCACGTGCTGAGGATTCGCCTCGCTAGCAACAACCAGAATAGTACCATCGTCTGGAAAGAAACAAGATATTGTGTTAGAATTATGTATTTTTATCCGAACACGAGAATATATTTATATTCTATAAGTAATTAGACTATTACTATTTACGCTGGGAAGCTGCGAATATATTGAATAAGCAGTCGCGGACAGTCAACAAGGGGTGGTCCTCCTGCTTGGAGGTTGGTCATAGGGCTAACAACTCACCGTAAAAAATAATCAAGTTACGAAAATGAACACAAAGCCTCGGACCTGGATGGATCCTCTGGATAATCGACCTAGGCTAAAGAAAGTGGACATGAGATTCGGTACTTGGAATGTACGAAGTTTGTATAAGGCAGGCTCGCTCAGGGCAGTGAAAGAATAAATCTTAAAATATAAGTTAGATTTAGCGGGAGTACCGGAAGTCAGATGGGACGGAGGTGCATCGAACCAGCACATTTTTTCTATGGAAATTGGAATGAAAATCATGAATTAGGTACTATTAATGCTAAGTGTATAAAATAATTATCATGACTATCCATCTTATGGTTCATCTCTGAAATTACTCAATGAATTTGTAGCATTATTTTGGATTAGATGAATATTTGTCGCGCGAATTTAATTTTGTTTTATATACGTTCGGTATAACCCTTAATTAACAAGGAATTGAAATATAAAATAAAACGAAAAGCTGTCCCAATTAATTAAACACTGTACCATGAAGACATATGGAGGAGTGGAGGTATAGCTCCACTATTCTTGAAAGATATATAATGGGACAGTCTACACAACAGTAATTCTGAAGAAAACAAAATAGGCACTACTGTGCAATGCGACCTTGTAGCATTGTAAATCGATACCAGCGTTTCGATAGAACATGCTACTTCCATCTTCAGCATCGAAGGGACTGGGATGAGCACGCACCGAGCTCCATCTTCTCTCCCCTTCCAGTGGATCTGAGTACCCCCCCTTCTGTGGGCCCCAATCAGGTTCTTTCTCTCCCCAACGCCACTGCCAGGGCTTCTCGAAGGACCCTAGCAGCATTTTACACGGCAGTGGTTCGAGTGATTGGAGCTCTTGGAAATTGTATTCGCAGACTTTATGTATAATTTAACCGTATCTTCAGCCTTCAAACTTTGACCCTGAGGATGGAATCAGCATGTTCCACCGAAACATTGGAATATACTTATTACGTACACTGTGCTATAACCCAGAAGACGACAATCTAAGTTTAGAGCAGATAAGAATCAGGGAATGATTGTTAGATGTCTGTTCAGAATCCTTTATCTCCCAATCTGTTATCTTGAATATCTGAAGATTAATATTTGAAGGATCAGTACAGGCTACACAGGATTTTCATGCTAGCAATCCTATTTCATACGAGACTTCTCTCACTCAGATGCAGTAACACTGACTGAGGGCGTTTGAAAAAAATGATGTTGAGGACAGTGCTGGGCCTCTAACGCAGATGCAGTAACACGGACTGAGGGCGTTTGAAAAAAATGATGTTGAGGATAGTGCTGGGCCTCTCACTCAGATGCAGTAACACGGACTGAGGGCGTTTGAAAAAAAAATGATGTTGAGGACAGTGCTGGGCTCTAAGACAGAGGAAGTAACAGGAAGACGGAGATAGCTACATAATAAGGAAATAGGCATTTATGCTTTTCAATAAATAATAGAGAATCAGTTCAAGTAATATGAGGTAGGCGGGTTATACAGCACGAATGGGGAGTTGACAAATGCTTGTAGAATTCAGCAGGAAAGCCAGAAAGGAAGAGCTTACTTTGTAGACATAGGCATAGATGGAAAATATCTATTGAAATTGAACTTAAAGAAATAGCATGTGAGGTTATGGACTGAATTCAGCTGCTCCAGGATAAGGCCCACTGGCGGGGCTTTGTGAAATTAATCTGCGGCTTCCATGAGAGGTGGGTAAGCGACTGTGAGCATCTCAAAGCTTCATCGGGTCATCGAGATGTTTTCTAGAGATAAGGCTTCTGAAGTATTATCGAGAGGTGCCCGATTCGAAGCTCGGCCATGGAGCCGACTGCCTTGAGTGAGATTTTCATAATTTATCTCAGTTTCTCTACGTGAATACTGCGAAAACACCGTGAAATATACCACGACGTCTACCTTCTACGTCCTCTACTATTCATCATTCACTATCATAGACTCATTCGATGCTATATGATATGAATTATTGGTGAAAAAGGTAAAGCTATCCCTGAAACAAACCGTGGAGGCCCATAGGGTTGTGAAACGTCGAGGCTTCCACCTTTTCTAGATAATCGGTTCACAGATGGCGGTGAGGTCAGCCTTACGTGCCCGCCGCCCTTTACCCCCAGGAATATTCCTCGTACTCATTTCTGTTAGAGGCTGAGTGAACCCCAGAGTCATAGTGCGGCTGGAAGGATTAGGTCAATTGAAAAATCCAATCGAATCCACCTTCCGGCTTGCAGCATAGTGCGTCAACGAACTACGCTACCGCGTGCCCCCATGAATTATTGATAGCGTCTTTAAATAACTCGCAATTAAATAAATGCTCACATGAATACACTGAGTCAATTAACAATACATACGTATCTGCGACTGACGTTTCTTGAGAACAGAGCACCACCAGTACAGCACCAGAACCAATGCGATGGTCAACAGAGTTCCGGAAACCAGCCCCGTGAGACTGAAGCTTTTGTTGAAAGAAACGACAAGTTGTTATGAAAGCATACAATATCAGATGCCAGCGGATTTAATTTAAAATAACAAACTTAATAGCTTCACAATCCTTTGAGGTTATCTATCTACCTAACTAAATACCTGCCTAACAAACTACGAACGTAACTATTACCGAAAACCGTAACTTAAGTAACTGAGTACATGGCCTGAAATATTTCTTGAAATGTTCAGATTTACAGAGATAATGAAGAAAATCACCGCCTGTATGAAAACCAAAGTCCTGCCTCCATTTTCACATTGGACTCTTGTCTTGAGCCATTTAAGTCAGCATGTTCACACGCTGATTTTCTGAGACTTATATAAATAGTATTGCTCGCCAACGAATCTGCTGGGATAGTATCTCGTATTGGTCACGACCGCTTCCTTCCAAATTCTTTTCACTTCTTTAGTCATCCTATCATCCGACGTTGTATAGTCTGGATATTTTAAATAACCCCAAAATTTGTGCCTCTAAGCTCTCAAGTAATATTTTCCTTCAGTTTTGACACTGAAGTTTTGTATGAATTTCATAGTTCTTCCACATATGTTACATTACCATTTGAAGTTCTGTACGGTGGCACAGACTACCACAGTACTGGATTTGATGTTCTCAATGCATATTGTCTTCTGTATTATAAGGTCATGTAGTCCGGTGAAATTCAATTAACATTTCAGAGGAACATGTCGCTCCCATCTTCAGGGTCGAAGGGTAACCCAAACAGGATACCGGCTTGAAATAGGCAGCAGATATAGCTGGCTCTGTGATATATTTCTCCGAAACTTTGCCTGTATTTCACCGGAAGACACGGCGCTGTATCCCTGAAGGTAGAACTCTACCTTCGTATCATTTACGTTACTTCAGAATTTGTTTAAGCGTGTAAGGTGGATGCACAGTTCACATGTGTCACCGACAGTCTTGCGTGATGAGCTAACTGCCTCACAAAATCGCAAAGAGAAACAGTTGCCATGGCAACTCACAAAGGACTCAATACTGCAGTTGCTACTTTTGTCTTTGAACAAACCGGAAGTTGGTGCACACTGATATGTCACTATGTTGTACACTTATCAATATATTAGTTCTGTAAGCCTCTCTTTACAAAGGAGGTCTTGTGTTTCAGTTTTGATCAGAGAATTTTCTTGTACTTACGCCATTGTGCTCACAAAATCGCAAAGAGAAACAGTTGCCATGGCAACTCACAAAGGACTCAATACTGCAGTTGCTACTTTTGCTTTTGAAGAAACCGGAAGTTGGTGCACACCGATATGTCACTATGTTGTACACTTATCAATATATTAGTTCTGTAAGCCTCTCTTTATAAAGGAGGTCTTGTGTTTCAGTTTTGATCAGAGAATTTTCTTGTACTTACGCCATTGTGCTCACAAAATCGCAAAGAGAAACAGTTGCCATGGCAACTCACAAAGGACTCAATACTGCAGTTGCTACTTTTGCTTTTGAAGAAACCGGAAGTTGGTGCACACTGATATGTCACTATGTTGTACACTTATCAATATATTAGTTCTGTAAGCCTCTCTTTACAAAGGAGGTCTTGTGTTTCAGTTTTGATCAGAGAATTTTCTTGTACTTACGCCATTGTGCTCACAAAATCGCAAAGAGAAACAGTTGCCATGGCAACTCACAAAGGACTCAATACTGCAGTTGCTACTTTTGCTTTTGAAGAAACCGGAAGTTGGTGCACACCGATATGTCACTATGTTGTACACTTATCAATATATTAGTTCTGTAAGCCTCTCTTTACAAAGGAGGTCTTGTGTTTCAGTTCTGATCAGAGAATTCTCTTGTACTTACGCCATTGTGCTAATTCCTAAATTGTATTCTTAAATCTGAAGTATATCCACAGGTCTGCTGCGGCGTGTTCACTGTTGGGGCAATGTCGTGTGAGTTCTGTCACTGTGAAATCGTGTCCGGGCTTATCAGAACTTTGTTATCTTATTAGATTATAAGACAATGCTTTGAAAGCGTAAAACACACAGAGTTGCTTTACTGCTCAAACTGCATTGCATTTAGCCTGTACGAAGTTTCGTTGTTTTCGTACGAGTGGTGTTTCGGGCGTGAGCCAGAAGTTTTCGACTTCGCATTACGGTCCGAATCGGTACAGTGTAGAGCCTGCTTTATGTGAAGGGGAAGTTAAAGCTTTATCCGTTGTATCACAAAACGTCTCGTTGGTAAAAGCGTCGTACAGAACGTGAGACATAGAAGCTGTTACGTTATGTTTCTATGTATATACAGGGTGTTTCACGACTTCAGGGCATAACTGCAGGAGGTGATTTCCTAGGTCTTTGTGATAAAAAAAAGTTCATATAAACATGTGTCCCATTTTGGACGGTTACGGAGTTATGACCGTTTTAAACTCAGAAGCTAAGGTAATGATTACTGACAATAAACGGAACAAAATAATAAACCAGCATAATACATGATACATTTAAAATATGAATGTAAAGTCAACTTCGTGAAATTACCTTTAATTTGAATTTATTGGTGCTTAAAGCTGATTTTCAAAAATGCCACCGCCGGACGCAACACAGGCTGCCGCTCGGTTGTGAACCGCGACGGACATACCAGCCCACCCCGCCTTAGGTAGCTCTCAAGTGTCGAGATAACGAGAACGCTCTGTCTGTAGCTGGCTAAAAATAGCGACCCGCCAGCTGACAGACGCGGTTCACACGAAGGCGTGTACTTGAATGAAAAGTCGGTCATAACTCCGTAACCGTCCAAAATCGGACACATGTTTATGTGAACTTTTTTGATCACAAAGACCTAGGAAATCACCTCCTGCAGTTATGCGCTAAAGTCTATGTATGTACTAAATATGTGTGTTATAAGACTACGTGGGCATTGTACTCACGCCATATTTATCACGTATATACTCGTACATAGGTTACAGCTGTATGTTCGAAACTGTTCCTCATGAAGAATAAATTGATAAATTAATCATTGCATTAACAGAGAAAGGAGTGGACGAGATAAACACAGGCAGGAGATAACGGGAACGAAATAAGATGAAAGACGAAGATTAGAAAGAAATGATTCTCCGTTAAATTTAAACGGGCTTTTCAGTAGTGCACGATTGAAAGAAAGAATAGAAAATGGTATTTCTGAATAGAGTTTTTAACAAGATATTTTATTTGCAACAGATGAAGATCGAAACAAAGAAGATATAAACAACTGCAAATAATTGATTGAATCTTAGGTCGTGTAGTGGTAAAGACTGTTTGAAATCCAGTGAATATATATAGCGTTAAGTGAACTGGAAATACTGCCATTGATGGATGATAAAGACTTGGGAAATATTCGTATCTGTTTTAATGTATTTTTCTACCATTCGTCTGGAGAGTCTGAGGAACACCATGGATATTTGTTTGTTATTTATGAATTATGTAGTGACATTCTCAGACTGTGAAGTGTGGCGGATGCCTAAATGTTGAATTTGTTTTTTGAAACCTGTTTCGAGATTACTTGCAACGATGTTTAGGCCCTTAATGTTATAACGTCATACTTGAAAATTTTTCGGTATGCAGACAAGCTGAGGCCTACATACAGAACACGAGACTCGTGAAGTTGAAGACAAATATTACGATGTTCAATGCTGTCCAAATTATTTGTATGTAATTCTGTTTGTTCGACGGTAAGATGGGTAGTTTGAAGCTTCCAACAGAATGATAAAATAGCTTTCCTTATGAGATTTTTTTTACATGTATACTCGTTTCTGGTTTCTACGGATATAACACATGGTTTCTCGCCCTAAGATAACTTATATGGAGAATTTTCGAAAATAGGACGAACATATTTGGACTTATGAGGAAGGAAAGAAAAGCTGGGCGGAGAAAACTGCAATACGGAAAGCTTCATAATTTGTATTCTTCACCTAATCTTATTAGGGTGATCAGATCAAGGATTAAATGGGCAAAACTTGTAGCATGCACATGAGTTGAGAGATCCATACAAAATCGAAGTCAACCTGAAAGGAAGAGATCATTTGGAAGACTCAGTTTAGATTGAAGGATGATATTAAAATTTTTCTTAGAGAAGTGGGACGCGAAAATGTATATTGGATTTATGTAGACTAGAGAGAGACAAGTTGCGGGCTCTTGTGAATAGGGCAATGAACGTTGAGGTTCCATAAAAGGGGGGGGGCAATTTCTTAACTAACTACGTGACAATTAGTTTCTGGAGAATGATCCCGCTTCATGAAGTTAGTTACGCACGTTGTTGATAAGATAACATAATAGCAAACCCATTATTCCGCGTCCTCTAATTAAAGAAGTATTCTTAAATACCCCGTCTATTGAAGATATTAGAGGCCGGGTGAAGTCTGGTGCATCATTAGTTTGTTTTATAGAGCTGATTTGTTGGCCTGCTCTATGCGAGCCGGTCGTGGTCCGCGGAAAACCTGCTGTTCTTTTCAAAGAAAAACCTCCTTGTAGTCTGTAATGTAGAGTTACATCTCAATATTGTATGGGGTGGATTGACTCGTTACAATCGTGTCATAAATGCACAACACGGGGAGCTTTCACAAAGGCGTGCAATAATTAATGATCATGCCCTGATCAAATAACGTTAATTAGCCAAGCTACGCGTTATTGTGGAAATAACAGTCTTAGTATGGTAGTTAATTAAGCCAGTCTGGTATCGGACCTTATTTAGAAGAATCACATTAATCTTACGTCATATTTCATCACTACAAGGGGAGACCCAAAGTTTTTCAGGCTGCTATGGACACTGCCTTGCTAGGCCAGGAATTTCTCGGTTCTAAACAAACCTGAGGATGGAATGTTGCAGTTGAATGTATAAGGGGTGGGCCTTCTCGGTCCTTGCACCGCGACCTACAGTGGTCTATTTTGCTTAGGAGATTGGCAGCGGTGGGATTCGAACCCACGCCTCCGAAGAAAATTGTGCCTTAAACCAGCGCCTTAGACCGCTCGGCCATGCAACACAGTTATGTCGCAGATAGTGTCACTGTGCTTCTGGACTTGTCCATCCAGAACACAGCATTTCTTAAAACTGGACTGGTTTCCGCCCTGATATGAGGATGTGGGGAGGCACCCACTCTGTTGTGTCAGTGAGGCCGAACTGATTGATATAGTGTTAAAAACATTAATTGTTGATAAGTTTAATTATTTTTATGGAATATAATGCTATGGCCTATAATATTAAATAGGCAGAAATTAAAATATTCCGTTTTTCATGTTGTTGAAGGCGTCTTCCCCAGACTGGGGTCAGTGTTTCTAATCCAGTTCAAGACATATATTTCCCTGCTCGTTCTCCTGTGTCGTGCTGTGTTGTCACGTGACAGTCAAAGCTCTTAAACAAGGGGATTCAGTGGATAAAGAATTATGTCTTAATTTCAGAAGAAACGTTTTCTCGTGCTAAATGTGTCCAGAACCTTTTGTCTTCTCGTCTTATGTCCAAAAACATAAATATTAGAATATACAAAACTATAATTTTGCCTGTGGTTCTGTATGTGTGTGAAACTTGGTCTCTGACATTAAGGGAGGAACACAGACTGAGGGCGTTTGAGAACAGGGTGTTGAGGAGAATATTTGGACCGAAGGGGGATGAAGTGACAGGAGGTTGGAAAAAACTGCATAATGAGGAGCTTCATAACTTGTACTCTTCTCCAAATATAATTAGAATGATCAAGTGAGGGAGGATTAAATGGGCAGGGAAAGTAGCACAAATGGGGAGAAGAGGAATGCTTAAGGTTGTTGGTGGGAAAGCCAGAAGGAAAGAGACCACAGGAAAGATCAAGGCGTAGGTGGGTGGACAGTATTAAAATGGATCTTAGAGAGATAGGCTGGGATGGTATGGATTGGATTGATCTGGTTCAGGATAGGGACCAGTGGACGGCTCTTGTGAACACGGTAATAAATTTTCGGGTTCCATAAAATGCTGGGAAATTCTTGAGTAGCTGCAGAATTGGCGGCTCCTCCAGAAGGACTCAGCTCCATGAGTGAGTAAGTAATTACAGTGATTCCATTTACGCCACAGCACGCTATCGTTAGTTCGACTCATGAAACCGACGCTAGATATTTGGAAGTTTCTTTTTGCTTGTGTAGCTGTGTAGTCTGGTAGATGTTTACAGTGTTCAGAGACGTTTCTCTTCTACCCTGAAAATGTGGGCAGAACGGGAACGTACGCAGTCTATGCAAGTCGCATCTCATTTACCGGCATAGAACCTCGAATGTAACGTTCTTATCTGCGTATGTGTATAGTTGTTGACCGAGGGGCTCTTGCTGAAGACTCGCCTCATGTACACTTTGAAGCCGACAGTTGTCCAGTGCGAAACTTCGTACGTATGGGGGGGGGGGTCATACTGCTCCTTGCAGCAGTCAGTAGACCGGCGAAGCAACAAAAGCATTGAATAAGTAGATGGATGATCGCGAAGTAAAGCAAAAAGCGTAAGATGCTGATGAATTTTTTGTCTGCCTATTATATTCGTGCTGCGCGGGTAATGAAACACAATTCATTGGACACCGAGTGGCACGGACCGGTTCCATACAGAGTGTGCGGAATAAAGTGTGGATGGAAGGAGGAAAAGGGTGGAGACAGGAAGAAAGGAGGATGGAGGGGAGACACAGAGGAAGAGATGAAATAAATATAAGGAGAAAGGGAGAAATGTTGAGAGGAAGGGAGTAAGGAGGAAACAAATGAAGCAGCAGAGGGATATAGGGATGAAAGAATTGTCGGAAAGGGAAAGAAGATTATGAAAAAACAGAAGGAAGACGTGGAGGGAGAGCGTGAGAGATGGAAGAAGAAGGAGATGATAGAAGGAAGGGATAACAAGAAAGGAAGAAAGGCATGAACTAAGATAGGTAGAGGGGAGGAAGAAAATGGAGAGAGCAAGAATAAAGCGGGAAATGAAGGAAAGGAGGAAGG